TAGGGATTATGTTAGATATTATTGGAGGTTAGGGCTATGGATTATGTTAGATATTATTGGAGGCTATGGCTAGGCAAGGAATTGTGGTAGATATTATTGGAGTTTAGGGCTAGGCTAGGGATTATGTTAGATATTATTGGAGGTTAGGGTTAGGGATTATGTTAGATATTATTGGAGGTTAGGGTTAGGGATTATGTTAGATATTATTGGAGGTTAGGTTTAGGGATTATGTTAGATATTATTGGAGGTTAGGTTTAGGGATTATGTTAGATATTATTGGAGGTTAGGGTTAGGGATTATGTTAGATATTATTGGAGGTTAGGGTTAGGGATTATGTTAGATATTATTGGAGGTTAGGGTTAGGGATTATGTTAGATATATTATTGAGTTAGGAGCTGAGTTATGTTAGATATTATTGGAGTTAGAGTTAGAGGATATGTTAGATGTGTGGAGGTTAGGAGCTAGGGATTATGTTAGATATTATGGTAGGTTAGAGTTAGGGATTATGTTAGATATTATTGGAGGTTAGGGCTAGGGATTATGTTAGATATTATTGGAGTTTAGGGCTAGGCTAGGGATTATGTTAGATATTATGGTAGGTTAGAGTTAGGGATTATGTTAGATATTATTGGAGGTTAGGGCTAGGGATTATGTTAGATATTATTGGAGTTTAGGGCTAGGCTAGGGATTATGTTAGATTTATGGTAGGTTAGAGTTAGGGATTATGTTAGATATTATTGGAGGTTAGGGCTAGGGATTATGTTAGATATTATTGGAGGTTAGAGTTAGGGATTATGTTAGATATTATTAGAGGTTAGAGTTAGGGATTATGTTAGATATTATTAGAGGTTAGAGTTAGGGATTATGTTAGATATTATTGGAGGTTAGGGCTAGGGATTATGTTAGATATTATTGGAGGTTAGGGCTATGGATTATGTTAGATATTATTGGAGGCTATGGCTAGGCAAGGAATTGTGGTAGATATTATTGGAGTTTAGGGCTAGGCTAGGGATTATGTTAGATATTATTGGAGGTTAGGGATTATGTAAAATATTATTGGAGGTTAGAGTTAGGGATTATGTTAGATATTATTGGAGGTTAGGTTTAGGGATTATGTTAGATATTATTGGAGGTTAGGGATTATGTTAGATATTATTGGAGGTTAGGGTTAGGGATTATGTTAGATATTATTGGAGGTTAGGGTTAGGGATTATGTTAGATATTATTGGAGGTTAGAGTTAGGGATTATGTTAGATATTATTGGAGGTTAGGGCTAGGGATTATGTTAGATATTATTGGAGGTTAGGGCTAGGGATTATGTTAGATATTATTGGAGGTTAGAGTTAGGGATTATGTTAGATATTATTGGAGGTTAGGGCTAGGGATTATGTTAGATATTATTGGAGGTTAGAGTTAGGGATTATGTTAGATATTATTGGAGGTTAGAGTTAGGGATTATGTTAGATATTATTAGAGGTTAGAGTTAGGGATTATGTTAGATATTATTAGAGGTTAGAGTTAGGGATTATGTTAGATTTTATGGTAGGTTAGAGTTAGGGATTATGTTAGATATTATTGGAGGTTAGGGCTAGGGATTATGTTAGATATTATTGGAGGTTAGAGTTAGGGATTATGTTAGATATTATTAGAGGTTAGAGTTAGGGATTATGTTAGATATTATTAGAGGTTAGAGTTAGGGATTATGTTAGATATTATTGGAGGTTAGGGCTAGGGATTATGTTAGATATTATTGGAGGTTAGGGCTATGGATTATGTTAGATATTATTGGAGGCTATGGCTAGGCAAGGAATTGTGGTAGATATTATTGGAGTTTAGGGCTAGGCTAGGGATTATGTTAGATATTATTGGAGGTTAGGGTTAGGGATTATGTTAGATATTATTGGAGGTTAGGTTTAGGGATTATGTTAGATATTATTGGAGGTTAGGTTTAGGGATTATGTTAGATATTATTGGAGGTTAGGTTTAGGGATTATGTTAGATATTATTGGAGGTTAGGGTTAGGGATTATGTTAGATATTATTGGAGGTTAGGGTTAGGGATTATGTTAGATATTATTGGAGGTTAGGGTTAGGGATTATGTTAGATATTATTGGAGGTTAGAGTTAGGGATTATGTTAGATATTATTGGAGGTTAGGGCTAGGGATTATGTTAGATATTATTGGAGGTTAGGGCTAGGGATTATGTTAGATATTATTGGAGGTTAGAGTTAGGGATTATGTTAGATATTATTGGAGGTTAGAGTTAGGGATTATGTTAGATATTATTGGAGGTTAGAGTTAGGGATTATGTTAGATATTATTAGAGGTTAGGGATTATGTTAGATATTGTTAGAGTTAGGGATTATGTTAGATATTATGGTAGGTTAGAGTTAGGGATTATGTTAGATATTATTGGAGGCTAGGGCTATGGATTATGTTAGATATTATTGGAGGCTAGGGTTAGGGGTTATGTTAGATATTATTGGAGGTTATGGATTATGTTAGATATTATTGGAGGCTAGGGTTAGGGGTTATGTTAGATATTATTGGAGGTTAGGGTGTGAGAGTTGGAATTGGGGGGCTAGTTTTGGAAATGCTGTGGTCTGATATCTTCTTTGATTGATAGTTATGACAGTAGTAGTTTGCATTGTGTGTGGAGTGTGCCTGGTTTAAACTCCCTCTTGGGATAGAGTTCACTCCACAGTCCATGGGCTGCAATGGTCTGAGAGTGATAGTAGTTGCGATCTGCAGCATGTGAGAGGGTTAAAGCTTGGTTTGGGGTACAGTGGATTCTTCTGTGGACTGCTGCAACCATTATTCGTGGTAGAAGTTGCAGTCCCTGGTAACTGTAGTTGAGCAGTGCAGTATAAAGTTTCTCTAACAGTTTGTAACCGTATATACATGGCAAAAGTACATATGCAAAGGCAAACACTAAAATCTAAAAAAAAAAGAAAAAAAAAAACCCAGGTAGTCAAGTGTACACAGAACAGTTTAGAAACCATACAGAATTATATAAGATTGAGTCTTCTTGATTCAAATTGAAATAGTGAACAATATAGTATAATAGAGAAACTAATCTCAGCATGATTAATTTAATTTTATGATAAAATAATTATCTATACATTGTGCAAGTTGAGTCAGTAACAGATGTATAGATTAAAATATACTTACCTGAAGATCACTTCTGCCTCCACCAAGATGGCCGTCATAGTAGATATGAGTACATGTGATGCTCACTGCACTTGGTGGAATGTCACAGAATTCTTTTATGAGGTTGAGGATGACCAAAGAAGAGTGCAATCATGAAGGCTTTCTGTCTAGGGGTCCTATAACTTCCACTGCTTATTGCAGTGGTTATAGTGCGTCCCCTCCTGTGTTTGCCAAACTGTGACTCCCAAAGCCCACGCCTCTGGCACTGATGTAGTAGTGAGGACTACAGTATTTCCCTATTTTGCTGGTGAAATGTATAGAGCAGGATTGTGAAACGCAGTCACTTTTAACCCTTTCATTGACACATTATTTCTTTGTTAAATATGGATCTATAATGCTTGGGATCTGATCAATCTAAGTATCATTAAGAACCCTGGGGAATTTCATTGTATATACTGTATCCCTTCAGTAATATATAAATAGCAATTTGGTTATCAGCTCCATATATATATATATATTATATATTATATGCAAGGCTGAAAGTTTCAAGTCATAATCCGCTAGCTAGTATTATAAGTTTTATATGTCGAAACACATATGAACACGTAAACCGTTTTGTATTTGATTTGCTGTGAGTGCAGGTGTGTATTTCAGTGTAGTGTTAATGTTTGTAAATGAATGTTTATATTTGTACTGAAGGTCAGTGTATGAATACAGGTGTGTCTGCTGAGTGTTAGTTTGTGATTGCATGGGTTAATTTGCCTTGTGTGTAAATGGGTGGTTGATCTGTGTTGAGTGTCAGTGTGTGAATGCGATGGTGTATTTGTATGTATTGCCAGTGTGTGTGTGTGTGTGTGTGAATGCAGGTAAGTATTTGTATGTATTGCCAATGTGTGTGTGTGTGTGAATGCGATGGTGTATTTGTATGTATTGCCAATGTGTGTGTGTGAATGCGATGGTGTATTTGTATGTATTGCCAATGTGTGTGTGTGTGTGTGTGTGTGTGTGTAAATGCGATGGTGTATTTGTATGTATTGCCAATGTGTGTGTGTGAATGCGATGGTGTATTTGTATGTATTGCCAATGTGTGTGTGTGTGTGTGTGTGAATGCGATGGTGTATTTGTATGTATTGCCAATGTGTGTGTGTGAATGCAGGGAAGTATTTGTATGTATTGCCTATGGGCTAGTCCAGATTCAAAGAGCATTTAGACCAAGGACCGCAAAGCACAAATCCACACACTTGTGGACTATCAAAGGCCCTGTGTAATTCCTGCATGCTGCCTCAGCCTCCATTACTCTGCCAATAGGCATCCCAGTACACCATCATTTGATTTTTTTTTAAGCAACCAAAGTGTTCTGGACTCCACAAACAGTGTATGCTAGTGGTTCTGGTTTCTGTTGCCCCCCGCCCACTTTGCTAGTCCTCTCTTCAAGGAGGATATGTTTGTGTGGAATGTCTGTGTGTATGAATGGATGGGTATATTTTTGTGAAGCGCCAGTGAGTGAACACAATGGTGTATCTGTGTGACATGCCAGTGTGTTTGAATACAGCAGTATATTGGTGTGTACTGTCAGTTTGTGTGAATGGAGGGGCGTGTCTGTGTGTGATTTCCCTCTCAGTGCCAACTATCCATTTGTACGTCAATTCAACATACTGTGCTTTCTTTAAAATATACAGCAGGATTCTGAAAAATTTAGCTTCAAGGCAACCGCTCACAAAAAAAACTGCTACAAAGTAGAGGAGGATATTTTGTTACATAGCAGTGTTTTTAAAGAACTGGCAATTTTGAAAATATATCTGGATAAAACAGCAGTATGCCACAGAAGGGGGTTGTGCAGTGAAAAACACTGTCAGAAAGGCTTTGACAATTGTTAATCAAATGTAACAAGTATAACATTCAATAATGACCAGCTTAAAGGGAAACGATTAGTTCAAAGGCATTCCTTTTTTTTTTCTTATTAATCTTGCTTATTGGCATGTATGTGACCTCTTGTTTCCAATGCCAAAACTCAGGCCATGAAGCTGCCAGCCCAACCTACTGTTTCATGTTTTCTTCTCTTCAGCTTCTCGCCCAATCCAATGCTTCTCATAGAGACGTGTTGAACCCAATACTCTTCTATGAGAAATATCAGAGGATTTTCCATATCTTCATGCAATGTGTGAGGACATCGATTGCCAAGGAACCAAGTCTGAGATGATTTTTGGTGCAGAAGCACGATGAAGAGGCAGTTAGGAAAGCAACCACTAGAGGTTATATCTCCAGAACGGCACTGTTTTACCTTGTAGAACTGTAGCAACAGGGCCACTGCACACAGAACATTTCACTGAGATGAAGTGGTTTGGATGAGTACAGTGGACCTTTTTAAAGTACTTCTGCCATCAGAAACTATTCCTGCCCCAAGAAATGGAGTGCCAGGATCTTATTGGCTAAAAAGCGGCAATCATTTCCTATTGGTTCTCAGTATCCTTTTATTATTAGTCTGTTACTGTCATTGATGGAAATGCAAGATGGCTGCTGCCTTCATTCTGAAAATTTGTAAATCCTTCCAACGGTAAAGGAGTTTAAGCATGAGTGGGATAGGCATAAGGCTATCCTAACTATAAGATAAGGCCAGGGACTAATGAGAGTATTTAGAAAATTGGGCAGACTAGATGGGCCGAATGGTTCTTATCTGCCGTCACATTCTATGTTTCTATCGTGGCTGCTTTTATGATAGCTCGTATATGAGACACAAAAACTACAGGTGCTAACGTATTAAAAAAAAAAAAAACAGCAGAAGTAAGAATAGTAAGTAAGAAATACCACATTACCTACTCCCAATAAATAATACCACTTTCTGAGTGAGTTTCCAAGTCTATGGGCTGAGCTCTGAATCATCCTGTTCATCAAAATGTGGGCCTACTGATCACAGACAGCTGCTGGTATTGAAGTTCTTCTCTTCAAGCCACTTCAACAGAAACAAGCAAAAATGGCGACTCTACTAGAGTTAGACTCCATGTTGTTAAGAGGAAGACATTCTTTTTTTTTTTGTTTTTTAATTTCTTTTTTTTTCAATCTTGACAAGGATAGCATGATAACATTAGCAACATGGCTTGTGCAAAAGCCTATTAATTCACAACATATTTGAACACTGTTATACACATGATAGCTCAATGCGTATCCAACAAAACATTAGTAGTAGGCTTGTCTAGCTACTCGTCAAGGGTTTTTACATTTATTAGACATAACATACGTCCTGTGTACTCATCTCGTCGTTAACATTATACAATTTGTACAATGCAGTAGGGGTGCATACTGTAGCGAGATTTCTCATTCCCCTTGCGTTCCCTTTATTTTGCATCCCGGTTTAATAGGACGAGCTCTGGTTTCAATAGGACGGTGCACTTTTGGTGGTTAGTGATTATCACACTGTACAATAGCGGTTGGTGTCCTACATTATTTAGCACATTGTAGCTTGTATTATTGTATGGTAAAGGTTTTAGTCTGGAGGGAACTCAGTCACCTGTCCCTTGTATAGTGTACCTGGACTGGCCCGGGGTCGTCCAATTCGCTAATTATGTAAAGTTCGGTTCCCGGGCTCCCCCACGATATTATGAATCAAGAAAAAAGTAAAAAAGAGCATAGAGTAGAAGAAAGTGTAGAGGGTTAGCTAGAAAGATGGGAGGGGGGAGAAGAGGGGTGGGGTTATACTTCAGTCCCGTGCAGTGTGGCATTGTGTGAGGTTCCCTGGGGTTTGTCAGTTTCCTCTGGGGGGCCCTTATGTAGCTCCTACCCCTGTCTCATGGCAGTTGGGTGGATGTAATTTCGTCAGAGAGATCGCTGTTCTGCCATGGGTCCCACAATTTGTCGAAGCTGGTCATGGTCCCTCTTAGTCGGGCGGTCAAGTTGTCCATTAGATATACCTCTTATGTTGGATATGACCCTCCGAATTGGTGGCATTAGTATTTGTAGCCAAGTCTGTGCTATCGCTCTCCTGGCGGCTAGAGTGATCTTATGGATCAATTTCTGTTCCCTCCTTGTCCAGTCATTTAAGGATCTGTTAAGCAAGTATGTCCAGGGGTTTAAGTTGGGCGCTCTATGAATTTTTTTTTTAAAGAGGAAGACATTCTTGATGATCCTTGGTACAGGCTTAGGTTCTCTGCACTGGAATCCAGATATAGTCTGCTTAGAGTTACCTTTGTGGAAGCCAGTGGAGGGAATACCCCACAGGCCATATTAACATACTTCTTGGATTAATGCAGGCAACTGTAGCTTGGCATCAGGTAATGTACCTTGTAAACCTATACTGGTCCATCTGGGTATCACTTACAAATAGACTGATCCGCAGCACTCCATGTAGATTCACACACATTCCTAACCCAGATGCCTACGCAGATGAAAATGTCTGGAAAACCAAAGAAGACAACTCACTTTGGTACTTTTCTAGCATCACCCCTCTTCTCCCAGCAACTGCGATTACTTCTCTCCGCTTCATGTTGATTTGTAGCCACTTGGGGTTAGAATTAGGTTTTACTTCAGTGTGAATGCTGGCTACTTGTTTATTTTGTTAATTTTCTATTTTTTATTTATTTATAATTTCTTCTTTTATTGATATGGTTGGCCTCTGTGTTTATTGATTCCATTATTCTGACCCTTTTAGTTAGACAGCTGTAACCATTGCACCACACCCCGCAACAAGGTGCATTCTTAAACTTTCCTTAAGACACTAGGCGCAGTAAAAAGGAAAACATTAAGTGCAGAGGTCACATCCAGTACGAAATGTCCATTTAAAGTCACATTAAACTTTCATTTTAATGCTTGTGTCTGTTATGAGAGCTAAAGTAAAAATGAGTTGGCATATGAGTGCTGTTAAACAGATACAATCTGTTTTATCCTGTCCTGTTTTATCCTGTCCACTATCCTATCACCTTACAGCTGATCAAGCCTGACGCTTGCAATCCAGCCAATCACCTGTCGGAATAGTGCCGTTGGAATTATTGCAGAGAAATAGCGTAAGACGTTCTGAGAATCTGGGAAGGGTCCCCTTTAGAAATGCTATATACAAATGAGTCACTCTCTGTGGATGGCATTGAGTGTCTGTCGGAGACCAGGACATCCTGTGTGTTTCACACAAAATGATGGAGACAGTCACATGGAACAACAGCCAGACATCCCACATTACTATAGATCTACCACCATGTTTAACAGCTGGCGACAGGAATACTGGATTAAAAAAATCCTTTAAATTTCTCCAAATGCACACCATTTGGATGTAGAATAAGACAAATTGTGTCCAACCTGATGATTGTAAGTTAGTCAGTGGCTATATGGAACTAAGCGGTAACAGAGAGTTTGCCATACTATGTGCGCAACACTGAGAGATGGCTATGAGTTAGCCAGTATCTATATGTAGTAGTGAGGAGTGTCTGTGTGTTTGCCAGTATCTGCATGTAGTGGTGAGTGACCCGTTATTTAGTCAGTTTCAGTATGTAGTAGTGAGTGGTGTCTGTATGTTGCAGTGAGTGGAGTCTGTGAGTTAGTATCTGTATGTTGCAGTGAGAGGTGTCTGTGAGTTAGTATCTGTATGTTGCAGTGAGAGGTGTCTGTGAGTTAGTATCTGTATGTAGCAGTGAGAGGTGTCTGTGAGTTAGTATCTGTATGTAGCAGTGAGAGGTGTCTGTGAGTTAGTATCTGTATGTAGCAGTGAGAGGTGTCTGTGAGTTAGTATCTGTATGTAGCAGTGAGAGGTGTCTGTGAGTTAGTATCTGTATGTAGCAGTGAGAGGTGTCTGTGAGTTAGTATCTGTATGTAGCAGTGAGAGGTGTCTGTGAGTTAGTATCTGTATGTAGCAGTGAGAGGTGTCTGTGAGTTAGTATCTGTATGTAGCAGTGAGAGGTGTCTGTGAGTTAGTATCTGTATGTAGCAGTGAGAGGTGTCTGTGAGTTAGTATCTGTATGTTAGCTGTGAGAGGTGTCTGTGTCTGTGAGTTAGTATCTGTATGTAGCTGTGAGAGGTGTCTGTGAGTTAGTATCTGTATGTAGCAGTGACAGGTGTCTGTGAGTTAGTCAGTATCTGTATGTAGCATTAAGGGGTGAATATTGAGTTAGTCAGTGTCTATTGTTAGCCTTTTTTAACGCACAGTTTTATGCTCATATATATTCATGGCCAGGGCTATGCCTGCACAATCACCTCTCACACCCCACTAGTAGCCCTTTCACTGCAGGTTTATTTACTCTCATAATGTTATTCACTGAAGTGTGGATTGTTGACATTTCACATTGTAGACCACAACAGCAAAACAAGTCTCGAACCCATCATTGCGTTCAGTTCAAACTCTCTGGCCTAAAATGTGCCAATTGCTTTGACTTTCTGCCTGTTAACACTTGGATGTGGGTGACAGTGGAAATCCCTGTCATTATATCCGTTTACGACATTTAAAGGATCTCCTCTATCTGTATTTCACATTATGGTACCTGCAGAATTAGGTATATCCTTCCTCTGTTTGTGTCAATCTCTTGTACTTAATCAGAGGACAATGTTGGTTTATAAAGACACTGTTTTAGTTTTCATTTTTCCAGGTATTTCACACTTTTCTTTTTCATTTAAGGGCATGTGACCTTGTCATCAGAATCCCAACTGAAAACCGTGCAACATGTGACAAGAACCACCGCAAAGGCGAAAACTGGATTTAGACATTGTTTATGATACAGAACCTAGAGAAAAGTGAGTGTTAAGGGGGACAATAACTTCAAGAGCAGCAAATTATTTTGTGTGGTTGTTGTATCTCTTGTGCAGAGGGCACCTTCTTGCGTTCAGAACTGGCTTGTCCTTGGCACAAGTAAGCGAAATCTGAGCAGTGACTAATCATAGAACAAGTTAGTATGTTGTGCAACGCTCTCTCTGTGATCAGGAACTGATTTTATTCCATTATATAACATTACTGAAACCAGCTAATATTTATATAGACCATTCTTTAGAGGAGAACTGACACTCTTTGCAAATTACTCCAATAAATCAAACTCCGAAAATCACCTGTAACTTGTTTTAACCTTTTTGAAATATAAATGTATATTTAAAATGCAATAATAGACATTACAGTCCAGTTTAGCCCTGGCATAGCCATGGCATACATTGCAATGGGGCGAAAACAGAAAGGGAATAAGTAAACGTACATTTTTTGTTTTTTGTTTTTTACTAAAGTAAAGAATTCCAAGTGACTTGAAAGCGAATTTCAAATTTAAGGTCGGAGTAGCCAAACTGAACGCTTAGCTGACATAGAGCATATTTCCATTTTGAATAATAAAAATCCTGGGAAATCTGTTTTGTTTCTTAAAATCGAATCTATATAATCGAATCATTATTTTTTTAAACGTATTTAATGGAAAGTATAATACATTTTCTTGTGGCACTTTATTCCTATATGTAAGGGTTTTCATATTTATGTATTTTTACTGGAGCCTTGTTCTGTACATTTTCCTTATATGTTTATTTTTTTTAGCAAACTGAATGCAGTCTTGAAGAGTTCTGTGTAAGTCCTACTAGTGACTCACTAAGCTGATCATATTGAAATACATTTGAAGGAGCTTTAAAAAAAGCATAGACTCATTTCTTTCATTCTCCATTCTATCATTTATGCAAAGTATGCATTGGAGAAAACAAACAAAAAAAATGCAGAAATTATTCCTGTTTTTCCTCATATATGTTTTTCTTCACCTTTAAAACGTTGCTCTTTGCTTTATTTTCAGATGTATTGCATCGTCCCTCTGTTTTTCGCCTTCTGGCTCGCTCCGGTTTACGGAGTCATGGAAAACAGCACAACAGGTGAGAATAGAGAGGTCAGAGAGTCTGATACCAAAATAGTAAAATAATTAATATATTGTGTAAAGCAATGCAAGATTACCCAACACATTCAATGAGAACTCTCTCTCCTAAACGTAATCTGTAATTAATAGAATGGGCTTAATGGATAATGAAATGCTAGATTACTACTGACTGCTGTCTGTGTATATAAGGCGAGATCGTAGCCAGAGATTTAATGCAGGATCCAGCTCAGTCTGGGTCTAATAAACAGACTTTTTCTTAAACGTGTTAACCGTACAGATTCATTTGAGTGATGGAATGTTGGCTACATTTCATTCAGTGATTCAGAGGAGGATTTTTTTTAAATGATAAAATGTGACAGGTCCATTAAATATGAACTGTCTCTTTGCCCCCACACTCCATTTGTGTCACGGGTGGCGGTACGGAAACCGGGACCCCAGAGTGCCTGATGAGAAGTGGGAGTCTTCAGCGGAGAATTGGATTACAGGGCCCGGTGCAGGGTAACCGCACGCCCCCTGGTGTTGAGCACCAGCGTTTGTGCGGCCACATACCAGAACCCTGATGCAGCTACTGCGGATCCCAAAAGCTAGGAGCAGGAATTAAGCAGACCTCCCAGGAGCTGAATAGGGAGGCTCTGCAGCAGGAGTGTATCCAGTACTGAAGCAAGGCAAGACTAGAGATAGGCACCATACAAGAAAACAAGACAGAACTAGAAGAACAAGGCAAGACTAGAGCTAGGCACCATACATGAAAACAAGACAGAACTAGGAGAACCAAGAACCAGAGCAGGACAGAAAGCAGAACCCAGAACATGTACACAAGACATGAGGAAAACAAGAACATAACATGGGCATGACTGAACAGGACTGTACATGGACTGGGATTACAAGACTAAATAAAACAAGACAAGAGATACAAGGCAAAACAAGAGGAAACATAACTAAGCACTAATCATGAAAAGTATGGGGATTTAATCACATTATATGATCATACATTGCATAAGCCTGCCAACAACGCCAATGTACCCCATATCTGGCAGGTCCTACACTGCCTAATGCATGCTAAAACAACCATACTAAACCACAATATAGCACTTACCTGCAAGAAAGGGCAGAGGCTTGAAACACTGCTGCAGGTCCAGGCTGAAGGAAAATGGAAAACAAACGGGTGCGGCAACATAAAACAAACATTTAAAGGAAACCTGGACACTGGGAATCCCAGGGATGGATTACAGGAATGAACCCAGAAATCCCAGCAATAAAGAAAACCAGACAGACTAGAAAACCAGAAAAACTAAACAAGAATTGTAAAAAGAGTACTGGATACCAGAAGCCAAAGCCAGACATCTCCGCAGAACATGGCATGATGTGACAATTTGCCAGTTTCCCCCTCCAATATATTCCTGATGCCACTGGCATCTGCTGTCAGATCAGCTTTCTGTGAATCTGTAGTTGGGTCAGATCATTCAGGCTCAGATGGTGAAGGGGGAAAAAAAAGATTGTACTTCAAGTGCGGTCTCCCAAACTGTCCATGTGACACCATCATCACTCTTTCCAAGAGGTGAAAAGCAAAGCCCAGATCCCTTTAATATGAAAAACTACTTATTTTTCAAACATTTTCCCATGACTTTCCCAAATTTCCATTTACTAAAGGGACCTTGGTTTCAGGTTAGTCTGCCCAAATACTGAGTATGCCCTGAAAAAGGTTTGAGGCATTGAACTGACACATTGATGCATTTTTTTTTTTTTCAATTCTTTATTTTTGCTCAATAGACAAAGCGAGTTTACATCAACTTTTGGGCTTACGCAGAAGCCAACTTGAAAATAAATTTTTGAAAACATAATGCAGTTCAACAGATACAATACATACCCGTTCCTTAAGAAGCTATTGGTACCTGCCGTCTACTGAGGGTTTTTATATAATTCCCTATTCTATGAAATTCTTTATTTTTCTTTTTTGAAATTCTTAATTTTCACAATAAACGAAACAGGTGTATATTCACTTTTGGGCTTATAAGGAAGCCAGTTGAATTACATAGCTTTATAAGGAAATACAATGCAACCTTATCATCGCAAGCGCTTTCTACTATATACCTTTTGGGATCCGCAGTCTATTGAGGTATTTTATGTTTAAATCAAAGACAGGCAGTTAAGTAGTTCAAGTAGCCTTTGTGTTTGCTTATCAATCTAGTACTTAAGCTACATTATTCCTCCGACCGTGTGATCCTGCCTGGAAAAAGAAAACAAAAACAAAGAGAGAGGAAGAGAGATAGAAGAAGAGAAAAGAGATGGGGCAAGTAGAGCCCAGAGAGATAGAAAAGGGAGAGGGGAGTTGAGAGGGGGGGGCATCGCAGCCACTTCATTGACAATCAAGTCACATTCAATAAGGGTGTTTATATCTTAGGTTCATTCCCATATGTGGGAGGCCCTCAGTCTCTACTCGTGCCCACTATACTATTGTCCCACGGTTCCCACGTTTTTTGGAATGTCGTGATGGTCCCTCTCACCCTTGCCGTAAGATCGTCCATAATTCTACATTCTTTGATTCTGGAAATAACACCTGTGAATTCTGGGCCCTCAGGTGTGAGCCACGCTGTTGCAATTGCTCGGCGTGCACACAAAGTAATCTTGTGTACTAATTTCTGTTCCCTTTTGGTCCACCCGTCCACAGATCTATTCAACAAGTATATCCACGGATCCATTGTTAGGGGCCTTTCGAACGTCTATCTCAACAGATCTTCCACGGATCTCCAAAATCCCCGTAGCTTCGGACATTCCCACCACATGTGGATGTATGATCCTCTGGCTCCACATCCCCTCCAACAATCATCAGTCTCCCGTTTGTGCATTCTATGTAGTTTGATTGGGGTAGTGTACCACCTAAATATAGTTTTCCATGCCTGCTCCTGGAGGGTGACACATATTGAGCGTTCGCCTCCCATATCGCCTGCCATTCGACTCCCTCCAGAGTCTCCCCGAGGTCGGTCTCCCATTGGTCCGTGTATGACAATCTTCCCCATTCTCCATTTTCTTCACAAAGGTGTGCATACAATAGTGTGATCATCCCCTTGGGGGCTACCCCGTCCGAACATAACCTCTCGTAGAAGGTGGGTTTCCCCAAGGCTGCTGTTTTAATGTGTTGTTTTTTAACGAAATCCCGAATTTGAACGTACCTAAATAAATCTGCGGGGGTTAGTTGATTACCTGATTGAAGATATGCGAATTGTATAAACTCCCCATTTTGATAGAGTTGATGTAGCCGTTGTAGTCCCGTTCTTTCTATATTGCGAAAATCTCTGGGGGTCATGCCAGGTGAGAATTCTCTGTTTCTAAGAATCGGGGTTAAGGGGGAGGGGGATGATGCCAGCCCGTATTTGGTTTTACATGTGTCCCATATTCGAATCGAGTTGAGTATCGCCGGGCATGTTATCCGTATCGCCGGTCTATGTTCCTTGGGGACCCATATCGTAAACTGGGGCACGTCGACACCCACCATCATAGACTCAATTTCTACCCACCTTCTCTCATCCGGTGTGGAGTGCCACATGGCTATCTGCATCAATTGAGCCGCTAGATAGTAGAAGTAGAGATTCGGGAGGCCCAGGCCCCCTCTATCCTTACGTCTGTATAATATCTGTTTGGAGATTCTATGTCTCTTATTCTGACAAACAAAGTCTCCTATAGATCTTTGCAGGGGGATCAGTTGCGTCTTTGTGACTCGGATGGGCAGCGCCTGAAAGAGAAATAATATGCGTGGGAGGATGTTCATCTTTACTAAATTTATCCTGCCTATCCAGGAAATGGGTTTTTCTGTCCACTTGTCTAGGTCTCCCATCAACTCTCTAAGCATCGGGGCGTAGTTAGCCAGGTGTAGACGCCCGGGGTCCGCTGTCAAATGAATCCCTAAGTACTTCAGGGAGTCTGTTTCCATTCGAATTTGGTAGGTCTCCTGTAATCTAGCTGTGTCAGTTTGCGTCAGGCAGATCGGGAGGGCGCTGGACTTCTGAATGTTTGCTTTATATCCTGATACCGTGCCGAATTCTGTTATCATTTCCTTTATTGCCGCCATTGATTCAAGAGGGGTCGTAATGGTCAAGAGGACGTCGTCCACATAGGCTGACACTTTAAACTCTTTGTCTCCCACCCTAACACCTGCAATGTTCGAATGCCGGCGTATCACCTGAAGCAAGGGCTCAAGCGCTAGTACAAAAAGAAGGGGAGAGAGTGGGCAGCCCTGTCTTGTTCCATTGTATAGTTTGAAAGGACGCAGTGGGGCTCCCGATATCTGTACCTGTGCCCGTACGTTGTGATATATCGCTCTTGTTATTGTTAAGAATTCTTCTGGGAAGCCCAAACTCTTTAAGAATGGAAATAGAAATTGCCACCGGACTCTATCAAAGGCTTTTTCTGCATCTATGGATACCACTAACGTGGGGGTCTGTGAAGCCACTTGTTTCCAATTCAAGTCGATGTTCCTTCTAGTATTTTCGAATAATTGTCGACCTTGGATAAAACCTACCTGGTCTGAGTGAATAAGAGAGTGTAATAACGGATTCAGTCGGTCTGCTTGTATTTTTGCCAAGATCTTCAGATCGTGGTTGATCAATGATATGGGCCTGTAGTTTTCGGGGTATAGTGGATCCTTTCCCGGTTTGGGCAATAATACTATGGTCGCCAGTGACATGTCATGGTCTAATTGTCCGTCCTGCTGTAGGTTATCAAAAAGACGGACCAGTTGAGGTGTCAGCTCTTCTCTGAATATTTTGAAGTATGAGCCGTCGAATCCGTCTGGTCCTGGTGCTTTATTGCCTTTCAGGCTCGAGATAGCTTTGTCTATTTCTTCTTCTGAAATATCTGCCGCTAGAGGGTTTGCTGCCTCCCCACTCAATTTGGTCAACCCTAGGTTGTCCAAATATTGCCTTATATACTCCTCCTCACGCTCCCCGAGGGGGCTTCCATCCGGCGTGTGGTTATACAGTCTCTTATAAAAATCTTCGAAAATCTTCGCTTTCTCGACTGGTCTTGATCTCGTCGTGCTGTCCGGGTGTTTAATCGCCATTATGTGGGACCTCTCCTGCCTCGGCCGAAGCGTCCTGGCCAGGAGGGTGTCCATCTTGTTCGCTTTTTCAAAAAAAGTCCTTTTTGACCAGGTCATGGATCTAGCCGTATCGTCCAATAGTAGAGTTCGGACGTCACGTCTAACTGCTTCCAGTTGCCTGAGAGAGCCCTCTGTTGGCGCAATTTGGTGTTTTTGTTCTAGCGATCTCAGTTGTCCCAGAAAAGTTTCCAGTTTCTGGTGCTTGATTTTCTTTCTTCTGGTGGCCAGTTTAATTAGGGTCCCTCTAATGACCACTTTGTGGGCTGCCCAGATCATGCTTGCGTTCACTTCGGGAGTAGTGTTCATCTCGAAGTAATCTGTGATACCCTTCCTAGTCTGTTCCAGTATCTCCGGCTCACGAAGCAGTGACGTGTTCAATTTCCATGTCCATGGTGAGGCAACACATAGGTTGCCCAATGTAATGGATATATCTGCGTGGTCCGACCAAGATATATTGCCCACCTGTGACCCTACTGTTCGGGACATTCCCACTGCGTTAGCCAAGAAGAGGTCTATCCTCGAGTATGTTCCGTGGGGAGCCGAGTAAAAAGAATAATCTTTATCCCCTGGATGGTGAGCTCGCCATATATCTACCATTCCCGTTTCGGCCATGAAGTCTTTAAGTAGACGGTCCTGGCCGCCCCTACCCTGTGATCTAGGTGTTCCCTTCCGTGAGCTCCTGTCCGCCGCTGGGAACGGGGCTGCGTTAAAATCGCCACCTAAAAATACCATTCCATGGGGCAGCCCCGAGATTTTCTCGCGAAGTACTCTCCAAAACCTTCGGTCTGGCTGATTCGGTGCATAGATGTTTATCAGATGAATGGTATGCGAGTGTAGGATGCCCGAAACAACAACAAACGGACCTTCCGGGTCTGCTTCGTAATGTGTCTTACGGAAGGGGCAGCTACTTCTAGTAAGAATTGCCACCCCGTTTCGTTTGCAGTGGGACCTGGCCTCGTATGAACCGGCATATGCGTGGTCTCTCAACCGAAACCTGGCCTGTTTTGGCAAGTGGGTCTCTTGGACAAACGCAATGTCCGATTTCATTCTCTTCAGTTCTTTGAACAGGAGTCGACGCTTCTTTGGGGTGTTAAGGCCCTTAACATTCAGGGAAGTGATCTTAATCTCCATCGGGCGGAGCTTTTGGGGTTCTATATTTATTTCTCATGACCTTAGTCTCATCTTGCTCCCTGTTAGGGCTCTGAAAGAGAGCCGCTGTTAGCCCCCCACCCTCACCACCCCTCAGAATAAGAGTAAAGAGTAAAAAAGGAAGGGTAGAGAGAAGAAAAAGTAGAGAATAAGAACAACATCTGGACTCAGTCCGATGTACTGAAGTTCTGGACTTACCGATTGCCAGAATATTGTGGGGAATGTCGTCCCACTTCCCTGCCACGATCAACGTTGGGAGGAACAATGGGACCCTGAGCTCCTCCACTTAGGCGCCACTTATTATTTGCTTGGACCTCTATGTGGACCGATAAAGTAACAGCATTATCTAGCCTATTTGGTGCCCGTTCCCCTCTTTACAGTAGTTCTGGTTCTGCCCGGGGATCCCTAAACAAGTCTCTGCCCTTCATGGGCCCAGGAAGAAACTGAGACTGTCTGGTCTCATTACCCTGTGTTACCGGGGTCACCTCCCCTTGTGCATTCACCTCCTCCCCACCACCACGCCATTAAAACATATGGATTACTGTACAATAAACAAACTATTAACTTATAACATTCGTATTACGGGCTATTAGTTTAATTGTGTTCGGTATGGATCACTAACGCATTGGATCCTCTTTTTTCAAAAACACAATGTGTGCTGGCACTCAATTATGTAAGGTGCAGGTATTCGAGGTTTAACCCCACAACAACCTCCTAATCTAAATCATAAACAAATATGAATACCGCACTCAAAAGATTGCAATGAAACCTAATCCTGTATTTAATTTCAAAGTATTTATTGTAATGATTTTAGATAAATTCATAAAGTTAATAGTATTATATCATAGTGACACTCATTTCATCCTATATACATAAACTATTTACATATATATATATATATATATATATATATATATATATATATATATATATATATATATACACACAGAATCCTCCCTCATCCGTGCTGAAGTTCATGATCTATGTATCTATTTACAGTAGGTAATGATCCAAAAAATAGAAAAAATTGAAAACCTAGAAAAAATGCAATGAAAAAAATAAAAAATGGAAAAATGGAATGAAAACATTGAAAAAATAAAAAGAAAAGAAAAAAGAAAAAAATAATAATACAGTCCTGATGACTAACAGTCCAAAATATAGTGCACTATATAATTCATTTGTATATGGATGGATCTCACCAATGTAGAAGTTGCTTTAGGGTGTACACAGTAGGAGGATATTGAAGTCTGTAGATGGTATGTGATAGATGGGGATGAAAACGATTGCTGTTTAGTGAAGAAACAATCAATCATCAACTCTCTGTATAATCTGGTCAGTATAGCAGGTCACTCGGTAATCCTTAAAGTAGGCAATCCTCGAAGTGGGCTGCGCGCTCTGGACGTTCCTGTCCCTTCGATGGCCCCTGTTCCTCTCCGTCCTGATCCTCTTTTTTCTCTTTTTTTTTTTGTCTGCCTTCTATCCTTACTCCCCTTCCCCCCCCCACCCCATCCAACCCCCATGCCCTTAAAAAGCCAATCCACCCCGTCAACTTGTTGTTCATAACCTTCCATTGTTGTTTGGGTGTCATTGATTGGGGGAGTATACAGAAATATTTGCGGCTATTTCCATCGTAACGTAATTAACCATATCTAAAACCATAGGTAAGAGGGTTACACATGTAACCGTAATGTGCGCAGATGCCTTATTAATACGGGGATCTCAACACAGGACCCTGCCCGTCAGGAGCCCGTTAGGAAAACCAAGAATGCCGAGGTCACCCCGCGCTTCACCGTTAACCACCATAGGTTACCGTACAATATAAATCAATCAACGAAACAATAGTATTGCGGGCTATCAGTCTCGTCGCTTTCAGTCGCTGACAGTCATAGGTCCTGCCAGAGGGGGCAAGTAGCCGCACAGGAAACAGTCCATTCTGCAGTAAACAATCAGTATTAAACTCCCTGCCTGTGCCTCCCAAACTATATACTCGGTGAAGCTGTATGGTTTCGGAATTTCACGGGGCTTGCCACCATCTTTAAGAGTGCCGAGATGGGGGGTCTATCTAGTGAGTCTAAGTAAAATCATTGTCTGCAGGTACCTTTTCTCTGGAAAGGCCTGTTGATTTAGCAATTTTAAGGAAACCTGCCCTGTAGAAAAGACACTTGTAGATTTTGTATTTTCAGAGTCTAATTACTTTCTTTTGTGATTTTCGTATAAGTTTAACTAGAAACATTGTATGTCAGTCCCGCCTTCTCTCCCTCGCATTCTTTTCCTCTCCTTTTTTTCCCCCCCTTATATTGTTTAAACTTAAGCAAGAACAGAAGGGGGGGGGGGCACTGCACCCCCCACTTAACAATACTCATCTCAAATGGTCATATCAGTGGGACATTCGTATAATACACCGAAACTGTCCTGGGGTATCAATGTCCCTTAGTAAGTCCCTCTCCGCTGTCCTCGCCCGAAAAAAGAAGGGAAGAGGTGTCGGTGTCCCATTTCCAAGGGCAGTTACAGTGGTGCCGTGAGGCAGCCGTGGACCTCCCAAGTCAGCCCCTCAGTCCGGAGGAAAAAAATGCCGGCTTTAAGATGTGCCCCAAGGGCCCCAACAGGGGGCTAGGTAAACGACAAGCACTTTAACAAGGGGGGAGGAGGGGCAAAATGGGGGGAACAACGAGAAAATTGGGGAAACCAGGGTCTGTCCCGTTACCACCTCATTCCCACCCAAACAATACAATAAAGCTCTTCTGGCATAATCGGTGCAATTGAGCATATTCAAAGCCACTGAGAGAGGCCGGGATCCCCGGGTCAGTCAAGATAGGGCGAGTGGCAAACAAGGTGGCTTGCCTCGTGCACTTCTGAAACCCTGTACCCGAGCCCCCCGCCCAACAAACAAAAGATCCGATCACCCAAAATAAGGGGAGACAAGGCTGGAGAAAAGGAGGGGTACACGATACCGCTAGCCGTCAGCGCTGGCTTCTGGGCCCTACTCTGGGCCACTACGCCTGAAGTTGTGGAAGCTCCGCCGGACACATCGCCAAGTCAGGTAGGTCTGGGGGGGATGGATTCCCAAGCCCTGGAACAGGCGCTTCGGGTCGCCTCCTGGTGACAGGACGTGCGCTCTCCCTTCGCGGAACACCATTAATTTGAAGGGGAAGCCCCAGGCGTACTTCAGGCCTGCCCCTCGCAGAGCCCCAGATATGGGTCGCCAATCTCTCGTCCGCTGCAATGTCGAAGGAGCCAGGTCTTGGTATAGTGAGATTGTAGCTCCGGCGTGCCGGATCGGCCCATCACGGCCCTTCTTCATCAAGGCCTCTTTTGTTTTATAGTAGAGGAACTTTATTATAGGGTCTCTCGGGGCGTTGGCTTGGGCTCTTTGTGTTTTCATTGCCCTGTGGGCTCTCTCCATATGCCAATGTTCCTCTGGGATGTGCGGAAGGAGAGGCCTAAAAATCGATAATAAAAGCCCCTGCAGGTCTTCATCCGACCCTTCTGGTAAGCCTCTCAGGCGGAGATTATTTCTCCGAGAACGATTGGCAATGTCTTCTAGGGCCAAATCCATGTCGACCATATGCGCTGTCATGCGATTCAATCTATCGGCTACCTCATTGTGGGCCTGAGTTGTCGCTTCCATGCGGTCTTCTAGTTTAGCCGTGCGTTCTCCCAGGGTACTTATGTCGGCCTGCAGTACGGCCGTCGATTTGGCTATTTCCCCTGCAAGGAAAGATCTGACCTCCGCCAATTTAGCGAGAACAGTGCTTTGTTCCGCAGAGAGGGCCTCCTTGTCTGCGCCAGGCGATATGTGTGGGGAGACCCCGTCGCCATCTTGGCTGTCGGCTCGTCCATGCCGATGGGCTGTGAGCAGGTCAAGAACTGAACCTCCAGACTCCGTGGTCCTCTTTGCCTGTTTCTTGGGGAGTCTCTTTTCCATGGTAGGGAGGTCAGTGGGGGGGAAATCTCCAGAAAAAAGGTCGCTTTTGGTAGCTTATGGCGCCGTTGGGACGGAGCTCTAGTGAAGCACGTCTGGTCTCATCAACAGTCAGACCACGCCCCCGATGCATTTTTTTTTTTTTAAACGTCCTTATGATTTATTTATTTTTTTAACAATAATTATGGTCCATTCTTGCTGCTAATATTTGTAATAATTACTGAAAATAGTGATATGTTTACAGAGATCACAAGGTGCAAACAAATACACTCACAATTGTGCTAAGTGTATTAAATATCAATAGCGCGCTAACTCACATTTGAAATCATAAATTTATATGCAGCACCAAACGTGTTTAACATCTCAAAACGCATAAATAGCAAATTACAAATCGAAAAACGGTGCGCAAAATAACTGGTACTAAATACTTATAGCTAGAAATAAAGATTTCATTACTGAATAAATAGTGTAATTTTGTCTTGCAATATTGCACTATTTTTTGTATTGTATTTTTCAGAAATCAAAATCTTTATTTTTGGCTATAAATATGTAGGAACATTTTTTTTGTGCGCCATTGTGATCCACATGATGTTTTTAAAAGGTGCTAAGAAGATTCATTGTCTGCCATCACAATGCATATTTCTATCTCTATTTGTTGGTGGTAAAAAATAAATAAATCTGCTATAATGTAGGGGCTGCATCATTCTCGATATGAGCTGTATTACTGATATGTAAACTAGGCATGCTGTAATTTAGATATTTAGTGCTATGAGCTGTGTCTAGCTGAAAGAGGAGGCATGCATTTAGATTATAATACACATGCCTTCTGACTTATAAGTAAATAATGGTATTTATTAATGCATTACATGCCTCATATTCTTGCTTGTACTACATTTTTTTTTTTAAAACTCTGCAGTCTGGATTTTATATCAGAAAAGGTCAAATTTTCAGACAAAGTGGGCTTCAAACTTGTGTCCTTGTTTCCCCTCTTCCTTAGTCCTGATGAAAGCTCTACACTATGGGTTTAAAATCTTAACAGGATTATTAACTAAAGTGAGAATTTGGAGTGAATTTGACATTTAAGGCCCGAGTAGCAGGACTAAAACCAAATCTGACTTAGAAAGTTTTCAGATCGGCTATTTTAACCTTAAATTTAAAATTCACTTTAAATTCATCTCGAATTCTCACTTTAGTGCATAAACCTGCCCCAGCCCCGATATCGACCTTGTATGGTAACGTCAGAAGTTTGAAGTCTGTCTTTGTTTAGAATTGTTCTAATCCTGATGAAGACCCAATCCTGGACTTTGGTGCCAAATCCTTCATCAAAGACTGACTATGTTAAAGGATACTATTTGTTTACATAGAAACGACTGTGCACAAATACAGCTTTGATCATTTACTCTGTATGCTCTATACGCCTTTCCATTCTTACAGTAAATTACTGTTTAGATACAGTATTTTCTATTTTTTTAGACCGTTTACAGACTGGACATTCTGCAGCATTTAGAATACGGATACCGCTGCAACCATTTAATGTCCATCAGCGCCAGGGAACTAGATGTTACTTGATAAATAATGAATGCCATTAATAAATAATTCAGTTTTAAATAGCTGGATAGTTTAAAAGTAGCTACAAACACATTATTCATAGGAAAAACATTACACTTAAAATATGATTATAGTGTACCAGTTCCCATCTTTCCCAACACGTAATTTTGGTGTATATAATGCTTTATCGTTAAAGGACCACTATAGTGCCAAGAAAACATACTTGTTTAAAACCAAAGGAAAAGGTACAGTTGGTGGCGTTAGAGAACAGCTGCTAGAACACACTAGTGGGATTTAATCACAAAAATTCCACAAAAACCAAAACACAACCATACAAAGAAGTGTGCAGCGCGTATAATCGATTCACAAAGATATATATCAGTGGTGCTACCACCTAAAATTAAGGATAAATACAGTTCTTTTGCTAACAGGCTCCATCATATGTGAGTTGGACTATATAGACTACTATATTAGATCTACTCACTGTTGCAGTATTATGCTATGATTCTTCTGTTCTTTATATACAGGATTTATACCTATTGACAACTATTACATTGGCGTATTTATCCTTAATTTTATTTTGATCCACATGTTCACCTAAGGTTGTAGCACCACTGAAACATTGTTTTCCTGGCACTATAGTGCCCTGAGGGTACCCCCACCCTCAGGGCCCCCCTCCTGCTGGGCTCTAGGGGCTGGAAGGGGTTAAATTTACCTCTTTTTCCAGCCCTGGGCGGGGGACTCTCCTCATCCTTGTCGTCGTCATCGGCTGAATGCGCATTCGCGGCATGAGCCGCGCGTGCATTCAGCCAGTCTCATAGGAAAGCATTCATACTGCTTTCCTATGGACGCTGGCGTCTTCTCACTGTGATTTTCACAGTGAGAAGCACGCAAGCACCTCTTTCGGCTGTCAAGAGACAGCCACTAGAGGCTGGATTAACCTATTTATAAACATAGCAGTTTCTCTGAAACTGCTATGTTTATAAAAAAAAAAAAGGGGTTAACCCTAGCTGGACCAGGTACCCAGACCACTTCATTAAGCTGAAGTGGTCTGGGTGCCTATAGTGGTCCTTTAAGCTGAAGTGGTCTGGGTGCCTAGAGTGGTCCTTTAATGTTAGCATTCTTTCTTCAAGATATATGATAAGTCATTTAAAAGACATAAGGGATAAACCAGATCAATGACCGGAAATGGACTGACAGGCTTATGATGAACAGGAGACAGAAAGGGAGAAAGAGATATTGAGAACAGAAGTACAAAGAAGGAAGGTTGAAGAATGAGACTGTTTTAGATGGTGATAAAGGCTGCAAAGAAGATGATGACAAAGTAGGATTAGACAGAGATAGAGATATGTAGGCTTTAATGAGAAGATTAAGAGGTAGAGCTTAGAAAGCAAGAAGTACATCCAGTTATAGTAAAGGAAAGCAGAGGAATAGAAGAGAAGGAAGGAGACTGTGGAGAGTTTTAGATCGGTAATTAAGAATGAGAGGGTCAGGAAAAGATGGCAAAATTAGGAACGAGATGGAGATTAAAACCTTGGAAGAACAACTAGATGATCTTCTGGGTAGAGAGAAAAGGGGACAGACGCCTTAGACATGAAGGAATGGTACTTTCCTTGTGGACTGCAGTTTTGTTAATTGGAGAATGGGAGGAAACGTTTTGTTCAAACCATAAATAAAAAAATATATAAAATTTGGCAAGTATCAAAGAATTTAGAATGAAATTCTAATCTAAATCAATTTTCCTCCCTTTTGTAAATCTGTTTTCTGTCAGGTGAGTGCAGAGACATCCAAAAACACAGATTCACATGTATCATTTGCTGGAAAACGCCAGAGGTGTTAGAAAAGTTCTCAGCCTTAGAGAGTTACTCCAACCACCATCACCACTTCTGTTTTTAGAAGTGCTCATGGTGGTAGGAATGTGTACATGCAGCTTGTCTTCTCTGGACATCCAGAGATATTTGCACTTTTGTGCCAGGGGCTATTTACACCGTCGGCACACGTAGCTTAGGCAGCCAGGTACTGCATAATGTTAATTCTGTGCAAAAATGAGGTTTGTCGTCATTTCGGACTGTGTGCTGCCGACAGGTGTTTTCAGCTTCTCAACTTGCAGGCAGCACTGGGATTGCGTCTGCAAGGACAAGCATGATATCTTCTCCCTCTTCAGTTAATTCCTCCCTGTCGTCCCCACCTCCCTATAGTGCTCCGTCCTGCATTTTTTTTTTTTGTTAAATCCCTTCATTCCCCTGTCCACCTCTTTTTTTCCCTCCCTCTCTTACTGGCTCATAGAGTGCAATGAGTCTAATCAAATACTGTTCCACAAAATTTGTCCAATAAAGGAATTATTTTGTTGATATTAAACTGGAGTTTAAGCTTGTAATTTTTTATTTTTTTTCTGAACTTCTCGTCTGGCTTTCTTTGGATGTTTTATCAACTGATAATGAATGTGAGCTAATTTCTCTCTAGAAATATCATAGAGGTTGTGCGTCACAATATTTGCAATGCCTACACACACCACTGACACACAAAGGGTTAATTCAAGTTTCATTCATTGACAAATCTGTCTCCATTTTGTTTTATGCCTCCACTAGGCTGCCGTATTATACACCCGCCCCGTGATGGGGGTATACGCTACCGGGGCCTGACACTTTCTCAGGTGAAAGCAGTGGAAACGCTCCCTGTGGATTATGAAATCGAGTTTGTGTGTCGTGGAGAACGTGAGATTGCTGGTCCCAAAGTGAGGAAATGTCAGCCAGATGGAACCTGGACAGATATGGACAAACCCAGCCGTTGTCGTGAGTAAAAATGCACTTTAATACTTTGATATGATCCCCCTTATTCTATAAAACATTGTCTTCCTGCACACTTACCTGTTAATACACTCACATGAAGAATCCTCTTGGTTAAAGCTCCCTCCGGCCCACTCTAACCCATTACTGCTCACATATTCCTGTCCTTACCATTCCTGATGTCATATGTACTATTTTACCTAGTAAAAGCCCTCACATTTGTTACCCTCAATCTTCCTATTTATTGCTATAAACCCATGACCTGTTATCAAACATCTACCCCATACTCCATCTGTGATCGGACATCTACCCCATCTGTCTCCACCTCTTAATCCTTATAAAGAGAGTGAGTCCTTGTTGATCTTTGAATTTGCTTTTGTGCGCTCCAAGTTCGTCTTAAAACACATCTTAAGCGACTCCTGTTTTAGAAAGCAGATTTAGTTTAGTGACTGTTGTTGCAGTACTCCGCAAGATGATTATGGCAAAAGAACAAAAATTTTCATTTCACATTGGAATGGCAGAAGACAGTAACATGTGAGAGGGTAGGGAACATGTTATGAGATGTTATAATATAGAAAGATTGAATAACATGACAATTGTCTCTGTATGTTTCTTTCACAATTATTTATTAAAGTGTGAAATATCTGGAATTCAAAGTGACTTTGAAATGTTATGCCAACAAGTCAGCTATGTTTTTTTTCACTTTTGAAATCTGAAATTCAAATTGTATTCCTGACATTCAGATTTTAATAAATATCCCTGTGATTACTTCTCTTCTTTGCAACATTTACATGTCGAGTGACTGTGTGTATTTATTACTAATCCGTGTTCCAAATACTCCAGTGTCTTCCCCTATTCATGTACACCCCATCCTCCACACCTTTGTTCTAACTTGTATCTCCCATCCGTGATGTCTACCTATCCTTTTTATCACAGGTTTATCAATCTATGTATCTTACATTTTTTTCTTCTTCAGTTCACACCTGTCCCCGAATGCACTTGAAGCTGGAGAATGGACGAGCAGAGGTCAGAAGCATGGGTCGGGTTCCAATGGAGGGGACAAGTGTCTTGTTCACGTGTGATCCTGGTTTCCTGCTTGTGGGCTCCAGCCATAGCCTATGCACCAAGGCTGGAAAGTGGGACCATCCAAAACCCACATGTCAAGGTGAGATACGTTCGTAAAGCAGAGTAAGCTTTATAAGCAGAAATTATGTCAAACAGAAATAAGCCAGAAGTTATTGGACATGTAGATAGTTTGATAGCCCTGACAAAGCTGCCTATTGCTATTCATGCTATGGTGTGCTTATTCTTAAACATATATAAGGCCATGGAGATAGATAAGACATAGTGACACCATATTTCAGCTAAGTAGTTGGACGTTCAATGGGCCTACTAGCCCACTCTGTATGGCCATGTCGCTGCATCCTACTGATACTGTGAACCTAGTGTGTATTTTCAGATGTCTTTGTCATAGTCTGCCATTCTGCTATGGCTCTCAGTGTCTTCATTTAATCATGATAGAAAAAGTGACAGCATACAAAGTATTCTGAGAAGTAGCAGCCACAGGAAACAGCAGACCGGTGGTGAGACTGTTTCTGGTGATGCTGCCTTCTGCAGGTCATAAAGATGATTTAATCAGTGCTCAAATTTCCAACTATCCACTAGCCATTGCTGAGTGAAACTTCAGCCCTGATACATGTGTCATGGGTCCTCCAGGGTAGCAGTGGCGAGTACAATTTAAGCCTTGCTAGCAGCGTAACACTTGAAATTGTAACCCCTGGTTATTTATAGTGCATAGTCCTAATGGAAAGGATTTTATAATGTGAACACGTGCATCTTGGACGTTACAACTGAAAGTTTATAATAAATAAAATAGGTAAAAGGTTAATCAGAAAAGCATGTTGACCTGATTTGAACTATATTTTGCAGAACATGTGATAAATACCTTGAGTATCTCTCCAGCAGGAGTAGCAAAGAATGCTTAAAGGACAACTGTCACCAGAATATTTGTTTTTATTATAAGAATCCTTGCCAAATGTAATGAAAAGATATGGCATTATTTAAAACTGAAGTACATGTAAAAATACCTGAAAATCTGTCCCCTACTTTCACAGAATACTAGCTCCCTCTGCCATATTTATACACCCACGGTCACCCTGAGATAGAATCCGGCCGTTAGGCTTCTGTTTCACTCCCTGCACACAGCGGTGATGTGCCATCGCCCTGTACATAGTGAACCTGGTCCTTTATCCTTCCTAAGCAGCCTTTTTATTTTTTAGCTAAAGCAGCTCTATAATATACAGTCTGATTCTAATTGTGAATGGTGGGCAGAACAAACTGACCCTGGGGAGTGGAGACAAATGGATGGAAACAGGGATAGTGAACAAGCAGGAGATCTCATCTGGTAAAAGAAAGCCTCCATAAATGCTAAAAGGAAATAAATAGATAATAGTAGGGAAATGAAACCTACACGTAACAGGAGATCTCTTACCGGTTAGTATAAGTGCAAATACTGAGAATATCTAAAATGTCTCGACTGATATTTAAGATTACAAGATATAGTGTCAAAAACCGAAAATATGCTAAAATAGCTAAAATTAACAGACCTTAGAATCTAAAAGGTTGGTTGAAATATACGGTACATGCATACACTAGATGGCAGCCTTGCATGAAAAACTGGGGTTGAAAAAGGTCTTCTCCTAAACAGTGAAAATGTATAAACATACAAAGTGGAAAAAACTTTCAAGGTTGACTCCAATAAAAGTTTTCAAGATTGTCTCTAATAAAAATATATGTGCAAAACAAAGTGAATTTTCCAAATCTACTTGATTGTCCAAATAAAGTCCAAATCGATGAAGGAATGAGGTAATATCCAGTAAATGCTTATAATAAGCAATGTCCATAAATGCAACAGTATCACATCCTACACCATATGCTTCTGCTAAATAAAAATAACAGTAGCAAATAAGTGTCAGGCTGTGGGTATAATTCAACCAATACTGGTATCAATATTAGTGAAATAACGGATAGCAGCAACAAACTAGCAGTTACTATTATACCACCAATGCAGGTATATAGTACTATGATCTTTGAATAATTGGTGATGTTATTGAGAAAGTCCAAGGAATTTATAATAAAATTCCATATTTATTAAAAGTAAAATTAAAATTCAAACACACTTACAAAATAGAAGTGTAAAGTCCCAGCAAATGAGTCCTTATTTGGAGCGAAAATCGGGTGATGTTCAGCGATCTGAGGGAGAGCTTTCTCCGGCCTGTGAGATGATGTTCCTGCGATAAGGGAGGTGAGGCACCTCTCGCGTGCGTTCCACTCAGTGCGCCCGATTTGCGTTCCACAGTTGCTCGGTAGCTGGATCAATGTACGGCAGTTGCCGGAAAATGCCTTACGCGTTTCGTGACAATGCACAGTCACTTCTTCAGAGGCGAATCTGATTCTAATGACTGGCAGCTTGTTTGAGCTCTGATGATTTCTCATTGCAGATTTTCAGAAATCGGCCTGTTCTGTCTTGCATTATGAGTTACAGTCTGTAATGAATGCTGCCACCAGGCTGATCTTTCTAACCTGTTTCTTCTCTAATACATTGCCCCTCTGTTCATCCTTACACTTACACTCTGTCGATCTGTACACCGGCTTCCTTTATCCTATAGGTGTCAATTAAAAAACTAACCCTTACCTATAAAGCTCTAAACAACTCTAGCCCTGTTATATTTCTTCACTGATTTGTAGTTACACCCCTTCTTGGTCTCTCCGCTCTGCCAGTGACCTTCTCCTGTCCACTGCTCGCACCCTTACTACTAACTTGCGCTTGCAGGACTACTCGAAGACTGCTCCATTCTTTTGGATCAACCTGCTTGCCACCATCAGACTCTCCCCTAGTCTTCAATCATTTAAGAAGTCCTTAAAACCTGGCCTTCTAGAGTAACTTCTATTTTACAAACCCGTCTCTTGCTCCCTGCTAAAGGGCCGCATCCAGTTCTGCTACTTTCCAACCTTGTTTGTTGTCCTCTTGATGCCCTATCGTGTTTTTATACCAAAATTCCTCTACAGTGTTAATTTTGGTGGCAAATTTAAATTTAGTTTTAGTCATAGTCTTTTGACTAAAAAAGCAATTTTTAGTTTGTTGTATTTTAGTCATCTTATTTGTTTTAGTCAACTAAATCTCCAGTGGACATGACTAAAATGTAATGGGTTTAGTGAAAACCTTTATCTGTCTCTTTTGCCCCTTGCCCAGCCGCTCTGTCTCCCCCCCACAGTCCCTCTGGGTGTCTCTCTCCCAACCCTAAGTCTGTCTCTCTTTGTGTACCCCCAACCCTTCTGTGTGTTTCTTTATCTCAATAGCCCCATTTGTGTGTCTCTCCCCCCCCCATCACCTATAGCTTTTTCTCAATAACCCCGTCTGTTGCTTTGTGTCCCCCAGCCGCTCCATGAATCTCACCTTCCCCATGTCTCCAATTCCTCCAGCTGCCAATGTGTCTCAATTCTTTCCCCCGAGCCTCTCCACGTGTCTCATTCCCCCAGCCCTGATGTGTCTTATTTCCTTTTCTCCCTCCTCCTTGCGTCTTGCCCTCCAGTGTTAATTTTGGCAGCAAATTTCAATTTAGTTTTGTCTTTTGACTAAAATAACATTTTCGTTTTAGTCGTATTTTTTTTAGTCCTCTGAATTGTTCGTTTTAGTTGACTAAATCTCAAACATTTTAATCGACTAAAATTGTTAGACGACAAAACTAACACTGCTCCTCTAGATTGGAAGCTTGTTTTAGTAGCAACCCCATCAACCTATTGTTCCTGTAACATATTGTTACTGTCTCATTTATTGTTAAATTTCAGTCTTTTTTATAATATTGTGTAGCGCTATATGAATACCGATAATAAGTTTAATTTCTTTCAATGCTGTAAGAGACTGTTTTTCTATTTACATATTTCTATTTGCAATGTGATAAATCACGTGAAGTTGGAGTGATTTAACACTGGAAATATGACAATTCGGAAAACAATCTCTTACCCTATTGAAACAAGTGAAACTCAAATTCCTACACAGAACAAGCTAATTATCAAAAATCAGAAATGAGAAACTAACAGATTTATTTAGCGTCATGATCTCAAGCTAGTAGCAAGGTTGTTAATAGGGTTATTTACTAAACGCCAGATATATTCTGAATGGTGAAAACGACCAAATTCTGACCACGTTGGCAATTTTCATTTACTAAAGACAAATGCAGTCAGGATTCGGTTGGTCTGACCGAGTCTGTGATATCGGTTGAGATGAGTTTGGAAAATCTGTGATTTCCGCATTCGGACCAAGCTACAGCATTGAAATTGTGAATTTATCAGTGACTGCATTATCAGCATTATTTGTGATAAACCCGAATGCATCCGGCAGGATACTCATTCGCAAATTTATTATCATTTGAACAACTATTTGCCTGCTGAGAGCACTAGCAGCCAGCAGTCAAATACCAAAACACCCTCGGCGACTCGAGGGTCAATTATATGGCATTTGGCCAGCTCTTGCTACCTTACCACCACATGAAAATTGTAAAAATAAATAAATAAATTAGTAAATAAAAATCCTATGGGGTTTCAAGAAGAGCCCCATATAGCTATAATGGACGTATTTTACCTCCACGTGCCCCCACCTGCCATACGGAGCATGTCTACAAAATATTAAAACTAGCGACTAGGCGTCCATTGCTGCCCAGTCACTAGCAAAGGCCCCATCCCATAGGGATGGAGCAAGAAAAAATAAGGGGGGACGTGCATGGCAGGGGGCATGGAGGGGACTACGTCCCCCCTTATTTTTTCTTGCTCCATCCCTATGGGATGGGGCCTTTGCTAGTGACTGGGCAGCAATGGACGCCTAGTCGCTAGTTTTAGTTTTAGTCGCATTGGGTGGGGATATGTTTACATTTTAGAGGTGGGTGGGGTCTAGCGTCCTTACCCATGCCGGCTGGTGGAGCCCCTGATATTTGTAATAAAGGAAGGGGGCCTAACAGATAGTTAATGTAATATCCAGTAGAATCAGAATATCCCTTTCTTTTTTCTGTAACTTTGCAAAATGTATTAAAAAATTTATAAAAAAGAAATTTACAAAAGGAGGGGGGCATAGTGTCCCCTACCTATGCCGGGGGCCCTAATAAGTATAATAAGGGGTGTGGGAGGGACCTAGTGTTTGTATGGAAGAGTCTAATGTACTAATATGGGTAAGTGTCTGATGTATTAGTGTAAACAATGGTGATGTGGTAGTTGACACTAATCTAAAACTAAAATTCGAAAAGTTGAGCAAGTATCATAAACATTCCATTGGTTTCCATGGTAATTGTGTTGCCCCCAGACTGTGCTTCATGCATGAGCTTCACTATTTACTTGGCTCTATGGTATTCACATTGCAAACCTCAGAGCTGGATTTCCAGTCATTCTTATGGAGGTATCTGTGCTGTATGTACGTAGGGTAAGATTTCTCATGGGGAATGGTAGAAAGAGAATGGCTACCTTATGGGACCTGTTTCCTAGAACTCGTAAAGGGATACTCCAGGCTGGACTTGGCTCATTATTCTTCCATGTATTATGCAAGTATAGAATTGAAATGATAGTTGCCAGTAAATGAAAAAAAACAATGAATTAAAAATTGTAAAAATAAAAATGGCACTTACATATGAAATGCTGCGTTTTCTGCAAAATTCAAGGCTGTGCAGGGTTTGTGTTGCCCTCTCACTAAACCACCCACTGACTGATTCCTACTGCACTTTCTATAGCCCTGCTTATGAGAGATGTAGATTCACAATAAATGGACAGATGTTGTATTGGGCATCCCTGCCCCAGGCTTCTGTGTTCAGTATGGTTTATCAGAATATGCAGAGTGTGTTTTATCATCTAGTGAGAAATATAAAACATATATAAATAGTAGATATCATTTACCGTAAATATATATAAATGTAAGGTCTACTTTCAAATTCTTATTAATTACCATTATATTGCGCACATTCTAAAATTTACAGCTGTGCTCTATGCAATATGAAGCTAAACAGTGAAAGTTACCATTCTCTACGTACCTTTTTATAGATAGCAATAACGCTGAGGGTGTTCCTAGAGCATGAGGGTCTAACTGCTGGCACTGGCATGGAATTGTGGGAGTTGTAATTCAATGAAAAAGATATTTGACACAAAGGAATTTGAAAATAATTTCACCACAAATTGTGAGGGCTTTAAAGGAAACTGCACCCACAGTACGTACCCACAAAATATGTCTGTAAAAAACATTTTACGCTAATGTTAGCATATTCACAGAAAAGGGATTGTATGGCATTGTATATTACTGTACAGTGTAAAAGCAAGGTGTTTTTTTTTTTTCATAAATTGTCTACTTTGAGTAAGCTTTGGGAACTCCTTCATGTTCAGTGGTGATATACGTCTAAATTGCTCAACATTGCTTGCGGATGTTGCACCATAACCACTCCAGTGAACTGTAGTGGTGATGGTGTTTTAGAGTGCCTCTGTAATTATGTAAAAATACCACTTGTACCTCTCCCTCCACTCTTACATGGGCCAGTACTCCAAGAGACTTCAAAATATTACTTTGGCACAACACTGCAAAAGGTTGCCTTGCCTTGTACTAGTATACACCGAACCCTGGTGGCCATATGTGGCACTGCATGTGAAATTATGTGTCTAACCCAAATTCTCAGAAGTAGGACTGTAGGGAATATTTTCTCCCCCATTTGCTTTGCCAGAGTCCTGCGAATGAGGCCACAGAGTCTGTACTGAGGCCTTCAGCAAGTTTCCATACATTACAATGGTTATAGATACAGACAATAATGCTCAAACTAATGTTTAATGCCTCATGCGTACTTACAGCTGCACACAGCCTGTGCATTGCTCTGTGTTCCAAGACCTGCTTTGAGTTGATATTTTGTCTTCGTATTTAATTGCTGTTAGTGCGGTGTGATTTTAGGGAAAAGCCCTGGTAATATAACATTAAATATTTAGCTAAACAGAGACATGTGTATTATGAATGTAACGGTAAAAGAAAACCTAATATGTTGTGAAAACTGAAAATTAACATTTACCCAAGAATGATGTTACATGTGAATGCCGGACATGTGAATTCCAGTAATGCTAGACAACACTGGAAGTAAATTACATCTTTGCGTTAACATAGTCTGCTGCTTATGAGGGAACGCTGCAGTATCATATCCTGCCACAGGGGGGCAGCTAAGGACTTCTGTTAGATTGCTATTCCCAATGCATACTGCAAGTGCTGCTGACTATATACGTTTCCTATGTCTGTGCATACTTTGATTTGTGATTGGTGAGAAGCATTAATATGTGTTAATAATATGTGATGTCAAGATGATTACTAGATTCTCAAAATGCACTATAAAACAAAAAAGCAGGCCAATCTGTCAGATCAGGAGAAAGGAGGGCTCCGATGATTTTATTTTTACAATTGACGACTAGCATAGCTCCATTATATGTGGAGTATTTTCTGAGGATTCTTCAAACAGCAGTCTGCCTAACTGTTAAAGGACCACTACAGTGCCAGGAAAACAAACTCGTTTTCCTGGTACTATAGTGCCCTGAGGGTGCCCCTCAGTGCACCAGGAACTGGCTGTAATTCCCACTGACATGGTGCTTTCCTATGGACGCTGGGTATTCTCACTGTGAAAATCACAGTGAGAAGCGCGGAAGCGCCTCAAGAGGCTGTCAATGAGACAGCAACTAGAGGCTGGATTAACCCATTTGTAAACATAGCAGTTTCTCTGAAACTGATATGTTTTCAGCTGCAGGGTTAAAACTAGGGGGACCTGGCACCCAGACCACTTCATTGAACTGAAGTGGTCTGGGTGCCTATAGTGGTCCTTTAAGGACAGAGCAGTCTGATATGCAGTGTATAGAGGAGGGACATAGCACTCAATGAGAATAGAGAGACTGGATGGGGTAATGAGAATACCAATATCTCTTACACCAAATAAATCACATCGTTGCTATGTATCTTGCATTAACACAATTCCCAAAGTAACATTTTCATGATAAGCCCCATTAAGTGGTAATATAATGTTATTTATTAACATGTTGGCGAGTAGCATCTGATTATCGCCCTCACTGTAAATAAAGAATCCACACTAAAACAATTCAACTAAATATTGGATATTTGCAAACGCTGACCTGGCCCTATCCTTTCATATGACTATGGATGCCCCGAGCCACTCTTTTAGGATTCAAAATGCTAAATGTGGCCTTCTGGCTGGATGTATGAAATCCCTCTCTCTCTGTAATGGGGTACAGTATAGAAGGGTTTCATCCTCTACCTACAGTCTCCCCCTCATTGCTTTATGTTTGGGTTTTGACACTCTAGTGTTTATTTGCTCATTACACCTTCTGTCACTCTGGTGACCCTGTATTTATTTATTACACACCTTGTTGCCCCAATGTTCTTGTATTCATATCACTCTGGTGTTCCATTATTTATTACACACACACTCCGTGTTTCCATATTCATTTATCACACCCCCTGTCACTCTTGGTTTCTCTTATTACTTTATTACACCTCATGTCACCCTGGTTTTCCCTTATTGATATATTACACCCCATGTCACTCTGGTTTTCCCTTATTGATATATTACACCCCTTGTCACTCTGGTTTTCCCTTATTGATATATTACACCCCCTGTCACTCTGGTTTTCCCTTATTGATATATTACACCCTCTGTCACTCTAGTTTTCCTTTAATGATTTATTACACCCCCTGTCACTCTGGTTTTCCCTTATTGATATATTACACCCCCTGTCACTCTTGGTTTCTCTTATTACTTTATTACACCTCATGTCACCCTGGTTTTCCCTTATTGATATATTACACCCCCTGTCACTCTGGTTTTCCCTTATTGATATATTACACCCCCTGTCACTCTTGGTTTCTCTTATTACTTTATTACACCTCATGTCACCCTGGTTTTCCCTTATTGATATATTACACCCCCTGTCACTCTGGTTTTCCCTTATTGATATATTACACCCCCTGTCACTCTGGTTTTCCCTTATTGATATATTACACCCTCTGTCACTCTAGTTTTCCTTTAATGATTTATTACACCCCCTGTCACTCTGGTTTTCCCTTATTGATATATTACACCCCCTGTCACTCTGGTTTTCCCTTATTGATATATTACACCCCCTGTCACTCTGGTTTTCCTTTATTGATATATTACACCCCCTGTTTCTCTGTTTTTCCCTTATTCATTTATTACACCTCCTGTCATGCTAGTGTCCCTTAGGGGTGCCCAACAGGTAGATCCCCAGATGTTGTAAAACTACAACTCCAATGATGCTTTGTATGCCTTTAGAATGATAAAGCATCATGGAAGCTGTAGTTTTAGAACATTTCTGGATCTACCTTTTGAGCACCCCTGCTCTAGTTTATTACACCTTCTGTCCCTCTCTTTGTCTTTTTTACTCATCTTCATTCATTATATACTTGGTGGATCAAGTGTCCCCCCCCCCCCAATATTTGTTATAAATATTATCATTATGGTACTCTTCATTATTACCCTAATAGTGTGTACTCTGTCTCCCTCCTGCCCATATAACTATACTGGGCTACTTAGTTTGAAACGTCACTGCTTGGTTTCTTTCTTTCTTTTTTTTTGTTTCGTCTGACCTCTGCTTCATCTTAGTGCCACCTATGGGTGGTGGCACACAGCAAACCTGGTTTCTGTCTTTGTGTCAGTGTTTGCAGTCTCCCCTGGCACTCAGATCACTGTAACAGGCAGATAAAGCACTGTGATAACATCTGCTGTCAGTGCGATAAAGCAATAGCCAGCCTGCCCTCCAGGGCTGTGAGCTGCTCCCTGCATGAAAACCAGAGCGGTAGGCTGTATAATCTACATGCAGTCACAGCCACAGCCACACTTCTCTGGACACAGAGACCTGCTGTATATTCCACTGCTGCTGGAACACGCCGCTGGCAGGATCACAATGAGTCCTGTTCCGTGCTCTACATTGGTATTATGTCTCTGTTGACAATGTATATACAGTGTGAGATTGAGCTTGCTGGGTCTGGGTTTGCGAGCCCTGCTTTTACTTATTTTACACCAAACGTTCTCCAGGGCATTAAATATTGTATTGTTATCCAAGTGACCTCCTGCCTTCCTGTTAGGCTACAAGTCAGTGTGTGTAAACAGCCTTAGTCTGCATAATAAAATACCAGTATCTGACATTTCATATTAACCTTTAACACAAATTGTATATAGGTTTAGATATTTATAAAATTCAGCAAAAGACAAACATCCAAACGGGCTCAGTGACGTGATGGGTGACCGTCACAGTGACTCAGATAATACCCTTCCACCGCAGTCTCAGAGTAACACGGTGACACATACTGAGTTACTTATTAAAGACACCAGTGATTTGCATTTTGATGCCAAAATAGCTGAAATGGGAAAAATGTTCTAAGTCAACAATGTTTCTAATTTGGCTATTTTGTAGTTTGAAATTTCCATTGAATTTGCTTAACTTCCGACAATTCAGTTTCGTGAGTCACCTTTACATAATGGGGACACAGTGGATGTGGTTATGTGGTGTGGAGGCCCACCCTTATAGTCTGCATTGAACCATTTAAAAAAAAAAAAAAAATACATTTTAAACAAGACTCCCCAGTGGTCAATCCCCTCTGAGTTGCTTGGATTAATGAGAAAGTATTAGCCTGGGCAGTAATGGACAGCTGTGATTGGCTGAGAGTGTCAGCTCTCTGCTTTCAGCCTATCACAGTGCCCACTGCTGTTACGACTTGGTATGGCTAGAAGGGAGTACGTAATCTCTGATTTAGCCATACCTCCAGAGAGGGCTGGTCTGTGGGTGGCCAGGGACCCTTATTTAGTGTTAAATTGGTTGAGCATTGTTTGACTGCAAGAGGGAGAGTGTCACTCGACTCTAAGAACTATAAATAATTCAAGTGACATGAAATGGTCATAGTGCCTACACTGTCCCTTTAAAGGATTGCAATGGCCGAAGGATGCATCTCTTGCCTGCATCTCTTTAACACAGCAACACTGCTAATAGGTGGCAGTGAATCTGTGTCAATCCTGGCAGAGTGGGACGTATAGAACCTAGTTGGTAATATGTCTATTCCACTATATGGTGACTGTGTGACTCATGTTAAAATTAGTCCGATGGGACCTTCTACTAGTGGATGGCACTGGCCGGTACTTACAAAGGAGCTTCGCTATATCTAGCGCTGCCAGATCTGTCATGTTTCCTCGAATATTGTCACTTTACACAAAAATACTGCCCTGCAATATGTAGGATCCATATGCTACAACAGTCCTCTTTGAGCTGCACTCCAATGTGCACTGTACATGACATGGCAACACTTTTCATGCAGTGACCATCAATACACGTAAGTGACGTGTCCAGAATAACCTGCAGCCCTAATTACTGTATATCAGAACAGGTGGCAATAACAGTTCCTACTTTTTACCACTAGGGGTCTCTCTTGTACATTCATCATCGGTTTTAGCTTCTTATACCAAAAGCAGATTTTAATGTACTCTCAACAATATTACAGCAATAAAGATCATTTCTAAAAAAATAAAAATAAAATCCTGTGGTCCTGTGGTATTTTACGAACTGTTGTTTTAATCCTTGCAGCTATTGATTTAATGATTACTCGTTATCTGCATAGATCATTTTTTGTTTATCTCCAAACTCTGTGGGGTCTGTTTTTACTAAGCATTGAGGTCAGATTACTTGAAAATCGACTTGATGAATTAAGGCCCAAATGATTCCGTTTGGTAAAATCTCAACCTTGACTGAACTGGTGAGATTTATCAAACTCTGATATTTTGATCCAAATCGTCCCCTTCCGCTCAGATTGTGAGCTTGTTTGAGCAGGGGCCTCTGTATCCCTTGTATTTATCAATATTTCTTTGTATATTCAATATCCCCAATGTATAATTGTAAAGAATATACAATGCTGTATAAATCCTAATAATACGTTTTGCTAGGCAATTCTCCTGTCATCAGAATTCACAGTTTAGTGAAAAGACCCCACTGCTCATTGTTTATAAACCATTAATTAGACATGAGTTTTACAAAGAAAAATGCAACGATACATGTCTTTTATATTGAGATTTCCTCCACTACCCATCCTACAGCATGTGTGAAGTATGTAGGCTTGCCAAATCAGACCTTCTTTTTTCTTACCAGACACACAACTTCTGTTTTCACTGAAGCAACTCATTAAAAGCACTGAGCTGCACTATATAGAATTTTAGATTTCCAGAGGGAAACCAGTTGATTAATCACAGTTGTTCCTGTGGGATCACTACTGTGATTAAATAATTGATTTCCCACCGGCAACACATGAATTCTATATACATCTGTTGGAAAATGGCCTGTCCAGCAAGTGTTATTATATGTACCAGGTGTATAATTAACTTCCAGCAAGATCACTTTGTTACAGATTACTTGGAAAGACTATGTTTTCATTGTCTTCTCCAGCCAAGGGACCTTTAAATGGTTAATGTAAATGTCTGAGAACTCCTCTGGGTGTCCTTTTGCACTCATCATCATCAGATAGAATGTTGTGGTTTATGTGGGCCTTGACTGAATCGTGCCACCAGGCCACATGAATTAATGATGATGCTTTGTGGCTCCGTGATAACGTGTGCTGGTTCACTGGGTGTGAAATTCTAGAAGTGACAGGGCTGGAATGTCAATTTTCGGGTTTAGTAGTGGTAGTTAAGGTATCATTTTACTGTAACGACAAAATAAAATAACATGGATATTACATGTTCGTTACTTGATAAGGAAATGTAAATACCGTCATTAGAACTCTTCAGTAATTTGTTACCGCTTTGTCATTCATCAAGTGACAGACATTAACTGTCATTATATTATATATCTAGGTCTAGTTTAATCATAGTCCGCTTGGACTGTAATTTGGGTTTCTTAGAGTGTGAGACGTGGGAGAGATTTTAGTTTGTTGTGTTCTCATGTTGTTAAAGCTACTTCATAAAGTAACACCCAGTAGACTATCACCCTCTTTCGGGAGTCCTTATTCTAACTATCTCTCGCTCTCTTCTGAACAAGGTTGGGGAAGGGAGGGGAGGGGAGGGAGGGAACCTTTTTTTGAAAAATCAAATATAATTTTAAATTTAAATTCTTTTAATTTATTATTTTTATTTAAATCTCTTTCTGGCCCTGGACAATTTTGCGATGTGATTTCAGCTTGGACACAATCCCTTGTGTGACGAATGCCACTTCGCCACTGGGGTTTGGAGGGGACTACTTGCCAGCCTTTTACCCTGTGACCATGGCTGCCCCTTTAATTAATTGTGGTTGAGAGACCCTATTTGTGGCTATTGGGACTTTAAAAAATGCTTCTTAGAACTCCCGAAGAGTCGAAGTGGCCGCCATTTGACATTCGAACACGTGGTGGCGGCCATCTTGTTTGCATGGACCAAAACCACGAATAGACTTCAGGGCGACTTAGCCGCAAATGCCCTGGAACTATTTTCGACATGAAAACCTCGTGGTTACCGTTCGGTTCTCCAGCTGCACTTAGCCGCGATTCTATGGAACTGTTGGAAAACTATGACTTCCATAAAATTTCTGAACTCCTGATCTGGGGGATTTTTGGATATGTTGTTCACCCAGATCAGTGCTATCAGGGGATGTAATGGGGATGTGTTGTGTTTTGGGGTACTTATTGGACTTTATAAAAATGTGTGGGTTTTTTTCTGCCTGGGGATAATTAAGTTAATGCATTATCTGTCTTAATTATATCACAGTCAGAGGGGAAGGTTTGTGTACTGTATGTGGGAGTGTCATTCATTGTCACATTTTTTTTATTGGCTTGTACACATTGTGTCTCTGTGCCCAAAAAGGTCCATCTGGGTGTCACCTTTGTTGGGAAACTTGCATAAAAGGCCAGTGTGCATCCATTAAAATTGAGCTCCTGTTTAACCTTCAACACGTAGCCTCTAATCACTAGCTTTTGTAAGTTCTGTTCCTGCTACGCTCTCTGAAGTAGGAGAGGTCCTTCCCACGTGGTCCTGGATATCCGAGGTTGGTCCAGGGTGGGAGGAAGATGGCAAGATCCCAGCTAAGCTACGGTGGTTGTGGAGTCTGCGGTGCTTGTGGTGTCTGGTGTGGTGCTTATGGTCCTCAGCGTCAGCTAGGAAGCATCTGTTGGCGGAGGTGCCCAGTCGGGGTGCCCGGTGATCCCTTACACCCTGGATCACAATATTTGCATTTGCCGTTAAGCCTTTCCCACTGGCAGCTGAAATTTCCATGAAATACACCCAAATAGGGTATTTTTTCCAACCAGCTAATGTTGTCAACCAAGTTAAGCACACCTACATTTCTCCATGGCGACTTTACATACCAAACATTGGAATCCCGGGAAGCAGGACGCTGGTGGGAAAGGGTAAAGGGGGTGGATTCCATCATTGGCAGGATTACCGGCAGGAATACACACCAGGCTGGTTGCCAATCAATAAATGTGGGTATCCAGGAGCTTCATAGTTAAATCACAATAAATAAGTGAATGAAAATAAATATAAAAATGAAAAAACATTTTTTATATATATATATATATATATATATATATATATATATATCCTATACCAAAAATATACAAATTGTAAGAGATATATAGATAACAGAAAACAAATGACTTCTTAATATTTAAAACCATTAAAACACAGAAGTCCAAAAACAATTTGAACGTAATAGTCACTTGAATATATCTCAGTCCCAGCAGTATTAAGAGTCTCTTTTTTGTATCATAAACAACCTATGTCCTGCTTTCATAAACAATACATAATTGATTAGGTCCTTATGAAATTAGTATACTTTACATATGAGAAAGATAGATAGTAATTAAGATTGTAACAAGGCGTGTTAGTACAGAGAACTAACAGCCTCGATCAGTGTCTTCGATGACACATTATGAGGCTTGCTGTCAAACTTTGTAAAAATGGAAAAATATAACAGTGCATAAAAAGGATACTAAACTAATGTTAGTATCAAAAGTGTATATATAAAAAAAACGAAGGTGATTTGTTAAAAATTTATACATTTTATTCATAAATACTAAAAACAGTTTCCAATAAAAGAAATTCAAAAAATAACGATCAGAATATAAAATCCCTATGGAGTCCAGAATAAGGAGGATAAAAAAAAGGCAATGTGACCTGTTTCACCAACCCGGATGGATGAGGATGATAATAGTTGGTTTCCTTATCGGTAGTGCAGCAGCCGGTGAGGTCCTGGATATCCGAGGTTGGTCCAGGGTGGGAGGAAGACGGCGAGATCCCAGCTAAACTACGGCGTCTATGGAGTCTGCAGTGCTTCTGGTGTCTGGTGTGGTGCTTATGGTCCTCAGCGTTAGCTAGGAAGCATCTTTTGGCGGAGGTGCCCAGTCGGGGTGCCCTGTGATCCCTTACACCCTGGATCACAATATTTGCATTTTCCGTTAAGCCTTTCCCACAGTCAGCTCAAATTTCCATAAAATACACCCAAATAGGGTATTTTTTTCCAACCAGCTAATGTTGTCAACCAAGTTAAGCACACCTACATTTCTCCGTGGCGACTTGTGTCATGTTACCTTTACATACCCAACATTGGAATCCCGGGAAGCAGGACGCTGGTGGGAGAGGGTAAAAGGGGTGGATTCCATCATAGGCAGGATTACCGGCAGGAATACAAACCAGGCTGGTTGCCAATCAAGCTGGCCAGCCCACTGAGGGCAGGATGTGCAGGGAGCACTGTTTCAGTACTTTCTAGGGCCCTAAATGCAGCACAAGTGCATCTATGATGCTACACTATTTGGTGACCTTTTCCTGGTTTCTTCAAAAGCAGGAAACTAAGGAACATAAAAGAAACTGAGTGGTGGGACCCGAAAATCTTGAATGTACTGCCGAAATCAGTATGGATGGGAAGCATGCTTTTATTTCTGATCTTATGTGTCTAGTTTGGTTGGTTGTTAATATATTTCTCCTCTTATTTATTACTGGCATTTATAAAGCGCCAACATATCCTGCACGTTTTACAATTAGAGGAGAATGTACAATATACACAGACCAATAAAAAAGTTAAAGAGGGCCCTGTCTGCGATCTGAGATCCGGTGTAGCCATTGAAGCTCTTTTGTACAAAGCGATTAGTTAGATTGCTTATGAGCTAACAAGCTAAAGGTCATCTTTATTCTGGCTCCTCCTCCTTACTGTGTCACATGGTTCTCCAGACTCCATTTTAGAACATCCAGCAGTCCATAAAAACTTACTTCTTGTTGCCCTAACAACCATGATTTCAAAATATCCCACTTACTTACATATTGTGCCTACTAATACAGGACTTGATAAGGTGTCGTAGTGTTTCTGTTAGACATAATGTACTAAACTGTGCGTGCATTTTCTCTCACGCCATCAGAGGGTATTGGCAACTATCTTGTCAGAAACGGTAGATAACGTCCAGAATACCCGCTGCATTTTGTATCTACTATTCTATTTATTAGCCTGTTTAGTTTTATTTGCTACTGTATCAGCTTATTGTACAGCACTACTGAATCTTGCTGGCGCTATATATAAATTATAATAATTACAAGTGTAGTTAACTGAATGGATTTTACATTCTTTACCTTATTTAAATCACATTGATATAAATCAAACAGCCCTGCTTTCTAACTACCCCATCCCTCTCTCCCCACCAGCACCTATACCCTCTCTCCCATTTCCTTTCTATCTACCTTACTTAGTATCATAGGGATGTCGTTTCACATCAGCAAAGAAACCACAGACCACCACAGTGTCACTGACATAAGCACCTTCATTGAAATCAAATCCAGTAATTAAATAAGGATTTGCAACATAGTTACTCTTGATTGTTCATGGTGTAATCTTCCGCATCCAGGCTTAGGGTGATGGGAGTTGCTGTACAACAGGTGCAGTGCTGTAATTACCCGACCGTGATGTAAGCCTTTATCTGTCGTTCCTAACTTACCAGCATCCTTTCCGGCATGTAAATCACTGAATAGGTCTGTCTCTTTTCCACATTGCTGTCTAACACGTTTTGCGCTTTCTTTCTGCAGTCAGGCGCTTGGACTCTTCACGTAAGTCTGTCTTCTCTCTCTGCACGTTGTGTCAGTTTCCTTGTGCATGATATATCCTGACTGTCTCTGTGTATAATATTTCCTGACTGTCTCTGTGTATAATATTTCCTGACTGTCTCTGTGTGTAATATATCCTGACTGCCTCTGTGTATGATCTATCCTGACTGTCTCTGTGTATAATATATCCTGACTGTCTCTGTGTATAATATATCCTGACTGTCTCTATGTATGATATAACCTCGCTGTCCCCGTGTATGCTATATCCTGACTGTCTCTGTGTATGATATATCCTGACTGTCCCTGTGTATGATATAACCTTGCTGTCTCCGTGTATGATATATCCTGACTGTCCCTGTGTATGATATAACCTTGCTGTCTCCGTGTATGATATATCCTGACTATCCCTGTGTATGATATAACCTTGCTGTCTCCGTGTATGATATATCCTGACTGTCTCTGTGTATGATATAACCTCGCTGTCCCCGTGTATGATATATATCCTGACTGTCCCTGTGTATGATATAACCTTGCTGTCCCCGTGTATGATATATCCTGACTGTCTCTGTGTATGATATATCCTGACTGTCCCTGTGTATGATATAACCTTGCTGTCTCCGTGTATGATATATCCTGACTGTCTCTGTGTATGATATAACCTCGCTGTCCCCGTGTATGATATATATCCTGACTGTCCCCGTGTATGATATAACCTCGCTGTCCCCGTGTATGATATAACCTTGCTGTCTCCGTGTATGATATATCCTGACTGTCCCTGTGTATGATATAACCTTGCTGTCTCCGTGTATGATATATCCTGACTATCCCTGTGTATGATATAACCTTGCTGTCTCCGTGTATGATATATCCTGACTGTCCCCGTGTATGATATAACCTCGCTGTCCCCGTGTATGATATATATCCTGACTGTCTCTATGTATGATATAACCTCGCTGTCCCCGTGTATGATATATCCTGACTGTCTCTGTGTATAATATATCCTGACTGTCCCTGTGTATGATCTATCCTGACTGTCCCTGTGTATGATCTATCCTGACTGTCCGCGTGTATGATATATCCTGACTGTCCCCGTGTATGATATAACCTCGCTGTCCCCGTGTATGATATAACCTCGCTGTCCCCGTGTATGATATATCCTGACTGTCTCTATGTATGATATAACCTCGCTGTCCCCGTGTATGATATATCCTGACTGTCCCCGTGTATGATATATCCTGACTGTCCCCGTGTATGATATATCCTGACTGTCTCTGTGTATAATATATCCTGACTGTCTCTATGTATGAAATAACCTCGCTGTCCCCGTGTATGCTATATCCTGACTGTCCCTGTGTATGATATAACCTCGCTGTCCCCGTGTATGATATAACCTCGCTGTCCCCGTGTATGATATATCCTGACTGTCCCCGTGTATGATATATCCTGACTGTCTCTGTGTATGATATATCCTGACTGTCTCTGTGTATGATATATCCTGACTGTCCCTGTGTATGATATAACCTCGCTGTCCCCGTGTATGATATATCCTGACTGTCCCTGTGTATGATATAACCTTGCTGTCCCCGTGTATGATATATCCTGACTGTCTCTATGTATGATATAACCTGACTTCCAACGTGTATGATATAACTGGACCTTTGTCTTTAGTGTGTTGCTATAACCTTGCTGTCCCTGTGTCTTTAAATTCCCTTTCTCTTCCTTCACTATATTTGTATTTCTAGTCATATACTTTGTGTACTTCCCTCTTCGTCTACTTACCTCAATGACCCTTTGAGCTACATCTCACTCTTTTTTTCTGAACTTTACTCTTTATATACCAGCTTCTCACGCTCCCCCAGTCTTTCAATACCAGCTTCTCGCCCTCCCCCAGTCTTTCAATACCAGCTTCTCGCCCTCCCCAGTCTTTCAATACCAGCTTCTCGCCCTCCCCAGTCTTTCTATACCAGCTTCTCGCCCTCCCCCAGTCTTTATATACCAGGTTCTCACCCTCCCCCAGTCTTTATATACCAGGTTCTCGCCCTCCCTCAGTCTTTATATACCAGGTTCTCGCCCTCCCCAGTCTTTATATACCAGCTTCTCGCCCTCCCCCAGTCTTTATATACCAGCTTCTCACCCTCCCCCAGTCTTTAAATACCAGCTTCTCACCCTCCCCCAGTCTTTATATACCAGCTTCTCGCCCTCCCTCAGTCTTTATATACCAGGTTCTCGGCCTCCCCCAGTCTTTATATACCAGCTTCTCGCCCTCCCCCAGTCTTTATATACCAGCTTCACACACCCTCCACCAGTCTTTATATACCAGGTTCTCGGCCTCCCCCAGTCTTTATATACCAGCTTCGCACACCCTCCCCCAGTCTTTAAATACCAGCTTCTCACCCCCCCCAGTCTGCACCCAGAGATCTCGTTACCCCTATGTATAATTTATAGCTTTCTCTCCTGCCATTTATGTAGCTTCCCAACACTCTTTCATCTATTTCTCATGCAATCCACTCAATAATCTATACCCTTTTATCTCTTTAACTTCCTTTCTTGCCCCCTTGATCTTACTTGCACGTGTCCCATCTGCCCATCCATCCTATCAGGCACCTTTCATTTCTGTTCCTATCTTCCTTTCACCCATATTTCCATTTAGTTAACTAGCTCCCTGTAACTACTTTTTTTTTTTTCTTGCTCAGTTTTTGGGTTACCTCTTGCCCATTTCTCAGATTATCCCATCACCTACATTTCATACCTTTACCCACCTCACCCACTTTTCTAGTGACACCTCAGCACTTTATCTCACTACCTCTTCTTCTTCTTGCGGAGTCTTTTTTTTTAATCCCTCTCACCCAGCATCTGCCCTCATCAGCAACGTCCATCTTTTACATTCTCTCACCTCGTCCTCATTCTAACTACCTCTTGCTATCTATAGACTTTCTCTATCTGCTCCTTTCCTCCCTCCCTACAAGTACTCCTCTCTAACCTTACCTGTACTCCTCTCTATCCTTACCTGTACTCATCGCTATCCTTACCTGTACCCGTCTCTATCCCTACCTGTACCCGTCTCTATCCCTACCTGTACTCGTCTCTATCCCTACATGTACCACTCTATCCCTACCTGTACCCATCTCTATCCCTACCTGTACCACTCTATCCCTAGCTGTACCCATCTCTATCCCTACCTGTACCCATCTCTATCCCTACCTGTACCCGTCTCTATCCCTACCTGTACTCATCTCTATCCCTACCTGTACTCCTCTCTATCCCTACCTGTACCCATCTCTATCCCTACCTGTACCCATCTCTATTCCTACCTGTACCCATCTCTATCCCTGCCTGTACCCATCTCTATCCCTGCCTGTACCCATCTCTATCCCTACCTGTACCCATCTCTATCCCTACCTGTGCCATCTCTATCCCTACCTGTACTCATCTATATCCCTACCCGTACCAATCTCTATCCCTACCTGTACCCATCTCTATCCCTACCTGTACCCATCTCTAACCCTACCCTGTACCCATCTCTATCCCTACGTGTACCCATCTCTATCCCTACCTGTATCCATCTATATCCCTACCTGTACCCATCTCTATTCCTACCTGTACCCATCTTTATCCCTACCTGTACCACTCTATCCCTACCTGTACCCATCTCTATCCCTACCTGTACCCGTCTCTATCCCTACCTGTACTCCTCTCTATCCCTACCTGTACCCATCTCTATCCCTACCTGTACCCATCTCTAACCTTACCCTGTACCCATCTCTATCCCTACCTGTTCCCATCTATATCCCTACCTGTACCCATCTCTATTCCTACCTGTACCCATCTGTATCCCTACCTGTACCCATCTATCCCTACCTGTACCCCTCTCTATCCCTACCTGTACCCATCTCTATCCCTACCTGTACCCATCTCTATCCCTACCTGTGCCATCTCTATCCCTACCTGTACCCATCTCTATCCCTACCTGTACCCATCTCTATCCCTACCTGTACCCATCTATATCCCTACCTGTACCCATCTCTATCCCTACCTGTACCCATCTTTATCCCTACCTGTACCACTCCTATCCCTACCTAAAATTTGACATCTCTATCCCTACCTAGCTCCCATCCTATCCCCTACCTTGTACCCATTCTTATCCCTACTCCAGCGATCCCTACTCCAGCTCCATCTCTATTCCTACCTGTACCCATCTATATCCCTACCTGTACCCATCTCTATCCCTACCTGTACCCATCTCTATTCCTACCTGTACCCATCTCTATCCCTACCTGTACCCATCTCTATCCCTACCTGTACCCATCTCTATTCCTACCTGTACCCATCTCTATTCCTACCTGTACCCATCTATATCCCTACCTGTACCCATCTCTATTCCTGCCTGTACCCATCTCTGTCCCTACCTGTACCCATCTCTATTCCTACCTGTACCCATCTCTATCCCTACCTGTACCCATCTCTATGCCTACCTGTACCCATCTCTATTCCTACCTGTACCCATCTCTATTCCTGCCTGTACCCATCTCTATCCCTACCTGTACCCATCTCTATCCCTACCTGTACCCATCTCTATCCCTACCTGTACCCATCTCTGTCCCTACCTGTACCCATCTCTATTCCTGCCTGTACCCATCTCTATCCCTGCCTGTACCCATCTCTATCCCTACCTGTACCCATCTCTATTCCTACCTGTACCCATCTATATCCCTACCTGTACCCATCTGTATTCCTACCTGTACCCATCTCTATCCCTACCTGTACCCATCTATATCCCTACCTGTACCCATCTCTATTCCTACCTGTACCCATCTCTATCCCTACCTGTACCCATCTCTATCCCTACCTGTACCCATCTCTATTCCTGCCTGTACCCATCTCTATTCCTGCCTGTGCCATCTACACAAGGAACCCCTCTCTGTCTCTTGTATGTGTTACTTTATTACTTACACTGCCTGCCAATCATCCCTTTGTAGCTACTCGAACTAATTTTCTATCTTCCTCTTTACCTTTCTTTTTCACCTTTCTATTTATGCGATTCACATCCAATATATTCCTGTGACAAATAAAATTTGCTATGGTGTCTGCTTGGTGATAAGGAACACTGTCTGTCAATGAGTCAAACTGTGAGTGGCCCTGGTCTCCTGGGGTTTGTATGGAGTGTCTCTCAACTCGCAGCAATGATTGACATACCCCACAGCTTGTTCTGCTCTGGTCTCGTCATGTCTCGGGAGACTTGGCAGCTTTTGTTTTCTTCTGGAGCTGAAATTTGGGATTCAAGCTGTAATCTCTTAAAGCGAGTCTTACAGCTCACATAGTGGATTTTCTATTGTATCAGATGTTGTATGTTGAGCTCCTGCCCCCAGCTCACGCCACTGATTCCAGGCCTGATCTCTTGTATGTAATCTCCTGTTGCCACTTTTACTTTCAATATTTTTCACACTCTCTGTTTTTTTTTTGTGTCATTACTCTGTTGTTCTCACCATGTCTAATGTTTCACTCTACAGACTAAGGAACAGCGCGCACACACAAATACAGTTTTAAATTTTACAAGGGTTCTTAAAACCGCCTTTCTCTGTGATTTGGGGGATATATGGGGATTCAGTTCCACAAAATGACCATATCGTGTTAAGCCCACCACTATGTCATAGTACCCCAAAATCGCTGGGTCCTACACTATTTTTTAACATGGGAGATAAACAACTACTTAACTAGTGACACTGCTAAATGGATATAAATTAAAGTCCATTCAATGAATCCTTTGTCAGTGCTTTGTTAATATATCACTCAAAATGCAAAACAATAAAAAATAAAAAAATAAGAAAGTGCCATAACTATCTAAATAATTAAAGTCAGAGTACTTTTAAATATATATTGACAATGCATTGTGATAAATCTGCTCTCTATCCCCTTTTTAATATATTTTTTAAAAACTGTCATCTTACTAATTACCAGCTAACTCTACCTTTCACTACGTTCTTACTCTGTCTGTCAGTCTTTTCCTATCTGTTAGTCTTTCAGCCTTATCCATCTCTCTCCATCGCCTGTCTTTCGATCAGTTTAGAGTCTGTCTATCCCATACTCCATTTGTCTTTTTCTACCTATCTCCAAATCTATCCGGCCTCATCCATCTCTACTTTATCCTTATTTTTGCTCTTTCTCGATTTTCCGCTAACCCTTCTTTTAAAACCTCACCCTCGTCGCCCCTTTTACTGCACTTCCCTGGTAACTTCTGCCTTGCATCTCTAACACTTCTCGGTGTACATTTATCCTCTCCATCGATCCATAATTACTACAATTCCAGGATACCTTTTATAACGTGTAAAACATATTGCATTTAAAGTACAAATGGAACAACACAATAGCTAGCTCAAAGTTCACTTCCTTTCCTATCCATATTTATTTTTTAATTTACCTTGTAATCCTGTACCTTGTTTTCCTGGCACAGCTAGAGCTGTGCATACAGCGCTGCGGAATTTGTTGGCGATTTATAAATAATAATAAAAGGAATGCCAAGGAATTCTGAGCTCAGACACTGCTATGCTTCAGTGTTTCACTCTTTTTTTTTTCTATGTGGTTGGCATTTCTTTTTTGGTTCATGACTCTTTTTTTTTTTTGCCCTCCGTGTTTCATCTTACCAACTCCTTCTCTGGATAATTCACTTATCTCCAGTCTCTAATTCTCTCCTTCCCCCACCTGCCTCATTCTCTCGCTTACTCTGTGTCTGTGAAGTGTTTTCCTGGTTTCGTTACACACTCCTCACATTTTCACCGTTCTCCAATCGAGCGATGGTTCTAGTGTGCGATATTTAACCCTTTGGCAGCCGATGGTACTGCACATCGCACAGAGTAATTAACCTGCTGATATTCAGAGGGTTCATTTACCTCATTTACATCTCCTTCTCTTCTCCTGATTTTCTCTTTCTCACCCCTTGACAGCCTCGCACTTTGTACTCGATGATTTCTGGGTCTCATTACCCTCTGTCCCCCACATCTGCCCTTTATACCATATCACACTGCTTCCTGCGCAATGTTTTATCCCCCACTGGCGGGTTTTCTTCTTTCACTTACCTCTTTTTACTTGTTCGCCTTTCCCCATCCACCTCATTAAATCTTATTTTCTTTATTAATATTTTTTTTTCACTACATTCCTTTATTTATTTGTTCTTCTTTTTTGTCTTGTTCCTTCCTTTCTTTTCTATTTTTTTACTTTTATCATTCCCTTTTTTTCTTTTAAACGATGAGTTTTCGTTCTCTTACCCACGAAACTCGAAATCCAATCGTTGTATTAATTTATTTCCGTGGCTGTGTTTCTCCCCTCATTATTCTTCCTTCTATCCCATTCTCTAATTGCCTCCTTTTTACTTTCTCACTCACACTTCCTCTCTGTCACCCCTCCCTACTTTTTACATTAAATGTATGTAGATTTTTAAAAGATTCAGTAAAAATCCCTTTGACCTAAATACAGATTGAATGAGGTAGAAGTGAAGCATGGGAGGGGGAATGGACATATTTGGGTAGCAGGATCACCAGTCATACAACACTCTGCTCTCACATATCACTCATTCAAACCCATTATTGCCCTTTACCTGCAGGTCAATTCCTTCTGCTTTACTTACGCCACTTTAACTTTTCTTTCTTCATGCCATCTTTACATTTTCTGCTACCCGTGACTATATATATTGTGTGTGTGTGTGTATGTATGAATATATAAAGTATAGATATTATGGCGCTCCCCCAGTATTCCAATGTGTAATAATCCACTTGGATCTCATTCTAAAATTCTGTATTTGGATCTGTAACTGTATCTATTTTCATATCTATCATTTTCTTCCTGTATCCCAGTCTATACCTCTCTCCTCGTATCCCAGTCTAAAACTCTCTCGCTCTCACTGTATCCCCATCTATAACGCTCTCCCTATATCCCTACCTCTTTGTTACTTATTGATCTCTGTCTATCATTTTCTTTCTGTATCCCAGTCTATAACTCTCTCCCTGTATCTTCATATAACTCTCCCCCTGTATCCCAGTCTATAACTCTCTCCCTGTATCTTCATGTAACTCTCTCCCCGTATCCCAGTCTATAACTCTCTCCCCGTATCCCAGTCTATAACTCTCTCCCTGTATCTTCATATAACTCTCTCCCCGTATCCCTGTCTATAACTCTCTCCCCGTATCCCAGTCTATAACGCTCTCCCTGTATCCTCATATAACTCTCTCCCTGTATCCCAGTCTATAACTCTCTCCCTGTATCTTCATATAACTCTCCCCCTGTATCCCAGTCTATAACTCTCTCCCTGTATCTTCATATAACTCTCTCCCCGTATCACAGTCTATAACTCTCTCCCCGTATCCCAGTCTATAACTTTCTCCCCGTATCCCAGTCTATAACTCTCTCCCTGTATCCCAGTCTATAACTTTCACCCCTTATCCCAGTCTATAACTTTCTCCCCGTATCCCAGTCTATAACTTTCTCCCCGTATCCCAGTCTATAACTCACTCTCCCCGTATCCCAGTCTATAACCCTCTCCGTGTATCTTCATATAACCCTCTCCCCGTATCCCAGTCTATAACTCTCTCCCTGTATCTTCATGTAACTCTCTCCCTGTATCCCAGTCTATAACTCTCTCCCTGTATCTTCATATAACTCTCCCCCTGTATCCCAGTCTATAACTCTCTCCCTGTATCTTCATGTAACTCTCTCCCCGTATCCCAGTCTATAACTCTCTCCCCATATCCCAGTCTATAACTCTCTCCCTGTATCTTCATATAACTCTCTCCCTGTATCCCAGTCTATAACGCTCTCCCTACATTTCTATCTCTTTATTGTTACTTATTGATCCGTTTCCACGGCCCATAAAGCTCTGACCTTATCTCTTCAGATAAGATCTTTTAATTTGCTAACACTCTCTCCTCTCTCTCTATGTTCTGGTTTCTACACACAGTGTCTTTCTCTATTATCATTCTCACTCCCATTGTGTCTCCTGCTCCTCTTATCCCTTGTTCACTATACCATTTAAAAGCTCACTCCCCCAACCTGCTGTTTCTTTGCCATTTCTTACTTTCTCTCTATTTTCACTCTCCCTTTTTCTGCAATCTCCCTTTCTTACTCCTTTTTCTCCATCTCTCCCTCTGTCCATCTCACATCTCCCCCTCCTCTCTTCCTCTCTCATTTCTCATTCTCTTTGTAATCCCTAGCTCCCTTCGGCGTGGGTGACATCAATGTGTCTCCTCCCCCCCCCCCGCTCCCTCTCTTGCTCTCTCTCTCCATCTCTCTGTCGCTCTCTAGACTGCAGAATCAAATCAGGAATCATGCAGATGCTGCGGCTCTCTCACACCTCATCCCCGGGCTGGCTCTCTCAGCTGTTCCTGCCAGTCTGATTCTGCTACTGGTGGTCTCACCTTCTCTGTGTTTCCACTCTTCCCTTCCATAATCTTACCATCATTCTTCTATTTTGTTCCGCATCCATTCTTCTCTTTCTGTTCCCCTTCTCTCTATCCAACCGTTCCCCCCACAATCTGTCTATTTGTTTTTCATTGCCTGCCTTGTCTTAATCTATCCTTTCTCTTTTCTTCCTGTTGAATCTCTTTGCTCTCCTCTTGTACATCTTTTCAATTTATCATTTCTTCCTCTATCTCTCTGTTTGTTTTCTTCCCTATCGCCAATCCGCACTCTCCTTTACGCTTCTTTTCTCTCTTTATTTCTGTTTGCCTCACAATGCCTCCTTGTACCCCCAGTCTCCCAGGCCTCCTCCGTGTCTTCTGCTTCTCTCCCCCCCAATAATGTCTCCCCCTTTAGTCATGTCTGTCTCTCTGTGCGTGTCTGTCCTGACGCTCTTGCTGTGTACTGCGGTCTCAGGTAAAAGAGCACTGCACGTGGGTGCTCTCTTCCCCATGAGTGGGGGGTGGCCCGGTGGACAGGCCTGTCACCCTGCTGCACAGATGGCCCTGGAAGATGTCAATAACAGGAGGGACATTTTGCCGGAATATGAACTGCGGCTTATACACCATGACAGTCAGGTGAGCATAGGGGTAACATCTGGAATGGGGGAGGGTTTTACTCTATCATAACAGGTTTCATAACATTTAGGTGTGAAAGTGGGGGCAACTTCTAGAATGAGAAATGTTCCTGCAATGGAATAAGTTCCAAAACAGCCAGGTGTGAAAGTAAAGGGAACATCTGGAATGCAGTAAGAAGTATTACTGTGGTTTATGGACCATAACAAATCAGTGTGATGATGGGTATAACCCCATGAAACAGAGCGAGGGTTACAACCATAATTTAGGTACCATAACCACTACAATGCAGAATGATTACAGGTATACCTTAAATACCATAACACTGGAGGTAACTCGTGGTATCACCTCTAATGGGAGATGGTAACAAGTGGGTACTGTTTGGTGAAGTATCAACTTGAATGGGTTTCTAAAAGGCAGGTGCAATGTTGGTTCAGTGTGAGAATGTGGGTATCACCAGGAGTCTAATTGAGAGTAAAGGCCTCATGACAGCTAAGTATGTAGAAGAGGCAGTTGGATTTATTGATGATATTACAGCCAGGTGTGTGGTTGATGCATTTGGAAATGTTATTGATATTACAGCCGGGTCTGTGGATGTTGCAGTTGGAATAATTGATAATATTACAGCCAGGTTTGTGGATGTGGCAGTTGGAGTTGTTGGCTATATTACAACTAGGAATATGGATGGGGAAGTTGGGATCATTTGTGATATTACAGCCAGTCTTGTGGATGGGGCAGCTGTGTATTTGGGGTTTTCTACATTACAGCCAGGTGTGAGGATTGGGCTGTTAGGTCTTTCGGTTGGCTATATTACAGCCCGGCATCAGGATGGTGCAGTTGGGGGCATTGGTGATATTACAGTCAGGTGTGAGGATGGAGCAGTTGGGGGCATTGGTGATATTACAGCCAGGTGTGAGGATGGTGCAGTTGGGGGCATTGGTGATATTACAGCCAGGTGTGAGGACGGAGCAGTTGGGGGCATTGGTGATATTACAGCCAGGTGTGAGGATGGTGCAGTTGGGGGCATTGGTGATATTACAGCCAGGTGTGAGGATGGGGAAGCTGTGTCTTTGGGTTGGCTACATGACAACCAGGTTTGAGGTTGGGGCTATTGGTGACTTTACAGCCAGGTGTGAGAATGGGATAATGGAGCTTTGAGTTGACTACTTTACAGATAGCTGTAATGATGGACCAGTTTGGAGCATTGGTGATATTATAGCCAGGTGTGAGGATGGGGCATCTGTGGGCATTGGTGATAATATAGCCAAGTGTGAGGATGGGACATCTGTGGGCATTGGTGATAATATGGCCAGATTTTAAAGATGGGGCATCTGTGGGCAATGATGATAATATAGCCAGGTGTGAGGATGGGGCATCTGTGGGCATTGGTGATACTATAGTAAGGTGTGAGGATGGAGCATCTGTGGGCATTGGTGATAATATAGCCAGGTTTAAAGATGGGGCATCTGTGGGCAATGATGATAATATAGCCAGGTGTGAGGATGGGGCATCTGTGGGCACTGGTGATAATATAGCCAGGTGTGAGGAGGAAGCAGTTGGGGGTATTCGTAATGTGTTGGCGATATTACAGCCAGGTGGGATAATTTAATGCTTTGGTCTTAGTCACCAAATTAGCCAGGTGTAGATAGTCAGCCTGAACCAGATTGAATGATCATTATAACAGTGACCGCCAGGTGAGGAGGGGAGAAGGTAATAATTTGAATTTGTTGATCTCTACGCTTGCTTAATGCACATACAGTTAGGTTAGTCTGGGGAAGAGGGCAAAAAATGTAAATTGCCACCATGACAGCCCGTTTAAGAACTATCCATGACTTTATCCACAAAGCAGCACATTAATCATGCCTAGCCACATTGGCCTGACATGGGTATTGAGAATAGCCTGGTAATATACTGTTATGGGGGTAACATACCTGTACCCACTGTAGTAAATACATGGCATGAAGAGCTATATAGCTCAGGCAGGTAAAGGATTGCATTTGTAAGAGGTCCTGACAGAGTGGAGACGCATTCATTAGCACAAACTAAGGAATAATAAGGCTATCAGAGAGTTGACAAGGGGTTAACAAAATCATTTACGCACCAGGACAGCCGGGCAGAGATTTGGGAGGGGGGCAATCGGTGATTCAGTAGCTGGTATCTAATTTCCATACCAAACTGGCCATGCGAGGAATTAGAATGGAAAGCATAATAGAACATTGAGGTGAGGGTGCTGGAGGAAGAAAGCAAAAGGGCAGGGGCGGGGGCAGAGAGTGGGTGCGGGTGCTGAATACTGAAGTTAGGACTGGCAGAAAGTGTGTGGGGAGGGGGGCAGGCAGTGTGAAAGCGACAGACAGGAGGAAGGTGTAAGAGACAGCTTACTGAAAGGGGGGTGGAGGGGGTTGATGAGATAGACCACAGGGGGCATAGACAGTGAGACTGACCTTTCAGGCAGAGTATCTCTGAGGGGGGAGAAAGAGCGCAGGGGGTTCAGTCAGGCGCTCTCGCAGGATTACCCCCTGCGCTCTCATTATTCCACTTAGCTCTCTCACTGTTACCACGGCAACGATGGAAAGGGTAAAATATTCCAGAAAAGAGAGATAGATGGAGAGAGAGAAATGGGCAGAGAGAGGGGGGAGAGAAAGAGACAGATGGGGAGAGAGAGAAGAACAGGAGAGGGAGAACTGAAAGCAATGGAAGAGACAGATTGAGCCGTCTCATTATATCTGTGTACTCAATTTTAGGCACTGTCTCCTCAGTAATAAACAGATAACACATGTCCATTTATGCTTTTCACATACTGACTGTTTTTCTCTCTACTTCTTGTCTGTTTGTTTTTTGTTTTTTTTGCCTATCCCCCATACCGTCCCCTCTCTCCTCAGTGTGATCCAGGCCAGGCGACACGACACCTGTATGAGTTGCTGTATAATGACCCTATTAAGATAATGCTTATGCCCGGATGTAGCAGTGTGTCCACACTTGTCGCAGAAGCCGCACGAATGTGGCATCTAATAGTGGTGAGCGTCCGTCTTAATGCTCTTTACTTCTTCTCTGTTGATTGCGCTCACCACTCTGCTTCATTTCTTTCTTTACCTTCTCTTCCTCATCTTCTCATTCGATATTTTGTATTCCTCGCAGATCCAAGCCATCTTCCTGCCCCTTTTTTCTTCCCCCCTCCTTCTTAAAACACTAATGCGACATCAATTCAGATTTTCCGCTCTCCCTATATTTTCTCCTTATTCTGCCACTTCACTATATTATATCATTGTTTCCTCTCTCCTTCCTGCCCCCCTCCCTGTTTCTCCCTTATTTCTATTTATCTGTTATTCTTGCCACCAACCCACTGCCTGTGCTGATTCACAAAAAAGCTAAAAATTACCTATTGTATTGTCTTATAAATAGCATCTGATTAGCATATGCAGATTAAAACAATGACATTGCGTATTAACGCGAACCGCTATTGGAATGTTCAGCCTGTCTAGGCAATGTGATAATATGAGAATAAGCTAAATATTTCAGTATATTCCATAAATGGGTCAGGGATGTATCTGTGGCTCATTATCTGTCCTTCTCTTGATATCAATATTACTCTCACTAGTCCTATTTTTATCATACCCCTTGTCTGTTTTACTCTATTAATCTAATTCCCTATCTACCGTGTGTTACATCTTCTATCATTCAGGGTTACCCATTAAATTGGGAACTGTTGACAATTGACAAGGGAATAGAACAAAAGCCAAAGTAGCTAAATAGGAAAAATATTCTCCTTCTGGTTTTTCATTTTTACTGTTTTTGCCTAAAAGTGTATTCTATTCCAAGTATATTGAATAATACTAGTATAATATTATATTTTATGTCTTTGTCTTCCCAATGCTGTTCCCTTTTTTTGTGTTTCATGCCTTTCTCTCAGCTCCCCTTTTTATACAGTCATTTGTTTTCTTCATTTACATAGATTTTTGAGATTATTACAGTTCTTCTCTAAACCTTTTAGTTGTCTTACGGCTCCAGTTCTCCTGCACTCTCAAATCGTCAAAGGTTCCCTACCTTCTTCCGCACTCACCCGTCGGCCACCTTGCATAATCCCACCCGTGTTCAGCTCTTCAAGAAGTGGGGATGGACCAAGATTGCCACCATTCAGCAGACCACTGAGGTCTTCACCTCTGTGAGTGTCTTTAAGTGAAAAGAAGGGCCTTCAGATAATCTTAACAGATTTTTACACAACAAAAAAATACTAAGAATAAAATTGGTTAACCATTAAAGGAAAATTATCGCAGAGAAAACTCCCTAAACAAAAAAAAAAAAAGTTTAAGCAGTTGAAGCTTTTCATTGTGATGATGGTGGCTTGTCCTGAATGAGGAGATGACCTTAAAGTACTGATCGGTAACATGATATTCTTTGAGCAATATTATTACAAATACACATTTTGTTTTCAATCTAGTCATTATTTTTACATTTAGTGTGTCTACAATACTTTTCTTAGACGTTGTTAAAATATGTCATAAAGTAAGTCACAAATAAAGCTTTGGTGGCCAAGTGTAACACTATGTTCTAGTGAGGTTGACTAGGTGACATGTTTTAGTGATCTAAACCAAATTTTACCAGATTCTTTTATACTGTCAGAATCTTGACCTCAATAACCGTCCAACTGTGTTTTTTGTGCATAATACAGACACACTCAGTATATATTATACTATGAAAGTGGGTCGTGGGACATCGTGCCTCTCGGGATTATGTTAGAACAGCAAACACCAGTAAACTTTGACAAAATGATAGGCTTTGCTTCTACTCAATTTTTGTGGACATTAAGTGACCTGTTAATTGAAGGCAGATTTTACAATCAGATTGTTCCATTTACACCTACTGGATTTCAGATAGTGATAAATATATTTTACTAGAGAAAGTCTCTTTGTATTCCCAAGTCATGATTTTAATTATATACTAACACACTTTCCAGAGGAATTCAGATAGGCGAAGAAATGCTGTCATAAATTAAATATGCCTCATGAAGTTCGGTGTACATTATGGCATGATGAGATTAGCAGATATCCCATATGGGGCTATTAAATAATGTCTGAAGTAGCTGCCTGGGCTTTTATCTTCTCAAAAGTCAGCCGAGTAATGACCCTTTTTTTTAGTTGGAGTTTACTGAAAGATTCATAGTCCAAGAGAGAGATACATTGAGCTCCAGAGATAAACCTCTGGGACTATTCATTTTATGAGACAGCCCATTATATGGTAAAGTTCAAGAATGAACCTTTATAAGTTTATATCCAATATTCAAAGACGTATTAAGGTATGTATCGTCTTCTCCCACAGACGCTGGATGACCTAGAGGAACGAGTGAAGGAGGCTGGGATTGAAATTACATTCCGGCAGAGTTTTTTCTCAGACCCCACTGTTCCAGTGAAGAATCTCAAGGTAACTTTCCTGACATTCCTTGAGTGCTTCTTATCCAATGCCCGATGATAGGATTAGGTAGATATCCACACAGGGTATGAATTCCTTTTGTACACATTACCATTGAACAAAATAGTGAATATATTATTTATGGAGGGCCAATTGTACAGCCTGGCATTTTAAAAAAGCAGACCAGTGGGGCCTTTAATTCATCAACAAACAATGACTTTTGTCTCTGCACGGTCTGCTTGGTGGTACTTGTGGTGATCTGGTGCTGTGAAGTATTTTATTTCGGATGGACGTCAAGTCCTGCATCTTAACGATTTCTTACCCATGGTCGCTTCAGATTAGCAGTCAATGCACACAGAGCTTCTTTGTGATACTAATTGGGTTACCTCATGTTACTTAACATTTCTTTAAAATGAATCCAGCAACTGTCGATGCATGAATGCCTCATGATTATACAAACCTGATCTTGTGTGCTATAAAACATTTGTTTTGTTATTTCACACTTTCACTGTTTGTGTCAACCTTTCACCCTGTGCCTCCATTCCTCTTTTTCATTAGAATTTTCTTAATGAATTCGCTTTTGAAACATATTTTTTTCCTTTTCTCTTGTAGAGGCAGGATGCTAGGATCATTGTTGGATTATTCTATGAAACTGAAGCACGCAAAGTATTTTGTGAGGTGAGGAGAATCTTTCAGTTGGCATCTCGGCAACTGAACCTTTAAATCCCTAACCATAAAATAAATGGATTGCCTGCAGTGCAGATACGCCCTCCATAAACCCATTGTTTGTGTAATCCCACCATAGAGGTTTCCCATAAACCCACATGCCAGCAATACTTTACATCACAACATGTCTTAAATCTTCCACCATAGGACCATATAACATCCAGTTCGATTACTCTGTTGCCTGTGGTATTGCCCCCTACCACCATATAGGACATTTGTTTGCCTCCTTCCCCCCCCCACTCCCATTTTTTGTTTTGTTAGACTAAAATTCCAGTTTCCTTTAATTAATGATTGGTGGTTTATTGTCTTTTGTTCTCCCCTTCTCCTAGTAATAATTTGTGTCCATCCCATGCAAAACAAAAACTCAGGATCCACACATGACTCCAGTTCTTGTGACCTTTTTAGATTCTCTTCTTGGAATTTGTACATGTACGCTGAACATCTTCTTTCATGCTATTATCCCTCCTCACAGGTGTATAAAGAGCGTCTCTTTGGTAAAAAATATGTCTGGTTTTTAATTGGCTGGTATGCAGACAACTGGTTTAAGACTCCAGACCCAGCCATCAACTGCACAATAGAAGAAATGACCCGAGCCGTGGAAGGCCATGTAACCACCGAGATTGTCATGTTAAACCCTGAGAATACACGTGGTATTTCCAACATGGTATGTGTGGCACCTAAGTATCCCAAAAATCCCATGCATATGCTTTAACTTATGCCGTCCATCTCACTGTCTCTCACACACTGTTCTACCCTTTATCTTTTTCACAGACGTCTCAAGAGTTCATGGAAAAACTAGAAAGACGTCTAGGAACAAACCCAGAAGAGACTGGAGGTCTACAGGAAGCCCCTCTTGCCTATGATGCTATCTGGGCTCTTGCCCTTGCACTCAATAAGACTGCCCATGAGCTGTCTAAAAAAGGACTACGCTTAGAAGACTTTAACTATAACAACAATATCATCAGTCAGGAGATCTACAGGGCCATGAACTCCTCCTCATTTGATGGTGTTTCTGTGAGTCTTTTTTTCTTGATAAATGTTATTGTACCTTATGGTCACACATCCTTATTGATCGTACATCCATTCCCGCGGCCTGTATTCTCTTCGTTCATACATCTCATCACAGGTACACTTCTTTCAAAAGAACAGCACAGCAATATCGGTATATAGCCTCCTTACCTGTCGCCTCATCTCCTTTCCTTTCATTTCCTCTCTAAGTTGTTTCCGTGATCTCATTCTTAGATCTTATCCCTCTAGTGTATGCCTTATTTCTCTTATCAGAATTCTTGTTTGTTTTCCATGGTCTGTGTTCATTTCTCCATCGCCATATCATCTTTCCATCACCCTCGTTTCTTTTCCATATGACAAACTCCACAAAACAAGTGATCCATCACTTTATTCATTCACTCACCTTGGTATCATCTAATCTTATCTGAAATCATTCTCCCTGGCTGCTTTCACTGCACAATCTTGTAAACGTTGCACTGCTCAGTAGCACTTCATATATTGCTTCCGTTATTAGATGTGGAATGATTGCATTTTGCCATCTTTCAGACAAGCCTGGGTGTATAGTTTGTTTATCCGACAGCTTTTGGACAGACCTGAGAGCAGTTTCTGCACAGAATACGAGAACGATTGATGGCTTCTCTGGACGATTAACTATAAAAGATATTTTTGAAGGAGAATTGGCTTATTTTCTGTGTGCTGCCCAGCACGGAATCTGTTAGCAAAGGATCCTTACCCTTCAGTCCGTGGGTCCTTTCTTAAGGCTTTCAGAGTCAAGCAGCACACAAGAATGATTTTAGAGGGAGTACTCTGATTGCTTAAGTTTTGGTACATTCCAGTGATTTCAGGGATATATATATATGTGTATTTAAAACCTGCAACAGAATATAACTTGTCATCTGGGTTATACATTAAATAAGAAATTATGGCCAAACTAGTGGAGATTGATAGGAATAAGAATTCTGCCAGGAAAATAACCGTCAATGAATTATGAATTTCCCTACGGAGCCTTTAAAAGTCAAGACCAGGGGTTGGTCTTTTAATCCTCTCGTTAGCAATGCTGAAGGATAAGAGTTGACCTTTACAAGACTGCTTGGGAATTTTGGATGTGGCTATTACCACCTCTGTCCTGCAAAGCAGCCCTAAGCTATAGAACTGCTGGCAGATCTCCTCTGCTCTCTGCTTGTTTAAATAGTCCAGCGGTCCCCTGCCTCCAGGGCGTTGGAGAACGTCTATGTTCAAAGCAGCTGTAGATGATTGTGAATCTATCTTAGCAGATCACACATTGCTTCCAAGGCTCTCTTTGCTTTTAACTCAGCTTGAGTGTCTAAGAATCCTGCCCCAGGGATATTCCTTTATGTGTTCTACTTGTTGGTTTGTGAGAACTTTGTGGTTATGTATTGTTAATCAATTGTTAGATGGGAGAGATATCTTTTGCTTTATTATTCATTGCTACATTTAAATCCTTCTCTTGTTAACCTCTTGTTATTTGGTATGGTACAACAGATTTCACTTAGACCCTTTCTCCAGTATAACGAAATGTAGCTTGCTGATTGTGTGGGTTTTGGGAAGGTGCCAGGTGCCCCGCTCCCTCCTGTCGACGTTATTAGCAAGGATAATTCAAACTCTGTATTGAGAAAGTTGATGTAGATCATGTTTCGGGAATCTCTGAGGATGCTAAATCTTTATTTATGGTATATTGTCTATTTTAAAGTAACAGAGGATGGTAGCAATGAATTAAGTTTTGTGGAAGCATTTCTGTTTTGTTTTTTTGGGGGGGGGGGGAGGAAGTATCGTTAGTTAGATTTGAGAGCACAAGAACTGTTTGAGACACAATACCCATCCTTTCCAAAAACAGCAGAGGCCACATCTTCCATTTCAGAGAGATTGTCTCTGATATATGTTATCAAATAGTACATGGTGATCTGGATTAAAAACACGGCCAACACTGCTTTAAAACATTTCTTTTGTGTGAGGCACAGGCATGTAAGGAACTCATTAGATTTGCTCGGTTTATTGACTGGTAGATTTTCTGCTGTTTTGGTATCTGTCTCCTGGATATTAAAATATCCATGGCAAAAAATACATGAGTTATTTTCTTAATCTGTATAACGTAATTTTCTTCACGTAGGTAATTTATCTATTTGGCAATAACATGGTCTGTCCAGGTTGTCCTCTGCTTCCTTGTGATAATGGATAATGTCATAATCTGTTGAATACTTCCCACCTTCATCATCTGCTCTATTATATCTTCCATTCACAATCTACTGCAACTTTATCTTCTACAATGTCCTTCTACAAATTTCCTTGATAATCTACTGGACCCCGAGTTTCTCAGATGTCTTTCTAGATATTCTCTCCATAATCTACTGCACCCAGAGCTTCATTCTAAATCATGACTATCGGTGATGTCCCTTCATCTTTCTTTTATAACCTAATCTTTCCAATGTGATTTAACATCTACAGTTGTTAATCTTCTCTTGGATCCCAGTGCTCTCCATGTCCTCTAACATGTAGGCTGTTGCATGCAGTCTTTATCGAAGTCTTCATCTGTCATCTCCTAACCTTGCCTATTTTTTGGTTTTGTCCTTTGATAGTTGTATCATCTTATCTCTTCCAGGATCCTCTCGTTCTTTATGACTCACTGCTGCTTCTCTCTTCCTCTTTATTCCATCATCTCTAGGGTCATGTGGTTTTTGATGCCAGTGGTTCTCGTATGGCCTGGACCCTCATTGAGCAGCTTCAAGGTGTGTGATTTCAGTCAGCAATCACAGAGTGGTTTCCTAGCTTTGCAGGAGAACATTTATAACAACATATTGTAAAGATAAGAGAGTAGGTTCTACAAATACACAAGTTATTATAGAACTCCTGATATTGGCCTGGGATCAAACATGCTCTCGTTGTAACAGATGCAATACTGAAGCAATAAGCATTAACTGTAAAGCTTGCTTTCTGATTGGTGTCTTGGGCAATGAAGTGCTTATGGTACAATGCAAGGGAAGATCAGCGGCAGCCATTGTTGGATTTAGGGCGATAATTAAGCCTCATTGCAATTCCTCTTAGTGGTAACGTTGCAGTGAAAGGTGATGGGGTTAGATAAGTGGTTGGCTGCCTGAGGTATGTGAGAGTTGCAGTTTGTAAGGATCAGGTTTCAGGTCTTGCAGATACTGGGCAGAGCGCACAGTGATGGGTTAATAGATCCAGAGGTACATGTTAATTAGGAACCGTTACCCGCTAGATCTCTCTCTCCCTGCCCACCTTTTCTCCCTGTCTCCTTGTCTTCCCAGCTCTCTATTTCCCTCCTTTTCTATTTAATTCGATTTTCTCTTGCTTTCACTGATTTTCCTTCCTGACTCTTTTCTTTCTCTCTCTTCCCAGGTGGCATTTACAAGAAGATTGGGTACTACGACAGCACAAAGGACAACTTATCCTGGTATAACAATGACAAATGGATCGGTGAGTGTGGCTTTATATAGAGTATCATTTCTCAAATACTGATACAGCACTCTCATCCAGCAGTCTCGCTCCCCCTGCCCTTTTCTTATTCCAGTCAAGGGCTGTCTCCTTATCACTTGTCATCCTCTTTCTTCTCTTGTTAATGTCTTTCATTTTTCCCCATGCATTTTATACCATATCACCTGTAGTCTATTTTTCATCCTCATTCACACATTTACTACGCCTCAATCTCTGTGTTCAACTGTCGTGCTCGGTGTTCTCGTCTCTGTTCTAAAATCTGCCTTCTTTGTGTTTTTTTGCATTTTGTTCTCATTCCAGTATTTTAAGTCCTTGTCCCCTTTAACATTGCGTTGGTCTCTCCCAGGGGGGTCTCCACCCGCTGACCACACCAAGGTCATCATCACTTTTCGCTACGTGTCTCAGAAACTCTTTATATCCGTCTCAGTCCTTGCTGGTCTTGGGATACTCTTGGGGTTCATTTGTCTCTCATTCAACATCTACAACAGTCATGTGAGGTAAGTGTCACTGTAGGTGCCTCTCAGGGAAACTCCAGGAAGCTAAAATAGTTTGTAGGGTGCAATTAAAAGAAAAAAAGAATGTATTCATGTTCAAGAGTGAAAAACAGCCCTTAGACCCAAAGGGTGGAGCTTAAAGTGGGCAACAAGGTTAAAGCAGAACTGTCACTTTTAACCCTGTTTACTGGAGTGAGAAGTGTGATAAAAGAAGCTATAAAGAACATTCTTACCTCTGCAACATTTCACTGCTCCCTTCCCATGATGCTTTAAGAGTTTGCATGCCTTCTCAGATATTCCTTCCATGTTGTTGTATATGGTGTCATTCAAGCAGTAGGCCTGTCCTGCTGTAAAGCTAGTCAGAATGCAAGTTAGGAGTGAATGAATGACAGAGAGCGTCAGAAAGATTCTGGTTTTTTTTAGACACACGAATCAAACATCACAAACTGAAAAAACATCAAAATGTATTGTTAATCCTAATACTGAAAAGTAAACATATACTAGCTAATGTCAAGATTAATTCATAAACTATAAAATTTACGGAATAGTTTTAATGTGTTTTATGGTGGACATTTCCTGGTGGGGTCTATCCACTAAACTGTCAACTTGCGAAACTTTAACCGCAAATGGTAGGAAAAAAATATCAACCTATTTTTCCAGTTTTACTCTTTTAGCCAAAGTTTTGTGTGTGGATTATTACTTCAATATTTAAGGAATAGCCTCCATGGTTATAGTTATGGCATTACGTTCCACAATGAATAGGTTTAATACCTAACTTATTAACTTTAGTAATTTTAATGTAATTAAAAAAACAAACAGTGTTGACATGATAAATCTATTATTGCTCACTAGTTAATAAGCATTTCATGTAATCAGAACTGCGTTAAGTAGTGGTTGTAATATAATTAGAGAGCAGCCATTGCCCTACTTTCAAGCGTTCCTGCTCAGAGAATGGTCTCGTGAAAGGCTGTCTCTTTCAGGTACATTCAGAACTCTCAGCCCCACCTGAATAACGTGACTGCTGCGGGATGTATCCTTGCTCTCGCTGCGGTGTTCCCGCTTGGTCTCGATGGTCATCACATTGAAACTTGGCATTTCCCTCTTGTTTGTCAGGTGAGAGACAGCACAACTATATAATAAAAGAAAATGGAATCCTGGAAAAATGACATAGTGTAAGCAGGTATTTCTATATATGACTGTAGCAAAAACAACCAATTTATGATAAAACCAGCTGTATAACAAAACTAGCAATAGTATGATATATATCTTTATATGACAAAACTAGCTATGGTATAATAAAACAGACATAATATGATAAAACTAGGTATGGTGTAATAAAACATTCATTATATGATAAAACTAGATATGGTGTGATAAAACAGCCATAATATGATAAAACTAGGTATGGTGTAATAAAACATTCATTATATGATAAAACTAGCCATGTTCTGAAATATGTCCTTATATTACAAATACAGCCATTATATGACAACACTAGCCATAGTATGATAATTTAAATAAATATATGATAAAACTAGCCATAGTGTAATAATATACATATATATATATATATACATCTATTTATTCGCTAAAACTAGCCATATGTGATAATATATATTATTATATGATAAAACTAGCCACGTGTGATAATATATATTATTGTATGATAAAACTAGCCATAGTATGATAATATATATTATTATATGATAAAACTAGCCACGTTTGATAATATATATTATGTGATAAAACTAGCCACGTGTGATAATATATATTATTGTATGATAAAACCATCCATAGTATGATAATATATATTATATGATAAAACTAGCCATAGTATGATAATATATATTATTATATGATAAAACTAGCCACGTGTGATAATATATATTATGTGATAAAACTAGCCACGTGTGATAATATATATTATTGTATGATAAAACTAGCCATAGTATGATAATATATATTATTATATGATAAAACTAGCCATAGTATGATAATATATATTATTGTATGATAAAACTAGCCATAGTATGATAATATATATTATTGTATGATAAAACTAGCCATGTGGGATAATATAGCATTATATAAACTAGCCATGATATAATAAAACTCTGTTTGGCATAAATAGCCACCATATTATTAATAAATCAGATGCTATATAACAGAAGCGCCCCCGATATACCAAAAACAAACACCCTTCTGCTTCTCGCTTTCCATCATTTTTCCCCCTTTCCTCTGTGGCTTTGTTTCCTGATTCCTGTCTTTATGTCCACAGGCACGGATCTGGCTCCTGGGCCTGGGTTTCAGCCTGGCCTATGGCAGTATGTTCACTAAGATCTGGTGGATACACACCGCATTTACTAAGAAGGATGACAAGAAAGAGAGGAGGAAGGTAAGATATAACCTCTATTCGAGTAAGAAACTAGAAAATGAACACAATGAGTAGATGAAGAATTATTCAGAACATTTCTTGTTTTGCAATGTCTTTGCATATCCGATATAATCTGCGTAGCGAATTGTGATAAATGCTTAATTGAACTTCATTTTATTCTGTCTTTAAAAATCTAGTACAGATCTTTTAATATGAGATAGACGTCCTTTCTTTGCTTCTGTCATTGCGTCAGCCTCCTGTCTCGCGTCAATATACCAATGGCTCCTCTTAATAAAGCCTCTCCTGTAATATGTCATTGAATTCTATTAAGGGAATCCTGGTTGTCCAGGCTATAAAATTCATTCCTAGGGGCAGCAGAGATATCAATGAAGTGCTGTTTCTGTATTAATCCTCATTGGCTCAAGTTGAAATCTGACTCTTTTTGTATGAGTTTCTCTTACATGTCTTAAGTATGTGGGTGCCTAACGCATGTCCTACAAGCACACGTTTGTGTTTCTATACCATATTTCACGGGCGTGTATCTACTTGTGTGTCCCTCCTACTTGTCTCTACAAGATAAACTGGAGGCTCATCTGAGGACCTTTACAACGATGAGTAGTCATATAATAAAATGTGTGTGTGTGTATATATATATATATAGCTATATCTATGCTGTATGTTTATAGATGGAAATCTTGTGTACGAAAAGTTAAAACTTTAAAAGTTAATTCTTTAATTAACATATTAACTCATGCCTCATAAATGTGCCGTTTATTAGCAACAGTATCTGCGTTGGGGCTCAATCCCTCTGTCAGTGTGTCTTGAGTGCATAGCAGAACTTACTCAAAGTGAAGATTCTAAAAAGTGCCATAGATGTCATGTAGACCGTGTCAATAAGATTCTTTGTTCTTCCGAATTACATTTTCAGTTACATAGCTGGTTAGTAGTTGATGATCTAAATTAAAGCATTGTGGAATATTGCCACATACTGGTCACAACCATTGACACACCCTCTAAAACAAACGTGTTTTCTTTAGCCCCAAGAAATTGTTGGGAGGTTTGTATTAACCTATATTATGATCCTTGAAGGCACCAACAGTGGTGAATTTGTCTTTGTAAGTAATCGGTATACACAAGATGTTATTTTGGGATGTATAGAAGCATGATTAAGGTCTCCTGCATCCCCCAGTGGGATGTACAGAATCCTAGTTGTTTTATTGTATATTTCATTAGACCAACATGCTCTACTTAAACACCAGCAGGGGGCGGTATTACAGGGATGGGGATATAGCTGTCATTCAGAATCTGCTAAGGATGAGTCATATCCTGTCCAGCAGTGCGTCACATGGAGGGGATAAGAGCAGCGTTCACCCCTAATCATGTAGAATGAGTCACCTCCTGTAGACATGCGGCAGAGCTTCCTTTGGAGGGAGATTGGGGCGTAAAACAAGTGGTGGGGGTCAATTATAAAGAGAGCCAGCTGGTAATGATGGATATAGATGGTTTGCAAGGAGACAGCGAAAGCTATGGTGACAGACTCGGAAATAGAGGGGAAACTTGGGGATCTGAGAACGAATGAGAGAGACCTGGAGAGTATTAGGCTGTGTGTATTGTTTGTGAGCTAGTCGCAAGAACATGGGAGAAATATTGTACTGCACAATGGGACCCTTAGAACATGGCTACATTAATCAGCTGTAATAAAGATTGTTCAAAAAGTGGAATGTGTTCTTATCGAATGTACCTGGAATGATTATTTTGTGAGCAAGAACTATACCAGAGGAAGCTAGCAAATAGCTCGCCAGCAGTTCAGGAACTGCAACTCCCACGATCCTTTGCCGGGATGCAGGGCTTGCAAAACATCTAGGGAACTTTAGTTCTTTAACAGGAGCACTACCAATTCTCTACTTCGAACCCTGGCTATGCTGAAACTAAAAAATTATCTTTACAATTTGGTAGTTAATTGCTTTGAATTTCAAGTTTTGCTAGCACTGCATGCTGTGACATCGCAGCTCTGCCACGTAAGCAAATGAACTGCAGCGGGTAGGACCTTAATTCATTAGCTTACAAGGATCGGTAGTGATGACATAAGGAGCCGACAGATTGAAAGCCATTTTTTTTTTGTATTTCATCTCCACCAAATTGCCACCAAATGTCTGTAACTGCAGGAGGGATTAAGGCGGAGGGACGCTCTGTAGGATGCAGTGTTGAGTAGAAGCTTTCGCATTGGGTTACCATAGCAACAGACAGCAACGCAATGCAGAAACCCCATATCTGCACCTATTATTTCCCCTCCCCCTTGTATTCTGGGCAGTATAAAGTGAAAAAAACTAGGATCATAGCTCCTCTTATTTATAATCTACGCCAAGCCTTAGCTAAAGCGGAACAACGTCTGCTCCAGTGATATTGTGGATGTTGGCAGGTTAAATGCATTATATGCCGGCCATGCAAGCACTGCAGTGGTTGCACATTGAGATTGGATTGTGGCCTGGGTCTCAATGTTCCCTCTAAGGTCAGAGATCCCGGTGTGGTCTAATAAGAATCCTCTTTCAGCATTCCTTGGAGGTAACATAGCCAAGCTTATACTTACCCATCTCACTGCAGTAATGGCCCCAATGCCCAGCAAACCGGGTACGTCTAGTTAACAATGTTTGCACATGCCCCAAATGGGATGGCGAATAGTTAACACATTTGGGGGGTTGATTCATGGAAGAGCAAATTGTATTGCATAGATTTCTGATTTGCAAAATGTATTTTGAAATATTTAAAGGTGAAAAAAAAACCTTGTCAGACCCAGCTACCTTTCCAATGTAGCCGTTTTAGTTTATATCATGGCTGGCTATGGCTGTGACTGAGAGAGAACTATGGGGGCTGTAGTCCAACAACACATTTGCTTTAAATGTTATGATTTGTGTGTCAATTTAATGCAATTCATTTTTTTTAGTTCCCTAAGGCAGTGGTGGCAAGCCCTGGCACTGCATAGTTATACAAACTACATTGAAAAAAGACTGTCATTCATTTAAGTAAGAATTGTGTCTTCCGAATTCAGTCCAAAATAGCCAACTAACAGAATTTTTCAAAGTTGGCTATTGCCGCCTACATTTTTAAAAAAATCCCTTTAATTTCCCTACAGTAGGGGTAGACAACCTCCGGCATTCCAGATGTTGTGAACTACATCTCCCATAATGCTGGCAAAGCATCAGTGGAGATATAGTCCACAACATCTGGAGTGCCGGAGGGTGCCTACCCCTGTCCTATAGTGTAATAATAATAATCCCTATAGTGAATCCAACTCCTATATCGCGGTATGGATGTGTAATGTACCTTTCTCCCGCTAACATAGAAGTAAACTTTCTGATTTCTTGTGATATATAACTACATATCCCATGATACTCCTGCCAGGCACATGGACGGTACTGCTGGTCCTGTGGCTTTGGATTTTGAAGCAGATCGATTCCTACTGGTTATATATCATCCTGAGCAGACTGTTTCTGTCTTTTATTTCCTGGAATCAGAAATGTTTCCATATCTCGTGCTTTACTAGTGTATAACGTCAGCAGCCTTTGTCTCTATATTTTTCGGCAGGCTTTTTTTAGAACAGGGCGTAGCGATTACCTAGTTTTTTTTCGTCAGAGCTGCACTTTTTACCTGTATTGGTGTTCACACCCTAAAGTTCAATGTGCTGGTTGCTGATAAGTTTGATTGTGTTGTTGGACGACATTTCTTGCTTGTTTGTTTTTTTGTTGTTTTTTCTTTCTTTTTATAAAAACCTGAAAACCCAGTTCTTATTGTGACGCTAACCTGATTCTCAGTCCCTGCAGTACAATGCAAGGCAAGACCTGATTCCTGGCACAACTATGTTGTTATTGATGACTTTCTAAGCAGGGAGTGTCAACTTCTAGCTCTACCTGGGAATTCTGGGAGTTTAGAGTGTCAGCGACCGCCAGTCTCCCAATCCTCTCCTGTCCCTTAATGTGGCCTATGTTGCTACAGCTCAGAGTATTTTGAGAATTGTAGTCTTTTGTAGTCCAGCAAAAGCTGTAGAGCAACAATGAACACCCCTGTTAAGCTTGCAGACCACTCACTTATTGAACAACTCCCAGGATGCTCAAACACCTCTTTCTTTTAGAGTGATAGCTTAGCATCATGGGCCATTTATTTATATCTTCGATGGGAGCTGCCTGCTGCTTCCTGGTCACATATCACATATACAAACTGATGGTCTGTGCATGAAATGTGTTACCCTGCATTGTGGCCCATTCATATCATACAGGAAGGTAATTCAGTCATTAATCATAGAGGGATCCCACAGGGGCAGCCCTGACTAGGCCATGGAATTCTCTCTTGCGTCATGTGGATGCTACGTGCTACAGGGCAGAATGTTTCATGTGCAGCCCATCACGGAGATAAAGTAATAGAATGCTAGGGAAACATGGCAGATCTGGCATTCTCAGTCTACTGGCTATTGAAATAATAAATCAGTAATTTAACAACTTTAACTCTATGTAAATATACACAGCTCCAAGCCATGTATATAGTCATCTACTTTTATATAGAAAATCAAAACAAATATGTGGGATACGGCTGGACAAAACTAAAAAAGGAACATAAACAAAATATAGTGTAATACAGTAAATACAGTCAGTTATGCGCCACACATAAGTGCACTCAAGATTGCGGTAAATAAAGCGCTCACAAGGTGCCTCCCCCGAAGTTGTGGGGGGCTATTTGTCCCACTCTCCACTAAGGTAGCAGATGTTACACAGGACTCCAATAGATGAGAGTAAAAAAATCAGCGATTTTATTTTGTTAAAAGGTGAACAATCACCGTCAGCATAGGATAAAATAAAAGAACAATTGGTCCTACGCGTTTTGTTTCAAAAGGAACTTCCTCAGGGACCACAACAGCATTAAAATTGATCACAGTAATAACCTGTATGAAAAAACATATCCTAATACCCCCCATCTAAAAGTCCCTTTAAATAGGGCTAATCCCTGTGTCCATTGGTGGATCCGTGGGCGTTTCCCTTTATCCGCAGCCTCATTGGTGTGGGTACAATACCCTCTCAGGTGTCCACAATCCCAGCGTCTTCATGCCAATCAAAATTGGCGCGTCCATGCTCAACCTGAACCGGAAGTCTGTTGCTCGGCAACACTGGGATATATGGGTATACTACCCTCGGGTGGTCACCCACTTTATCTTTTACAGAAGCATTAATGGGCGGAATGAAGTCCTCCTCTTTTGTATCAGCATCAGCACCCAAAATACTAAGACTGGGGATGTGCCATACTAAATGTCTTGGCATTCTCAATTTAAAGTGGATCTGTCACCTCAAACTTACCCTTTTCATATTGTTTCCTCTTCTCTTCCTCTTCACAATCTGTTCTTCTTTTCTTCTTCTAGGGACTACTTTGTCCTATGTGCTTTACCTACACTTGGCAATCTTGTCAAGCTAAATAAGGACAAAGCTTGCCTTACACTCCACCCTTTGCTAAGAATGCCAAGCATAGAAAAATACATAAGCATACTAGATCAGAAATGAAGGGAAGATGAACAGTTTCTGAAAGGAGAAAGGCAAGTTTGAAGTGACAGAGCCACCTTAATTGGCATTATTTTTTAATAAGGGGATCAGTTCCCTTTAAGCCTATTTGACACGCCAGCTGTGTAATTGAACTAATTAATTGCTGGTCCTAGTATAGATTCATCCCGTTGGGAATGTGTTCTGCTTCTGAATTTCATTTTCTGCATCGCTCAGATTATTATCCTTTAGGTTTAATCACAACATCCTCCAATCGGCTGACTAGAAAGCAGGCGTTGCGAATTCTTAATTATCATTGTATCAAAGAGCGAGACGGACTGGTTGGCCAGTTTCATGGCTCATGCCTCTTGCTAGGGCAGCTGTGGAGCCAGATGTGACAGCGTACCTGGGATGTGTTCTCTGATCCCTGTGTGCTCGGCCTCTGTTAAGCCCGAGGCTGGCTCTGTCTGCAGAGATACAGCCCCAGCATAGTGAAGCTGTTGTGCTTGAACCTACCGTGAAACAATCGTAACCCAATTCTGTCAATTCTCCTTGCTTTGTAAAACAATCCGGGCAGCGAATCACTTGCATCCAAAAAAACAAACTGATCTTTCCAGCTTCCTTACTTATTAATAGGAACTTTAACACCAGCAATGAGAACTCTCCTTCATTCCACCCCAATATAAAGAGAAAGCTATTATATAATAAGCTATTCTTAATTTTTATACAGCCGAAACCATACAGGCTGCAGATCAGCGATACTCAGTCACCTTCCAATTGTTGGCAGACTGTAAGGCCCATCAAGCTTGCCAGCTGGCTTCTGTGGTTTTTGGCTGCCACAGAGGAGTAGGGGTTTCTTGTTTTGTGTTAACAGCTGGAGATTAGGTATTTTACCTACCCTGGCAAAAGAGATCTACCCTCTACGTGAGTATCATAAACGAACTCAGACATACAAACCCTAATGGAAACTTTGTGGGGCATTTTTTATTAAACCAAATGTTGTGGAGTTTTGACAAAAATTGGAAAACGTACCCAACTCAGCAGTTATACCAGCTCGGCCGTATTGGGTTAGAATTTGCAATTTCGTCATCAATCTTTTTTCACAATTGTCAGTTCATAGAAAATATCCCAGTTTATATTCTTTTATAGATTATATGCAATTAATTTGCTGTTGGCAGAAGGGCGGTATATAAATATTATCTGTGACCTAGCAACATTTTCAAATCAGAACAACGTGCTTCTGAATGGCGGTGGGGAATGCATTTGTTCCTCCGAGGCATTCCCTTCATCCGTGACATTATCCCCCTAACCTTTCTCTATAACAAAAATGTTCTTAAACTACATTCCAGATGTGTCTATAATGTGTTTAAAAAAAGAGAGAGATTATTTTGATACACGTGTTACTTTTCTCCAATGATTTAACAATGTTCATGCAAGTGAGGGGCACACTTAATTTGTAACGTATCATAGAGAATTTAGGTGGAGGAGAATAGGGAAGTGACCGTGAAAAAAGCTAGCTGGGGAGGAGAAAGTATAAACTGATGAAGATAAGGAATAGGACTGTAGTTAGAATGAAATCGACTGATGTAGAGGGGAAAGAGAGACTAGCTGACAAGTAGTGGGAAGTGGCCTGTTGGGGGAAAAAACGGTCAACAAAGACTGAAAAGTGACAGAAATTAAAGAAAAAATGTGTGTATAATGGAGGACACGGGTAAATGCAGTATGGAATATGAATAGAAAATCAATGATAAAAGTGTAAGGGTGAAGTAAGAGAGACTGGCAAAGATGGACCCTAGAGAGGTTTAAGAAACGGATGGGAAGTGTATGTGACGCACCCAAGGGGGCAGCAAAATGGATTTTTGCCTAGGGCAGTAAAAAGTCTTGAATAGGCTCTGTTTATGAGGCGTTAATGGTGATACTTTATCCAGACAAAACATAAATATAGCGTTCTAGCATTGTAAGCAAAAAAAAAAAAACATTAAGCAGGTCTGTCAATTTAGTCTCTATGGCTCTGAAGACAGACGTAGTACAGAAATAGCCTTTCTGTTGCTATAGGAACAAAGAGTCAGGCTTAGCCTGAAGAGCTCTGGCATTGACGAGATAGTTATCTGGAGTAGGGTGCGCTGTGCCAACAGTGTGTCTTCACCTTAACACCCACCATCATCCACACACTTTGGCCATTGTGGAGACTTTGCTCATTTCTGACACCCCTCCACACATGGTGAAGCCCAGACGAGATGTAGGTAGATTGGTTGGTACATGATGGGCTGGTCCAGAAACGGGGTCCTAGCTAGACATAGCAGATTGGTGAAGGTGCAGACTAAAAAGAAGGTGCAGACTAAAAAGGCCAAACAGGATCAGGCTGGATGCATAGTCTGGTAATGACTGGGTCAGTAATGGAATCATGCTGGCCTACACAAGAACTGGGACAGAGACATCGCAATGTCCATGTCAAAATGGCCACACTGTGTGCTACATTGTAAAGACAAGTACCTTGCCCTTTAATGGACAAATGTATAATATCCATCATTGGACGTCACTGCTCCTTTAATTCTTTAACTCGTCTACCACTTTAGCACGCACGAGGCACTGTGAAGCTGAATCAATATGGAAGCATTCATTTCTGCGTGTTATCTTTGAAGACGTTTTTCTGTATTCAATTTTTTTTTGTTTTATCTCGCTACTAAAATCTGCCACTGCTTATTGTGTGCAGGAAAATGACAAAGGAACTAAAAATTAAATTGAAGATTATTTTTTTTTTTTTTTTCGCTGCCAAGAATAAGACAATGAAGAATCAATCGGAATAGGAAGAGCGACAAGATTTTATAAAGCACAGAAATAAAATATAAAAAAAAAAGGCACAGATCTCCCTGTGGATATTTGGGGGTTTGTTCACTAAACAGTGAGTTGTACTGAGCTGACAATCAGTGTGTGTGTGTGCGTGTTTGTGTATGTTGGTGGGGTGTTGAGAGAGATTGTGACTACATAAAAAATTGGAGGCAACACATCTCGAAGTGACTTGTTTGATTTGAATATTTTAAATGCATTATTTTGTACGTATGTTTACACCTAATGATTAAGGAATCCATTACTCATGTTTTGATATCGGGGGTGCCTGAGGCAGACGGGAGTTGGACTCTTTGAATTTTCATTTCTTACAAGTAAAGGGTAGTCTTGGCCTGCTTGTGTTTATTACCCTGTACCTGTCTTTACTCCAAGTTGGAAATGCCCAACTCCTTACACAACCTACCACTGCAATATACCAGGAGGGTTGTTTTATTTATTTTTATTTTTAATATAATCTTTATTCATACAGTCAGCTGAGTATCTATCAAACTGTTTTCCAATGGAGAGGATTGACTAAGAAAAAAAACAAAGACAAGTTCAAATGGAAACTAAACACACTCTGCAGCGAGATGAATGCAATGCGTAACACACTAGGAGATTGCGTGCAGACAGGTTCCTGACACCTATTGTCTATAGGAAACTTCTATAGTAACTAAACCTGCCTAAGGATTACATGAATTTGTTTTACATGTTTAGTGTAGCGTGGCACAATCCCCAGAACAGCCCACACTATATACTTAGAGAAACATCCCAAACGCCCACCACCCCTATCCCCATTGACTGTCTACAGGTTTCCCATGATCCCCTATATTGCTGTCTGAATCCATAACTGGGGTTACTGAGATCTATCCTAAATCATTTCCAGGCGATGGCCCAGTGTTTCAGTAACCATGTTTCATTCATTCCAGGCAATGGCCCAGTGTTTCAGTGACCATGTTTCATTCATTCCAGGCAATGGCCCAGTGTTTCAGTGACCATGTTTCATTCATTCCAGGCAATGGCCCAGTGTTTCAGTGACCATGTTTCATTCATTCCAGGAAATGGCCCAGTGTTTCAGTGACCATGTTTCATTCATTCCAGGCAATGGCCCAGTGTTTCAGTGACCATGTTTCATTCATTCCAGGAAATGGCCCAGTGTTTCAGTGACCATGTTTCATTCATTCCAGGCAATGGCCCAGTGTTTCAGTGACCATGTTTCATTCATTCCAGGCAATGGCCCAGTGTTTCAGTGACCATGTTTCATTCATTCCAGGCAATGGCCCAGTGTTTCAGTAACCATGTTTCATTCATTCCAGGAAATGGCCCAGTGTTTCAGTGACCATGTTTCATTCATTCCAGGCAATGGCCCAGTGTTTCAGTAACCATGTTTCATTCATTCCAGGCAATGGCCCAGTGTTTCAGTGACCATGTTTCATTCATTCCAGGCAATGGCCCAGTGTTTCAGTGACCATGTTTCATTCATTCCAGGCAATGGCCCAGTGTTTCAGTGACCATGTTTCATTCATTCCAGGCAATGGCCCAGTGTTTCAGTGACCATGTTTCATTCATTCCAGGAAATGGCCCAGTGTTTCAGTGACCATGTTTCATTCATTCCAGGCAATGGCCCAGTGTTTCAGTAACCATGTTTCATTCATTCCAGGCAATGGCCCAGTGTTTCAGTAACCATGTTTCATTCATTCCAGGAAATGGCCCAGTGTTTCAGTGACCATGTTTCATTCATTCCAGGCAATGGCCCGGTGTGTCCAAACTCAAGGAAACATGTTTCCGCAGCTAACCCAGAGTTCCTAGCTGGACATGCAGATGAGCAGCACAGACTGCCATTGAGTTTTTGGCTCTTTTTGGGGAACTTTTCATGATTGTTACATGTGTATTTACACCAGTCATTTAGAACAATACCAAACTATATTTTATGAAACTCCTTTCTTAACACACTTACTCCCGTATCATTACAGTAACTTTTACTGCTGTGATACACACCACACATTACTAGGAGATAATTATTGTAGTACACTCGCATACATCACACCAAATCCTCGGCAGCTGTGATACACTCAGACACCCCACATTATTGTGAGCCCTTTGCTGTGATATGTAGTGGCCTCCCAGGGTAACAGTCACTTCTCAAACCAATCTCTTACTTTCTCAGCTTAGTTAGTGGTCCACGTTCAGACTCTACTTCATTCTCGCCTTCCAATTCTTCTACTTCCCCACCTGTCACTCGGTTCCAAGCCCCCACACTGCCCTTCCTGTTGTTATAAAACCCCACCTGCTCTAGGTTGTAAGCTCATTCGAGCAGTGTCCTCATCAGCCTACTGTTCTTCCCACAATTTGAAATAGTTTGTCTCATTTGTTGTGAGAGTACCTTTTTATTTATGTTGTAAAATGCTGTGGAATAAGTTGGCGTTATAAAAATGCCAATAATAATAATAATAATAATATACACCACACAAGGAGGAAGAACCTTAAAGTATAAAAGAAGAAGAGAGGTATATGGTTATTATATATTTGCATGCATATTGACTCATGATCTTCCCATTCCTGTAACTTGATGTTGAGTCATTTGATTGTTTTCCATAAGGAAGTTATGGTTCGATAGAAGTGTATTGCATTATTGCCGAAGGGTTCCATGGTTTGGTAGTTCTAGGTATATTGTGGTCTTACAGGACTCTAGGGCGGTTAAAGCTGCCAACACAACACATTGCTATAAGATATATGAAGACCTTGGTCAACGGCAGTCACCGTGGCTCCAAGCACCCAACGCTCTGTAACCTAAGCAGAAATCACTAGTATTCAAGAGAAGAGCTGCTCGTGGAACATCTTGACAATTGACTGCAAATAGTCATCCACTTCCCTTTTGATTTCTCTTAGAAAATTGCCAGATATTTCAGAGTTCTAGTAGTGAAAGTCTGGAGTGGATAATATAATGATGGAAATGTTCTTCAGAATACGAGGTGACCATTGTAGACAGGCTAACATAGCAAAGGCGGCTCTGGATTGCCACTAAAATATGATGCTTCTTTATTGAGAACAATTATTTCTGCAGCTTTTTCAGACTCCCAATCGCTTGAACTGATTATTTCTTAGATCGCAGAACCCCTGGAGCCTGAGTGGAACTTGGCTGCTGATGGATCCTGTGCGACTTTAAATCACCAATGGGTTCCACCCACAGAACGCTTGCTGCAGCAATGCAAAACTGTGCGTTCTAATAATAACGTCTGCGCGGAAATCAATCGCGGCATTCAGTAGAAACAATTGTTTTATTCAGTATCCGCAGCTGCTTTATTCAGTATCGACAATTGCTTTATTCAATATCGACAGTTGCTTTATTCAGTGTTAAGATAACGGGGGTCCAGCAGCCCCCACATCTTCTTGTGTATGGTTTGTTGTTCTATTTTGATAAATAATACATACGATTTATGTTTTTGTGTGTGTGTGTGGGTGTATTTATATATACTTGTATGTAAGTATATCTCTGCTGAATTGCTGTTTCTTCTAATAGCATTTTTATTAACAAGTATTGTCCCTTTGTGTTGTCAGTGTGAAGCACACTGCAAGTCAAACTTTTTTCTACAGTTGTATGAAACTGGTAAACGGGAGCAGGGTACTTTAGGCCCCCTAATATCATTGACCCATACAAGAAGCATAAGTTGTTATGGTGCTTGGATTGTCCCTTTAACCCCTTAAGGACCAAACTTCTGGAATAAAAGGGAATCATGACAGGGTTAAGGAATGTTTCTAACACTTCTTATGCCCCTAGTAATTGGAAGAGGCTGCTACTGCAAGTTTGATGGGTGTCCTAACTAAAATGTTCACAGTAATATAAAGGAGGAACTGTCAATTCACATTATTTTACTATTTTATTTACTCATCGCCTCTATTTAATGAATTTTTTTGGGGGGAGGTCTAAAATATAAAATCAAATGTAGAAATCGGCACCGCTGCATTTACCTTAACCCTCAAACTGTGTGCCTCCATTTTGGCTCTGTGTCAATTCACAGAGGGAGAAGATGAGGCGAAATACAAACAATGTTTCTCTTCCTCCGATGCAATGTTTGCCAGGGCTGTGCCAGGACTGAACCGGATTGTGATGTCATTTTTAATATACATTTAAAAGAAAATGTATCACAAGTTACTAGTGATCCTCCATGTTTTATATAGTGCTGTAATTTCCAGAGAAGTCACCGTCTCCCCCATTAAGAGAGATATACTGGTGTAGTATTGTATTTTTTAAGGTATTGATTATATTGACTGCCTATATGTAATCCAAAAGCCCTTTCACTGTGAATTTAAATCAGTCCGGACGCTATATATGTAGAAGCTAAAGTAATACTGCAATCAAGAGCTTCGTTTTGTTGCTGTGATGTAATATTTGGCATGACAGGAGCCATATGTCCCTGCTCACTGCTTGATTTTTCAGAGATGACAGATACGCCCCTGTGGGTGTGCTAAGAGTTTGCAATAACTAAAGGTTATCAGAATATGTAAAGCTCTGGCTGAATGTCAGATCGATTGTAATAAAATTTCCTGGAAGTTTCTGAGCCGCAGGTTTAAGAGAAAACACATTGGCCAAGAACTAGAATTAGATTTTCCCTTAATAGGGAACCAAAACTTAATTTTAAATCAGAGGTGCAATTTGTTCACAATTACTGCTGTGGATCCAGCATTAGTAAGGACAACCCGGTAGGTGTTTAGAATAGGATAATAAGAAACACGAAAAAAAACAACACAACTTTTATCCTTTTCTTGAAAGTAGGTCCCTGCTGACACTACGCATAAGAAAAGGAACATTTAGCTTTTAAAGCGGCACTGTCATGCCGAACTTGCCTTTCCCCAATTTCTATCTCGTCTCCTCCTCTCTCAGGATCTGTTCTTCTTTTCTTCCTGTCTTCTTTAGTTTTCTTTAAAATCATAAGACTAAGTAGGGACTCTTTGCCTTATTGAGGCTTCATTTCCGCTGGTCAGAGCAATTTTTCCATAATTCTTACCTTTCCTCTGTGATCTCGCGATGCTTCCTGTCATTTTAGACGAAACTGCCGAATTGCGTTCTAACTGAATGAGAACAGTATGTTCGTTTGTTTTAGAATTCAATTCGGCACTTTGTTCGTATCGGAATTTCATTCGAATGAATGAAACTCGGATTCAATTTGTGCCGCGGCTGCATCTTGCAGCCGCTTAGTACATAACTACCGTGGGAATTATCTTCCTAAAAATTACTTAGTATTCGTAAATGATCTGCCCCTACTCGCTATACCGCGAATTGGGGCATGTCTAGTAAACAGTGAGCAGTAAAAAAAAAAAACTATTGGGGGCCAATGGACAATCGGGGGTGGGGGGACCTACTGTGCGGTGGATGGGGACCATAAATTACAATGGGGGGGGCCTACTGTCCTCCCCCCCCCCAGGCCCCCACCCTTGAGCGGTGGGTGGGGGCCATAAAGATAATGGGGGGACCTACTGTCCTCCCGGCCCCCACCCCTGGGCGGCGGGTGGTGGCCCTAAGACAAATTCGCCCCTAGTCTCCCACCCAAACAAAAAAGTTACCCCCCTCACCCCAAAAAAATAGTGAGGGGGGAATAAAATAACCATCAGAGTGCTTTGTGTCATTTTACACAGCGTGGGAAAGTTATTTGGAATTTTCCCACGCTGTGTAATTTGACTCATAACACTCTGATTGGTGGGCTTGGAATCTAACCAATCAGAGTGCTCTTTGTCATTTTACACAGTGTGGGAAAATTCCAAAGAACTTTCCCACGCTGTGTAAAATGACACAAAGCACTCTGATTGGATGGATTTCAAGCCACCCAATCAGAATGCTCTGTGTCATTTTACACAGCCAATCAGAGTGTTCCTTCCCCGCCCTTCAGAGCTCAGTCTGCGCGGAGCCCTCCATGGGTGAAGATGGATTTTTTTTTTTGCACTCAGGTTTTTTCTGTTTCTGCGTTTTTTTTTATTTATTTTAAGTTCGATGGGTATGATGGTTTTTTATTTGGCCTTTTTGGGGGCTGAAAAAAGAAGACGTCAAATGGTAAGTTTTTAATTTTTCTTTACAGGTTAGTTATTTTATTCCCCCCTCACTATTTTTTTAGGGTGAGGGGAGAGTAGGTAGGGAGTAACTTTATTTATTTTTTTGGGTGGGGGGGTGGGTGACTAGGGGCTTGGGGACCCCTATTCACCTTTGATGGGGTGAGGGGGATTTGTCTTAGGGCCCCCACCCGCCGCCCACGGGTGGGGGCAGAGGGGATGACAGTAGGTCCCCCCCATTATCTTTATGGCCCCCACCCACCACTCAGGGGTGGGGGCTGGGGGGGGAGGACGACAGTAGGTCCCCCCCCATTGTAATTCATGGCCCCCACCCACCGCGCAGGGGTGGGGCTGGGGAGGACAATAGGTCCCCCCCCTTATTGTTATTTAGGGCTCCCACCCGTCGCGCAGGGGTGGGGGCCGGATAGTAGTTTGTTGGGTTTTTTACAGTGAGCAGCCACAGGCTGCTTCCTAAGTGCTAAGTTTGCTTTATTCTATTTTTAATTATTTTTTACTTTATTTACTATTTTTGATGCTGCTTGAGGTTCCCATCAGTGTACATTACGTCTGAAGGTGTTCCTGTGTGCTGCTATGGTGGTATTTTGTGATGTGCTTCTCTAATACCCTTTATCTTGTAAGTGCAATATTTATTAAATACTTATACTGTTTTTAGAAACTCTGCACTATTATTTCTTTAAATTCCTCTCTCCCTGCAATCTGAAAACAAGGATACTATACATATTATTTGATACGCCTTCAATCAATTTTGGGTTTCTGAGTGTGCATTCTACTCATTTTTATATTATTTTAGCTACGGCAATATTGCCCTGTTTTTCTCTTTTTTTGCATTGTAGTTACCTGGTATTTCGTACTTTGTATTCTGTGATTGAGGGCTTGGAGGAGTCCTACTCTACATGCAATATTTTATTAGGGTAAAAGTACTTTTTTGCCCTTTTCTCCTTTTCCCACTTTTAATCTCCCTTATGCTATTATGGGAGTCATATTGACCCCCATAGAGTGAGGGAGGACCTGGGGGGGTTTAGGAAGTGGCGGGGAGCACTGCTCCCTGCCGCTTCTATCTTTACATATTACAAGGAGGGAGCTGGGCGCCGGTAGCTCCCTCCTTGTAATAAACTGAACGAACAAACGAACACTGATACACAGTGTTTGTTTGTTCGTCTGATTTTTCTATTCATTCATTCGTCTTTCTGACGATTGAATGAATAGATGAAATTCCCGTTCGCATGCCCTAGTGTTTAACTGGGCATGTGCGGGAATCTCAGTGCTATCTAGTGTGGGAAGATGACGTGTCCCACAGGGACTTCATCGACCCACACAAAATGGCGGTGCCCTGAATATAGATCGGGGCACAAAATAAAGAATAAAAATAGGTAATCTGGGGGGTCTTAGGGGCATTTAGGGATTCCTAGGGTGTCAGTTAGATGTAGTGGAGTCGGGAGAGGGGTTAAAAAAAAGGGATTCGGCCATGACAGTCCCGCTTTAAGTGGTAGTACGTACATGGAGCAGCCTTCCAGTGGAAACTGTAAATATTAATAAAGTAACGATGATGGATAAAGTTATGGTTATCCTGATGAACAAATAAGTCTTTTGTATCTGATAACTTTGGTTATTTCTGTGTTCTCTTTCCCTGAAACCTCCTTTAGTGGAAAAGAAGGGGGTGATGCAGGGACAAGGGGCCTGGTCGCATTCATTTAAGTGCCTAGCCAAAAAGTACAGGATCAGCTGAAAAGGAGTGAAGCTGCTACTAATGCACACTCCATGTGCTCAATCATGTACATTTGGTGACTGTCCTTTGCTTTATAAAGTCTTTCCATTTGTCACACTTTGTCATCATCACAATCTGGCCCCTAAATACCTTATGCCAATATGAAATGTACTGTTTATCGAACTGAAGGCTTGATGCAGCCCTGCAATTAACTGATTGGGATTTTTATATTTTGGAACGATATCCTTATAGAACATATTGTTATTAGGGCATAGAATGTTGTTGGTCCTTAAGGGGTTAAGACAGCATGGTTTGAGTTATTTAATGGATGAAAATATAGGAATGTCATTTCCAAGGGGAGCTGTTTTTTTTATTAATATCCTGAAAGCCTTAACTTTTATTTGCTTTTTTTTATAAGGCCTTTTCCCAGTTTTATAGCATTCAGGCTGGCTGTAAACCCGCTATTTATTGATCAGAGGATTTTTCTGCACTTTATAGCGGATCCAAAGCATTGAGTTAGAATTGGATTGTGAATTGTCATTTGTTTCTACGCAGCATTGTTGTTTGTCTGTGGGTTGTTTTTTTATTTTTTTACGTTTGCTTTGTTAGCTTGGCCAGGACTTCCGAAATGAATAATGTTGGTTATTTTCCACACTTTGATTTTAATAAAAAAACCATAAAAGCCAATAATGTAGTTTAAGATAAACTGGTGATTTAAACATCCTCTAGATCAGGGTGCCAAAACGGTGATCCCCAGATGTTTTAAAACTACAGCTCCCATGAGGCTTTGTCATTCTAAAGGCATGCAAAGGATCATGGGAGTTGTTGTTCTACAAAATATGGGGATCTACCTTTTGGGCACCCTGGTCTAGATTGTAGGCTCTTTTGAGTAGGCTTCTCATTGTTTCTGTAACGTTTTTTAAACGTCTCATTAGTATTCAGTTTCCCCCTTTATAATAGTATAAAGCGCTGTGGAACAGGTTGGCGCTATATAAATGCCAATAATGATTAATTAGCACATTTGTTTTTCCTTATAAAGACGTGTGACAGTGTTCAGTGAATTCTGCCACTTTTAACATATAACTTATATTTCTTTAATTTGATTTGATTTGTTTTTATGTTGCTGTTTATTTTTAGTTCAGCTCCCTGTTAGTGACAGTTTCGGTAGGTAGCGTGTATGTTCGATTATGGGAATGAGACATTTCAGCTTGACATCAGAGATGCATTGTTTCTTTTTCTTATTTAGTGAAGATCCTCTAGGGGGCACTACAATGGACAGGTTTTATGTTACATGTACAGAGAATGGCAAAGTGTTTTTACATCTTTCATCAAGGCAGCCAGAGTTAACCACCTAGTTACTATAGGACTGCAACTCCCATGATTACTTGCCAAAGTCTACCTGTTGTCCATCCATGTACTACATACTGATTATTATCGCAATCATTTTCTTTTCTCCATTCTCTGTACTTACAGCAGTCACAGACTCTGGAACCCTGGAAGCTATATACTACTGTCTCGCTTCTCCTGGGACTGGATGTAGTCACTCTTGGCATCTGGCAGATAGTTGACCCTTTGCAACGTTCTATTGAGGTGAGAGAAAAAAGGCTGTTGTTTCAGAGCCAAAATTAAGTCTGTCCGTAGTGCAATCCTAAAGTCCACATGTCGAAGAACACATTTGACACAGACTACTCTCCCAAATGATCTCCCATGTCTCTTACCCCCATCTCCTGCTAGAATATATCACAATCCTTCCGTGACTGTATCAGTCAATATATATATTACATTATGTTATAGTTCATGTTCTGTTTACATATCATTACCTTTTTGGTAATAACGCTGTACAGTACTGCACCCAGGGACCAGATTGCCATTTGTGAAGAATAAATAGTAATAATAAAGCTATGAATTATGTCCCGTGTTACGAATGCCACACGTCCACAGGTCTCATGATCTGGATTGCTGGGAAGGACACTGGGGGATGGGTAGGTGACCTGGACAGAGGTTGTTACTAAATGACACAAGCTGTTATGAGAATGGAAATTCCACATGAACAAAGAGGTTGACAGATGTCTGTAATATGTAATCTCTCAAGCAGGAACTTCCTAAGCCTTCCAATCCCGCTAAGCACTTTGGGATCAAATGAATATGTTTGTTAGATTGTAAGCTTATGGGGTAAATGTTTCTAAATCGTTATGGTTCTATGATAATGACATGTTTTTCTCTCCTACGTGTCCAAATTCTGTATCTGTTCAGCTCTGTGGTATATGATGATGACAATAAATGTAATAAAGTTATGCCTTCATCCATTGATCACTGCCTTACTCATTCTGTGATTGGAAGAAATATAGAAAAAGTGGGATAACGGTGGGAAGAATCTGTGTAGTGCTCCCCACTCATAACACTGTTATGGTCACTGTCACATTTGTGCTGCTGTTTCATGACAACTTACAGCCAGGGCATCAATGTCTTTCGCAATTGTATTCCAAGACACATATTAAGTGTGTTCAACAGTAAGCCTGATTAAACCAAGAGGGTTGCACCCACCTGAACATGCATACATTATAGGGTGCTGCTGGGGCCAATATATACAAAATACAGAATCCAGTGCACTAAATTATTCACTAAACCATGATTTAAAAACTCACAGATTGTAATAGTTTTATTTAAAAACGCATCACCTTGGCAAAAAACAGTAAGCATGAGCCTTGCCAACCATTCGTGGTACCAAGAGCCCCAGCTAAAGTCAGCAAAGAGAAATTGTTCTGTTTTGAGTTACTCATTGCTGGGTTGAAATCAGTAGGGACACTGATCTCCGAACAGCCTCCTGAGGTCCCCTGACTTTGAATTTAGGTTCAACTTGTTTTATTAATTGGTCAGCAAAACAAGATCACATATTTACAGTACAGTAGCCACAATGTCCTTTGGCCAACAAAATGCTTCCACGTCAATACGAATGTAATCTTAAGGCAGACAAACATAACAGCAGAAAAGAAAAGGAACTGCTCCTACCTTACCCAAACTGTTGAATGAAAGGCAGTAACTAAGTCACAGTTATTTTGCCTAAAGCTGCGCTCCAGAATTTAAAAACATTACGGCAGAAAGTTGGGTAGTTGTCCTTCATTCATACACTCGATGTACCAGTTAATGAGTTTAACGATGTTCCTTCGTGACTCTATCAAGTTGTCTCTTTGATTTGAGCAAAATCAATTGAAACATCAGTGGCCATATTGGTGTTTTATCATTATAAATGGTGTTCAAAGACTAGTCAAGGGACCTACAGTATGACCCTTAAGAACATCATGGTTCTGTGAGCTGAAGGTATCTGGTGTGCAGACCTTTCCTTGGAATTTATCAAGTGGCAAGGGACCTTAATGAAAGACAACCAAATCCTGTGCATAGATAAAATTAAAAACGAATTGTTACCAATGTATTCATTACCTATTGCTATAAATGCTGTCTTTGTGTTTTCAGGAATTCACAAAGGAGGAACCTCGCGGGGACCTGGATGTCCTGATTCTTCCTCAGTTGGAACACTGCAGCTCCCTCAAGATGAACACTTGGCTCGGTGTGTTTAGTGTCACTCATTCTCACATTAGACCAAATACACTCTCTGTGTGTTCTGTTTCAGATCTTGTATATAGGTGTCTCGCACTGTCTCATTCTCATAGCTTTTGTCATTTTCATATGTTTTTCTATATATTTGACTTTCAAGCTTTTAAAGATTTTGCTCTTTCTCCTTTGCCTGTTTTTTCTTCACACCCATCTCATTTATTCTCATTTCTCTCTAGGTATTGTGTATGGCTCGAAGGGTCTTCTGCTTTTGCTCGGTATATTCCTCGCCTACGAGACAAAAAGTGTCTCCACTGAAAAAATCAATGACCACCGTGCTGTAGGGATGGCAATCTACAATGTGGCTGTGAGTACCAGGGAGATATCGGTATACAGGGGAATGGCATGGACTAGTACATAATTTTTCAATATTTAAACATGATGACACATATCTCTTGGGGAACACAAAAGCAGAAAATTAATATGGATAATGCTGAGCTTCTCCAGATACTCCTTCACATTTGCACCAGATTCTCACCACTAGAATTACTATTTCTGAGATTATAATCTGTAGGGAGATTCAAACTAGATATAACTGGGAACGGCTGTAGGCCAGCTGGTATACTGTCTGCTAGGGTTCCCTACAAATTATCTCTTTGAAGTTGCTCACTTTGTCTGGTATCCCCGTGGGATGGTATCTTTCTATGGGTGGTGGCCTTTAGAGCGATGTTACCTCTATTTTATATCCTATCTTCAGGTCCTCTGTCTCATCACTGCTCCAGTAACAATGATTCTCAGTAGCCAGCAGGACGCCTCATTTGCTTTCTCCTCTCTGGCCATCGTCTTCTCTGCCTACATCACCCTTGTTGTGCTTTTTGTACCCAAGGTGAGTGGGAGATCACATGTATTAAAGGTGGCTGCAATATGTGTGTGGTGACTTGGACCTAATCATCCTATTGATTTAGGGATGCAGAGAGGTCTTGACTGGGTGATGAGTGAAAGCAGAACTCGATAAGACTACTCTTTATATCATACAGTGTATTAAGAATTGTTTTATGATAAGTTAAATATTGAATATTATATCTGCGTGTACCTCTTTTTTTAATGCAAAAATATTTTTTTTGCAGATACTTGTCAGGAGAGCTTGTTAAGATACATATAGTTATTATTTGGAAGCTCCAGCTTGTTGAATTATCACTCTTTCCTGTTAAACAGGTATTTTCTAGTGCTTACAGGTGGCCTTTATGTCTGACATGTCATTTTATTGGCACTAGAAGAAAGGGATCTAACACAGGGTCTCTTTGGTGGACCTGAGTGTCTCTGTAGACACCTAACGTCACGGACACCCCAAGGATCATGGCTACTCTGCGATTAGAGTGATCACTGCAGACTGTGTAATATACGTTCATTAGACTTTTCAGGGATATTAAAGTTGACTCATTGTATGATAATCACCTTTAATTTTAACTTAATACATGTAATCCCTGCTCAGAGGTGAATGAGGTTCGAAGTAAAATAAACACAGAGTAATAATCCTTGTCCTGTGGTGTAGAGTCTGTGCCCCAATTACTATGTCACATTTTATTTTAGATCCTTCTTTTCAAAAGTATAACATTTTGTCCAAGCTGCCGAACGTGTGTAAGGATGTATGATACGGGTGAATGGATCATAGGTTCTAAAAGTGATGGAAATAAAATTTACAATGAGACTTCCAGAGTTTAACTGGAAATACGAACAAATTAACTCTTTAGATAGTCCTATTCTATATAGACCGTGGGACTCTTTATATAGTATCATTTCATATAGACCAGGGAACTCTTTACATAGTATTATTTCATATAGACCGTGGAACTCTTTATATAGTATTATTTCATATAGACCATGGAACTCTTTATATAGTATTATTTCATATAGATCATGGAACTCTTTATATAGTATTATTTCATATAGATCGTGGAACTCTTTATATAGTATTATTTCATATAGATCGTGGAACTCTTTATATAGTATTATTTCATATAGATCATGGAACTCTTTATATAGTATTATTTCATATAGATCGTGGAACTCTTTATATAGTATTATTTCATATAGATCATGGAACTCTTTATATAGTATTATTTCATATAGACCATGGAACTCTTTATATAGTATTATTTCATATAGATCGTGGAACTCTTTATATAGTATTATTTCATATAGACCATGGAACTCTTTATATAGTATTATTTCATATAGATCGTGGAACTCTTTATATAGTATTATTTCATATAGACCATGGAACTCTTTATATAGTATTATTTCATATAGTCCATGGAACTCTTTATATAGTATTATTTCATATAGATCGTGGAACTCTTTATATAGTATTATTTCATATAGACCGTGGAACTCTTTATATAGTATTATTTCATATAGATCGTGGAACTCTTTATATAGTATTATTTCATATAGATCGTGGAACTCTTTATATAGTATTATTTCATATAGACCAGGGAACTCTTTATATAGTATTATTTCATATAGACCATGGAACTCTTTATATAGTATCATTTCATATAGACCATGGAACTCTTTATATAGTATTATTTCATATAGACCATGGAACTCTTTATATAGTATTATTTCATATAGATCGTGGAACTCTTTACATAGTATTATTTCATATAGACCATGGAACTCTTTATATAGTATTATTTCATATAGACCATGGAACTCTTTATATAGTATCATTTCATATAGATCGTGGAACTCTTTATATAGTATTATTTCATATAGATCGTGGAACTCTTTATATAGTATTATTTCATATAGACCAGGGAACTCTTTATATAGTATTATTTCATATAGACCATGGAACTCTTTATATAGTATCATTTCATATAGACCATGGAACTCTTTATATAGTATTATTTCATATAGACCATGGAACTCTTTATATAGTATTATTTCATATAGATCATGGAACTCTTTATATAGTATTATTTCATATAGATCGTGGAACTCTTTATATAGTATTATTTCATATAGATCGTGGAACTCTTTATATAGTATTATTTCATATAGATCATGGAACTCTTTATATAGTATTATTTCATATAGATCGTGGAACTCTTTATATAGTATTATTTCTTATAGATCGTGGAACTCTTTATATAGTATTATTTCATATAGATCGTGGAACTCTTTATATAGTATTATTTCATATAGACCATGGAACTCTTTATATAGTATTATTTCATATAGACCATGGAACTCTTTATATAGTATTATTTCATATAGTCCATGGAACTCTTTATATAGTATCATTTCATATAGACCATGGAACTCTTTATATAGTATCATTTCATATAGACCATGGAACTCTTTATATAGTATTATATAGATCGTGGAACTCTTTATATAGTATTATTTCATATAGACCATGGAACTCTTTATATAGTATTATTTCATATAGACCATGGAACTCTTTATATAGTATTATTTCATATAGTCCATGGAACTCTTTATATAGTATTATTTCATATAGATCGTGGAACTCTTTATATAGTATTATTTCATATAGACCATGGAACTCTTTATATAGTATCATTTCATATAGACCATGGAACTCTTTATATAGTATCATTTCATATAGACCATGGAACTCTTTATATAGTATCATTTCATATAGACCATGGAACTCTTTATATAGTATTATTTCATATAGATCGTGGAACTCTTTATATAGTATTATTTCATATAGATCGTGGAACTCTTTATATAGTATCATTTCATATAGATCGTGGAACTCTTTATATAGTATTATTTCATATAGATCGTGGAACTCTTTATATAGTATTATTTCATATAGATCGTGGAACTCTTTATATAGTATTATTTCATATAGACCATGGAACTCTTTATATAGTATTATTTCTTATAGACCATGGAACTCTTTATATAGTATTATTTCATATAGACCATGGAACTCTTTATATAGTATTATTTCATATAGACCGTGGAACTCTTTATATAGTATTATTTCATATAGACCATGGAACTCTTTATATAGTATTATTTCTTATAGACCATGGAACTCTTTATATAGTATTATTTCTTATAGACCAGGGAACTCTTAGTATAGTCCTCTTTCAGTAATCCCTTAAAGGGACACTATAGTTACCCAGACCACTTCAGCTCAATTAAGTGGTCTGGGTGTCAGGTCCCTCTAGGGTTAACCTTGCCTGATGTAAACATAGCAGTTTCTGAGAATGCTTAGCATGCTTAAACTCCTTTACTGTGTTAACCTCTACCACTACAGCTGGAAGGCTATTCCATGCATCAACTACCCTCTCAGTAAAGTAATACTTCCTGATATTATTTTTAAACCTTTGTCCCTCCAATTTAAGACTATGACCTCTTGTTGTGGAAGTTTTTCTTCTTTTAAATATAGTCTCCTCCTTTACTGTGTTGATTCCCTTTATGTATTTAAATATTTCTATCATATCCCCCCTGTCTCGTCTTTCCTCCAAGCTATACGTGTTAAGATCCTTTAACCTTTCCTGGTAAGTTTTATCCCGCAATCCATGAACCAGTTTAATAGCCCTTCTCTGAACCCTCTCTAAGGTATCAATATCCTTCTGAAGATACAGTCTCCAGTACTGCGTACAATACTCCAAGTGAGGTCTCACCAGTGTTCTGTACCAGTGTTCTACTGCTAATACCTCTCCCTATACAACCAAGCATTCTGCTAGCATTTCCTGCTGCTCTATTACATTGTCTGCCTACCTTTAAGTCATCAGAAATAATCACCCCTAAATCCCTTTCCTCATATGTTGAGGTTAGGACTCTATCAAATATTCTGTACTCTGCCCTTGGGTTTTTACGTCCAAGATGCATTATCTTGCACTTATATCCATTAAATGTTAGCTGCCACAACTCTGACCATTTTTCTAGTTTACCTAAATCATTTGCCATTTGCCTTATCCGTCCTGGAACATCAACCCTGTTACATATTTTAGTATCATCAGCTAATACAGTTAGTAAAATATAGTACTAGGGGAGGGAGAGCACTCACAAGATGGAAATGAAATGCAGTCATGTCTCCCTCTCAAATGGTTAATTCAGAATAGAATGTCTTGCTTCAATGGATGTCTTGAAACCCTGATAGGTTTTTCTACCAGCTAACATTTCCATGTAGTTCTATTGTGATACTTCTGACCAGCTCAGAGGCTTTAAATCTATTTTATAAGCCTGTCTTGAAGCAGCATGGTCATATCTCCATTTGTGGAGAGAAAACCCTTTTCAAGCTTTACCGCCTAATTGTTTTCAGATGAGACGTCTCATTACCCGTGGAGAGTGGCAGTCTGAGCAGCAGGACACTCTCAAGACTGGCTCTTCCACTAATAACAATGAGGAGGAGAAGTCTCGTCTGCTGGAAAGGGAGAACCAAGAGCTGGGGAGGATCATTGCTGAGGTAAGTTCACAAATGATAGATTTCTGTATGACTCGAATAGGTGAACCTGCCTCCTTCCAGGTGTCTTCTACAGCTTGATGGTAATGGAATTGTAGTCGGACAACAGCTGGTGGCTACAGGTTACCCATTCCGTATCAACTATGTTCTGGTAGAGTTTTTTTGTTTGTTTTTTCACCAACGCTACAGTTCAGCCTTTTCAGAATACTTTCTCTTTTTACCCCCTTTCCTTTCTATCTCTGCCATCTCACCTCACTTTCTCACTTACACCTTTCCTGCTTCTGGCTTCTCTCTTTCTCTCCTGCTTTCTCTTTTCAGAAAGAAGAGCGGGTTATGGAACTTCGACAACAGTTGCGGTCTCGGAGAACACCGTCTGTCGCAACCCGAGATAACTGTTCGGACAATCACTACCCAAACTCCTCTGGGGCAGTTTCTTCTCTTTACCAGCCAGGCCTCCCTCTTGCTAGATGCCTTGTAGCTGAGGGAGGGGACAAGCTGGGGAGGAACAGTTGTGATGGGAGCCGAGTGCACCTCCTATACAAGTAGGATGAAAACGCGTGAGCTACAAGAGCACTCTCTTACTCGACATAGCTGTAAATACACTGTGTGGCCTCTCATTCACCTCATCCTGAATGTCTCATTGCGTCTATCTGTCTGTCTTTTCTTTTGCTTTCTATTTTTGCCACTAATGCCAGTCTCTTGTCTGTTATACTTTTTACTATTTTGTCTTCCTGTCCATCTGTCTGTCTACCTTCATTCTGTTGATTGCTCAGCCTCTTTCTTGCTCCCAGTTCTGAATGTCTCATTCAGTTTAGCACTTTATATTATTTTTTCCATTGAATCACTTAAAACTCCATTTTTTTTTGCTGGTATTTGTTGTTGCACTAAAACCCAAATTCCACTAGTATTCCCCTGTCTCTCTGACTATAAACTCGATATACTGCTGGGGTATCTCCTTTCTACAATTATTGTCACTTTCACTGTTCCTGAAGCTGTCAGTACAGCCCCCACTAAATCCCCCGCCTCAACCTGCTTCCCTCAGGGATCATTGTCTATATATCAGTGCATCTCTCACAAGTTGTTTTTTTAAGCTGTGATTGACTGTTGCAATAAATAAACAATATAAGAATTTTATTGATTGTTTTCAACAAGCCTGCTTATTTCGTTTTATTATTTTTAGACCAATGGTTATATTTTATAGTATAACCAAAAACTCAGACCATGACGGACGGGCTGTCATTTAGTAACCAGCAATTAATTATTCTGTCTTTATAAGATATAATAACTATATAGGATACATATACCACGGTGGATTACAGTCATTCGCAATGTCACTTTGGTTGTATCCTTTAGAAAATGTATTTATTAGAAGTGGACCATGTGGAAAATCAGATTATATCCATCATCATTTTCAAGATGGCTGCCTTCATCCTAATTTGATTCATAACGTGCTTCAGTAGACAAGACATACATTTATAAACATAATAACAGATTAGCTTTTGGTTTCACTTCCCTTAAACATGTAGATGTTCATTTTTAAAAATGTATTATTTAAAAAGCAGGTGTACCACTGTGTGCCTTTCCCTGGGACACATTTCCCATTGGTGTTGTATTTTGTCCACATGTCATTAATTAACTTTAAGAGATTAAATTAATTTGGTGTCCGGATTTCCTTGTGTGAGATCTAATGCCAGCAACCTAAGCTTCACACAGGGGAGATCAGATTTCAGTCAAACTGTTAGAGCACAGTGATAACAAGCTGTATCCCTGAATGTAACTCTAGGCTAGGGTATACTGAATGAGTATGAGTGAGGAAAATATTACTGCCATGCAATTAACACTTTCTGTTGGATCTCAGTAGTCAATGATTTACTCAGGCAACATGTGAATTTTTCACATCCTTGGCAGCACTATTCATGTTTTTTCCAACCATGTATGAAACATATTAGGGGCCACTTTAAGCACCCTAACCACTAGCTTGCTCTAATAGTTATAAAATTATCCAATGGTTATTGGCCAAACTACATACCAATGGCTTGATTTATACCAGTCTCTTTTGGAGGCTTTCAGTTCTTCGGATCTAAACTGCTGTGATAAATTGGAAGCTTAATTTCCTATCATACCAACTTGTACCAGGTATTCATTGGCATCAATATAGAACTATCAGCCAATGAAAATGCCTGCACTCTGTAGGAGTTGGTATTATGATGAAGACGTATGAACTTTGCTTTGTCATATCAACCCTGACTGGAAGGACTAGAAGGGCTATGGGCTGCTCCCAGTACAAAGGAAGTGTCAAACTGTTTGTAAATTTTAACTGGTACAAGCAGACAAGTTTGTAAATGGTTTGACAGATCACAGTTGGATGGTGTCCGGGAAATCCTGACACCATATTCATCGCAGCACAATTTAACATTTGAAGAAGTGGACAGTTTAATTGTTCAAGAGCGCCCTTAGACTTCTTTCGTAAATAAAGTAAAATAAAGTAAATGTTGCATATTTGTGTGTAAATAGAATAAAGAAACGCTAACTGAAAGGGTGTCTGAGTTGGTGAAGTACTTTGCAAAAAACAGACTATTTTCCTAACTCGTCTGCCTGAGTCACTATTTAATGAATGCAACTGCGCAGCCAGAGCCGTTGAAAGGGATTTGGGTGAAATAGTGTATTTGTTTAGTTATTTATTGTACTCTTTCCTCTGCGTCTATTGACTCATTGATCTCTGATAGCTGTTGCCACGTTTGTCAACTGATAAAGAAAGAGGTAATGCAAGAAAAATATGAAATGTATGTTGTTGGAATTTAAAGGAAATTAAAATATTCCTTAATGCTGAAGGAAGTCTCCTCTTCGTGTTTGATCAATGTAAAAAGGTGTATGTATTTTCACTTTGGCACAGTTCCTGGTCATATGACCCATGCTTGTACAAAGGTTTCTCGATATAATATGGCACATGCTTGTATAAAGGTTTCTTAATTTTTTTTATTCCATCTTTTTCTCATACTCTTTCTGGCTAATCACATGAAAGAAAGCCACTCATCTTTTCATTATTATTGAAAATAAAAAAGACTCCATGTCATACAACCTCTTTTGTATTATTTTGCAATCCATACATCGAAGTATATTTCCGTTTTCATTGAGTTTCCCAACATAATCTTGCTCCATGGTGGTGGCTATCTTTACATTTTATTTGATTGAAAGTAACATTAAAGACCATGCCCAATATGGATGGCTGAAACAAGCTCATATTACCTAGACAGCATTTGGCCAGAGCTTCTGGCCAAAGATGCCTTAAAGATGCCGGCTCTGCTAAGAGAAGCACCCAAAAAGTAATTTACTTATGTCTGCTGATACTATCAAACGGACTCCAAGAGATGGAGATCTAAATATACCATGTTAATCAAAAAACCCATTTCATTTAATAAAAAAAAATCATCGGTTTGTGAATAAAACGAGAACATGTCTGACTGCTTCTTAAAACACAATCTTTTACATCACCTTTCCTAGGTGAGGAAATGTTGGCTACAGCATGATTTGACTGTATATTAGTTTTTATATTATTGTCCTCTAACAAGTCTTTTCAGGTTACAAATGTACAAGACAGAGATTTCTGGATCACTCAGAACTGTTTTACAGAATAAGCAAATGTTTCTACTGACATTTATATATCTCAAAGTCCCCAATGAAAGCCAGAGAAATGAAAATGTGAGAGTGCTCACCGAGTTAGTCATACCGCTTTGCATTAAGAATCAATTCCTTCTGGGGATAAAGCAGACTTTTTTTTTTTTTTTTAAAGACAGACTTTAATCTCCTGAGACATGCTCTCTAATGAGTGCGTGCAATTCGGTGTGGATGCCATTGTCCAGTGACTGTCACCTACTTTCTTCCAACATGTCAGATTAGACTGTCCTTTAGTTGACTAAGAAAACCGGGTACCATGTAAATCAGAAGGGCCTTTTCCTTAGTGACCACCCTGGTTGACAGAAGTAACATTCATCATTCCCGTTAAATTGACATTCCCAGTTCCTAAAGAAGTCCCATTTTTATTATTCCAGGGAACCAGATAAAAGATGTACACACCAGCTAAGACAAGTGCGATCGTCAGAAACACAGCCATAGCTATAGAGCCATAGAAGATGCAACCAGCCGACCTTAACATAGACACCAGGTTTCTAGGTGATCGTGGGTCAGGTGGAGGGCGTCCCAAGTCCACACTTAGGCTGACAGTGCTGAGCTGGAGAGAGTTAGTCTTTGGTACGTATAAAAGTCCACGTTTTCTGCTAAATCTCAGTGAAGGAATTGGGCAGCTTGTTGCTTTACTAATTTTTTTCAACACGTCTTCATCTGTGGAGAGGGCTGGTGGACCCTTTTTGGATTGTAACGAGGTAGGCAGTCGGCATATGGGGCATGAAAGCGTTTCAGGTTGGGTTGACCCCACAGTGATCCGAGAGAGGCATTCAAGGCAGAAAACATGGCCACAGGAGAGGTTCTTTGGGAGGTGGAAGAGAGTATCATATGTAGTGAAGCAGATTATACACTCAAAGAGGCTCTCTCCATCAGACCCTTGATTGGGAGGTTCCTCAGACATGGTGCAAAGGATATCATCAGAGATCTGGATGGAGAGAAGAGGAACAAACAAAAGAATTAGGTCTTGGCTATAGAAAATAAACATTTTACCTCTTGTAAATAATTCCAGATTACCTGTCTTGGGAAACCACCAAAATATGATATTCTGTAAAACAATCTAAAAGCTAGTTAATTATCTAATTTGCTGGTATCAGATACCTTTTGAACTGTTTAAGTTTCTACTATAACCAGACAGATCTAGCAGTTCGGTAACATCTAATATTTTATCTCCTATCTATGAACAACAAAACAAAAAAACACATGCAACAGAATTCACTGGACAATGGGACAGCAAGTTTTTCTAACACAAGTCCTTTTATGTAACAAAATAAAATAAAAAAAAATACATTTTTAAATTCACTGTAAATTGCAGTTTGGTGAATAAACTCCTTGCGTAGCATTCTCTGGCCTTTTGTTTATCTGTATTTCTTTTTTATTTCATAATTTGCAGACGAGCCATTACAGAAATGTTAAATATGTTCAAAATGCATTTTACGAGAAAATATCTTCCGTGTTTCGATTGTTGTTTAAAACAAAGGGCCAGGTCTGGTGACATGCTATGGTCTGAGCCTTGGGAGCAGCAATATTAATGATTAATTTCACTTTCTGGTTTTAAAACTAGTTTGTCCATACTCTAGATTTAGAGATTTGTGGGCAGCATGTTGTTATCGTCTAGTGACTTTAGATCAAGGGCATTGAGTTGATGGCTTGCGGTTACTTGAAAGGGTGGGCATGGAATCGATTGCAGGGATGGGGTGAATGGCATTCTTAGGGGTCTGTATAACAAATGTAGTCACATAGTAATAAGTACCTAAAAAAAACTCAATAACATTCAGCTTTCTACATGTCTGTGTTACTGCTGCTAATCGTAAAGAAGGCGATAACTCTAGTTCGAAACGCTTTCTGATTTTGCTACAAAATGAGAAAAAAGAAATCCTTCTGGACTTTAAGATAGCCGTGGGATTTCTCTCTGGATCAGCAGGCTGAATTACTCAACACGGAATTGCTTTACAGGGAAGGGATACAGAATTGATCTCTAAGTATAGAGAACATGGATGTTAAATTCCTTACTGGGGGTGACATTCAGAGATTGTTAGGGTGTGGGGGTTAGTATTTTTTGCTAGGAAGGACGATATAGTATTGATTACTATGTAGGCAGATAAAGTAATTATTCCTAAGGGGGGGCACTGGGGGTAGTAATTTCTGCTAGGGAGGGAGATATAGCATTGATAGGGTATAGAAATCAATGCACTCTCTGATTGCAAGCGCATACGAGAGATTGCTGGGAAGGGCTACAGTATTGTAGGGTGGGGTATAGTACTAAATACTCTTGGAGGCGCTTATTGCCTTGTTTGCTAGGGTGGGGTATAGTATTGATAATAGAGCACTGTTTCCTAGGGAGGGGGGTTTAGTATTGATTCCAAGCGGAAAGAGATATAGTATTGATTGAAGGAAAAGGGGACATTTTATTTTTAGGATGGGCATGATTATATTCTTGGGCTGGTCCAAAGGTTACTTGCCATGGCTTATAGAACCAGTTCCTAGGGGAAGGTGTCTTAAAAATGATTAGCTAGGTGGGTGGGTATGCAATGAGTTTCCTAAGAAGGGGCAGCAATGAATTGCATTCAAGGGAGTAGGGATGGTGAGGTTAATGGTCAGGGCAGTGAAAACTACAAAAATAATCAATTTTTTCAGTTTATTCTAGATATGACAGAGCCGTCCACATTTTGTGAGGACATAAAAAAAGACCACTGAATGTGCAGAGCTGACTGACTAGTAACTGGCAGTGCCAGGGGGCGCAATGGAATGCTGAATCAATAACTAAGAAGGAGAAATTGTATTGGGGGAGAATATGCAACTACTGATTGCTGGAGAAATAGTATTGATTGTTATAAGTAGCGATATGAAATGACTGCGCAGATTCAGCCTAAGGGGGCGTTAAACGTAGTGATTGGGGATAAAAGGCCATATTTAGTGGTCAAGCCCAGGGCTTCAAAAAGTAATTTATAGACCGCTGATTTTTTTTTTTTTAAAGAAATGTGAGAAAAACGAATTAACTATAGCACAGTCAGGTGTTAAGCTATATAACCGCTCAAGCACACACAATGACTTACAACATACTACTGTACTGTTTCTTGTCTTTTATTGCAAAAATGTGCACAGTTATTCATGCCATGCAATTGTAATTCTTTGTCTCTCAAAACTCTGGCAACAGCTGTTGTGGCATTGCTAGCCTAAATGTTATCTGTATCATCCATGCCCGAAAATTCAAGAATTTAAAAAAAAATGTGAATGAACTAATTATGGAATTTTTTTTTATTTTTTTTTTTTAATTCTTTATTTTTGAGTGCATAAAGAATAAGCAGTTACATATGCATTGCCATGCCCCAACAGCATGTACACACAATATAATAATGAACATCGATTTGGTAAGGCATGGCATGGGAACACAATGCACATTTTTTATATATATTCATACTGACATAAAGACTAGTTTGAAACATAAGTAGTTATGAGGTAAGAAACAAAAATGCATGAAACGACATAATATGATAGTTGGTCAACGTTGCCCACAGACTACACGTTTTAGAACTAATGTAGAGTAGGGGACCTGTTAGTCAAAGCTGACTAAGCGTTGAAAACAATAGGCATCCTTATGCAGGCATAACGTAGTAGGTTAAACTGCAATTGGTACAATTGGTAGCTACAGGTAACATAACGAGCATGAACATGAAAAAGTCATACATTAACCAAAACTTTTTAAATGTTGTGATCTGTGATACTGTGAATTGGCGTGTCGGCTTCCACAGCTCGGACGAGGATCATCGTGTGCGTTTTGGTCTTTAGCCCTGAGTGTGTGTTCGGTTCCCCTGTCCATGCTCCCTATTCTCCTGGTATTGTTCCCATAATTCCCATGTCCTGCCAAATTTTTGGGTGGTGTGCCTGACCAGGGAGGTTAACCTGTCCATTTGGTAGTTATCCTTTATCTTAGCTATCACTAGTGCCATGGGGGGCATTTCCGGGCAGAGCCATTTCTGCGCTAGTGCCCTTCGGGCCGCCAGGTAAATCATGTTTAACAGTTGTTGCTCTGGGCGTGGGAGGCCATCTGTTGGCCTGGAGAGGAGGCAGGCCCAGGGGTCCAACCGCAGGGGTCTCTGCAATATGTTCGAGCTTAGGTTGGTGATTCGAACCCAATAAGCCTGTAAATTATGGATTTGTTTGAAGATCAGCAAGACAGTGTAGAAAATAAAAATTAATTCTAATTTAATAGAAAAAAAGTTTGTCACACAATTTGTCTGCACATTTCTGATTTATTCAGCATCAATATTTTGCTAAATATCAATCTGCAGAATTTGATTTCCATTGTTTATAGATTTGTACAATTCAGTAGAGAAAGTTACATGTATAATATTTTTAAGATATCACACTCCTATTACATAACAATGACTAGCTTTTATATACTGCAAGTTTTCTGATCATACAGTGTCCTCCAGATTTATGGCCAATATTATAACCTATACTATATTTCATATTTATACCATGTCATACTTCTTAACATTTCAAATGGACTGAGGGACATTTTAGTTGGGACAGTCTGAGCCATTTTAGGTGATATAATAACAATTTATGCAATCAAAATTTAATTTGGACGAAGAACGATGTGTCTCATTTGCAGAGTGATTTCTAAACCCATTTATTGTAGTTTAAAGACACATTACTGGGAGTATTATTGCTGTGGAGCTGTGTTATACACTCAGACACACCAACAATATGGAGTTTCTAGAAAAGATGTATATTAGGATAGAAAAGAGGGACAGAAGGATTTGGTATCAAAATTGGGACTGTCCCTTCTAAATAGGGACACTTGGGTGGTATGCAAAACTTCTTTATTTTATTTAACAGTACTTACAGTACACCCTTATTCAGAGGGTAGTCGAAGTGAAAATACCAGCGTGTGTTTGGGATTAGCCCAATTACAGTTCCCCAGGCAGCACTGTATCATTGCTCACATGACTGGGCAAGATTGCAAGCTGTGACACTGCATATTTTTGTAAACTGAAAAGATGTCTAGGACATCAAGACATGTTGGTCATCATAGTGAAATGTACCAACATCTGCAATGCCAGGGTTTGCCCACACACAGCTATATAGAAAGAAGTCTCTTACTGAAATGACAGGACATTCCAAGACAGTGCACGGCTTATTAAAAAACACATGAGTCACAATAAGGTTAAAGCAGGTGAAGTGTGAGCGACTAATCTGCCATATATACCTTAACACTATGTTAAGTATGCGACCAGAATTAATGGTGTTTGGAGTGGATGTGCAAGAAAAATATTAAAATCCTTATTTTTAATCTAAAAGAAATATATATTTTTTTGCAGCTTTTTGGACTTTATCATGGTTTCTGCTTCTACACTGGTTATTATGAGTCTGCCGTGGGTATTGGCCACTTAATCAATGATGGAAGTAATTCAATCGAAATGGTATGGCCCTGACTCACTTCCCAACATTAGGCCTGTGTAGATCTATGATAAATAAGCAGGGCTCTCGCACAGGGACCATGGGATGACAGCATGAAATATCATTGGTCTTTTCGGGGTTAAATGTAAGAGTTTAGAACCACCTTTGTGTTAACTCTTCATGTGTAGGTGAACAGTGCACGGTTACATTCTATCACTCTGTTACTCATTTAAAGATCCTCATTTTTGTTTTTAATTAAATTAAATTGGTGTGACACCTTAGCCATTTGAGTGGTAGAGCTGAGGAAAGCATTGTAATGTGTTGTTCATCTCTATGGCATTCTAACGGTTAATTATCTTGGTCATTCAAGGAAAGGAGGGCAAGATTACAGTCACAGCAGACCCCCCAGGGCTTTGTCACTTGGGAATTCACTATGCCACTTAGTATTGACTACCAAACTTGGATTAGGTAAATAAGGCACGAAATGACAGTGAGAAGCTCTAGTACTAAATTAATGAGTGATCAACACACATAGTCCCTACAAGCACTCATTGGGTTAATGAATAAATCATTTTCCATTCACACGTCTCGCTCTGTGTCCTCCCATGTGAGTTAATGCGGGCACTTTCTCATGTTTGCCCGGCTGCTGCCAGTCCTTTTATCTTGGTAATGTGTGTATCTGGCACACCTTGCTCTGCACACCCTCTTATCTCTCTCTCGTCCCCGGTCTCTGCTCTCCATCCTCACAACCTGCCCGTGTCTCTCCCTGCCTCTCTCCTCAGCTCATCTCCCTTGTCTCCTCTGTGCTAAACACGGAAATGCAGAACGTGATGGCACATCCACCAGTTGTGCCACTTGGAACATATTTTGGCAGCTGGCTTCCATCCACCAGTTCAGCATAACTATCGGCCAGTCACAGACAAGGGCACAAGGCTGGCTGAGCATCATGGGAAATGTAGTTCACAAACATTTGCTGTGCTAGTCGAATAATGATCTTGAGCAGGGTTTAATGGCCTCTCAGATGTTGCTGAACTACAAATCCCATGATTCTTTGAGAGTCATGGGAGTTGTAGTTCACCAATATTTGGAGGGACAGAGTTTGGAGAACCCTGAATTGTAGACTAAGCTATACCAGGGCTGGCCAAGTATTTGACCCTTGGCTTTTGACTAACTATAAATACCATAATTGTTTGGCAGGTTTAAGACTGATAAAGTATATAAAAAAAAAAAATCAAAGTTCATTAAAAGCTAAAGGTTTACCTTTAGACCACCCTGCGCTACACACTCGGGCTAATTCAGTGGTAAATTGTAGATTCTTACAAACCAAGCGGCAAAATCTAGGCCAAAATAGCTGATCTGGAAAAATTCCCCAATTCAACTGTTAATATTTTATCCTGAATGTTACATTTGTCATTTTGCTGAATAATTTTGGCAGTCTCTTTCAGATTGCCCGGCTGTGTCAGTCTCTCTTAACGCTGCATAAAATGGGTTATTATTAAATGTTATTATTATTATTATTAATTAGTTATTATGTGCAATACTCACTGTGTCAGGTGGCACAGCTGTCTCTCAGTTTAGAGGTGCAGTCGGTTCCCCTGTGTGATCCATACACACCTCCCTGGGACTGTTTCTTACTGTTGGTTCATCACCTTTCCTTCGCACACAGGTTTTGTCTTCCTTAATCTGGAGAGTTTTCTTTCCTCCTGTTATTCGTTACCCTTTTCTCAGTTTAGGGGCAGTCTCAGAGGCTGTCTAATCTGGCCCTGGGCAGCTTTGGGAATCTCGTTCAACCTGTCTGTCTGGATGTCTCACCTACTACAGGTTGGTCTCCTTCCTTGTTCACTCCCTCTCTGCAGGTGCTTTGATAAGAAACTGTCACCTATAGGAGTTAGCGATTGTTCCAATAAAGCAAAAGGCAAGACCTGCGGGGCTTGTCCCTCCTTGAACAAGGTGACACCGTGGCATAGGGTGACGCTATAAACATGAGAGGGAACCCAGCAGGGAACCCCAAATCTCTCCAAAGGTACCAAACTGCATAAAACCTGCCAACAAATTATGCGAGTTGTCGCTCTTCAACAACTGAAGGGTTGCTCGTTATTTAACCATTTCATCGTAATTGGAGGGATTCCTTGCCGTGCTCATAGTGTGTCTAAAACTCATTCAGAAGTGTGGCACAGTGACCCTTACAGGGTGACACAGTCCAGCTGTAGATTGGCCCCTTCTATTACAGGGTGACACAGTGACAGAGTCCAGCTATAGATTGGTTCCTCCTATTACAGGGTGACACAGTCCAGCTATAGATTGGCACCTCCTATTACAGGGTGACACAGTCCAGCTATAGATTGGCTCCTCCTATTACAGGGTGACACAGTCCAGCTATAGATTGGCACCTCCTATTACAGGGTGACACAGTCCAGCTATAGATTGGCTCCTCCTATTACAGGGTGACACAGTCCGGCTATAGATTGGCTCCTCCTATTACAGGGTGACACAGTCCAGCTATAGATTGGTTCCTCCTATTACAGGGTGACACAGTCCAGCTATAGATTGGCACCTCCTATTACAGGGTGACACAGTCCAGCTATAGTTTGGTTCCTCCTATTTTAGGGTGACACATTCCAGCTATAGATTGGCACCTCCTATTACAGGGTGACACAGTGACAGAGTCCAGCTATAGATTGGCACCTCCTATTACAGGGTGACACAGTCCAGCTATAGATTGGCTCCTCCTATTACAGGGTGACACAGTCCAGCTATAGATTGGTTCCTCCTATTACAGGGTGACACAGTCCAGCTATAGATTGGCACCTCCTATTACAGGGTGACACAGTCCAGCTATAGATTGGTTCCTCCTATTATAGGGTGACACAGTCCAGCTATAGATTGGCTCCTCCTATTATAGGGTGACACAGTCCAGCTATAGATTGGCTCCTCCTATTATAGGGTGACACAGTCCAGCTATAGATTGGTTCCTCCTATTACAGGGTGACACAGTCCAGCTATAGATTGGTTCCTCGTATTATAGGGTGACACAGTGACACAGTCCAGCTATAGATTGGTTCCTCCTATTACAGGGTGACACAGTCCAGCTATAGATTGGTTCCTCCTATTACAGGGTGACACAGTCCAGCTATAGATTGGCACCTCCTATTACAGGGTGACACAGTGACACAGTCCAGCTATAGATTGGTTCCTCCTATTACAGGGTGACACAGTCCAGCTATAGATTGGTTCCTCCTATTACAGGGTGACACAGTCCAGCTATAGAGTGGTTCCTCCTATTACAGGGTGACACCGTCCAGCTATAGAGTGGTCCCTCCTCTTACAGGATAACACAGTGACCCAGTCCAGCTATAGATTGGCACCTCCTATTACAGGGTGACATAGTCCAGCTATAGATTGGCACCTCCTATTACAGGGTGGCACAGTCCAGCTATAGTTTGGTTCCTCCTATTTTAGGGTGACACATTCCAGCTATAGATTGGCACCTCCTATTACAGGGTGACACAGTGACACAGTCCAGCTATAGATTGGTTCCTCCTATTACAGGGTGACACAGTCCAGCTATAGAGTGGTTCCTCCTATTACAGGGTGACACAGTCCAGCTATAGAGTGGTTCCTCCTATTACAGGGTGACACCGTCCAGCTATAGAGTGGTTCCTCCTATTACAGGGTGACACCGTCCAGCTATAGAGTGGTCCCTCCTCTTACAGGATAACACAGTGACCCAGTCCAGCTATAGATCAGCCTCTCCCCTTTCAGGGTGACACTGTGACATATTCGAGCAATAAATAAGCCCCTCCCCTTTCACATTGACACTGTGACATTGCCCAGTTATAGATCAGCCCCTCCCCTTTCAGGGTGACACGGTAACATAGTCAAGCTATAAATAAGCCCCTCCCCTTTCAGAGTGACACTGTGACATAGTCCAGCTATAAATAAGCCCTTCCTCTTTCAGGGTGACACAGTTCAGATATAGATCAGTGCTGTCTCTTACAGGGTAACATAGTGACACCGTCCAGCTATAACACCAAGTAAGGCACACACAGTGACACATAATTATGTTCTGAAGGGCGATACAATGTCAAGTAATGAAAGTATCCTTCCTCATACAGGGTGACAATGGAGGATCCTTCGTGTTAAAGGGTACTGCAGTTATCCCTTCTCATGGTGACAGATTTTACTTTGTACAATAAGGTGACATTCGAGAGATCTAAATATGTTCTTTTTACATTAGTTTCCACATTCAGACCAGGGTGCAATGCTGCTGGCTGATTTAAGTTTGTCTGTAGAGTTACACAGTGATTCTACCTCCGGCTGTAAAGCAGAGTCTGACTGAAGTGAAGAGGAATTCAGCTATGACACAGTCACTCGAGACAGGGAAATGGCACTCGTTAATCCCGTCACTTGTAATTCACTAGAAATATGTGCCGCAGGTAGGGTCAAGCACAAACAACATTTGTTGTAGAACTACAGATCCCACCATGCTTTGCCTGCATAAAAGATTGTCTTTTATGTCCTTTACTGCTGAGGTTCTCCCGCTATGCTCCCTGTAACTTATAGAAAAGACACTAGATTTTATTTTTAACTCCCAAGTTATTTAGCCAGCTGGCTGAGAGTCATGAGAGTTGTAATTTTGTGAATTGAAAGTTTTGTAAGCTGCAGACATTTATCTCATTGGACTTGATGCTCTGCAGCTTATAATTGGGTAAACCCCCTCTGTAACGCATTGTCTCCCTCGTTTATCTTCCTCCTAATACTTCATACGGCCGTCTCCCCATTGTCAGGGCTCTCTGCGTGGCTGCACATAAACTAGGCAGCCACGCCGACAGAAAGGTTTCTGACTTAACTTGGTCGCGGCGGGCAGCTGCCAGATCTCCCTCCGTTCCGGTCCCCAGCGGGTGCGACGTTCTTACGAGCGCCGGCCGCTGCGGTTCAGGATTTTATAGTAAACATACCTTCGCCCACATTAAAGATGGGCGTCATGGGGTGAGAGGTCAGAGACAGCCAATTACAGCCTAAAGAGGGTTATTTAAACCCAAATTACCTTTTTGCCAGTGCCCTCTGGTGGTTTCCACTAGTTGGTTATCCGAAAGTGTGTTCCTGATCGTATTTTTTCTGGTATCTGACTTTGTTTTTTTTTTACTTCCCTGATTTCTGGTATCCTTGACTTCTGGCTTTCCTCATCCTTGCGTCTCTGTGTCCCTGACCTCGGCTAGTATTTTGACTATTCTCTTGTACGTTAAGTCCGGTTAGACGTTAGTCTTTAGGTGTGATACAATTCTATGTGCGGGATCAACTGTAATCCTGACACCCATCCATGTTCGTCCTGCTGTGGGATGGGCAAGAACCCAAATCTGAGATTTTCTTCTTCACATTTTTACTTAAAAATAACCCACAAAAAAAAAAACTACCATAAAGGTTTTCATGAATAATAGGCATATATTCTGTAATAACTACTGTGTAGAAAAAGGGGGTTTTCACTGACTGTAATTATCACATACCTTTCTGAAACTTCAGCCATTACCTCTGCCTGAATTACAAATATAAATCTAAACACAGTTTTGAGGGTTCCAATGTCCTAAATGGCCACAATAAGTTATCTTCTCTCATCTCCAGTGCATGCTAACAGTTGGGTGGAGATAGAAAAAAAATGTAAACTACTGTCCCCTCACCCCATGTAAAGGCGTAAGAAGGGTTAACATATATCAGGAAAGAAAAAGGAGAAAAATGACCAGCGTTGTCAAACCAGAAAAAAACCTGAATAAATAGGTAGAAAAACGGCAACACACCGGAGGTAACTGGACTCCCTCACAAACCCCAAAAGAATAGGATATTATACCTGTGTCCATACATGTCTGAGGAAGCCCTGCTGGGAGAGATGCGTGAAGTGTATGCTGCTGCCCCTATTTGTTTTATATTTATATTGCTTGTTTTATATATACTTGTCTTTACCTGTATCTTATGTCTCACTTCCTCAATTCCAACTATCTCCTTGACCCTCTTCAATCTGGCCCTTTCCACTCTACAGATATATCTCTCCTCCCTGGGCCTCTTCCCTGCCTTCCTGCAACGTGTCACTGCTTGCCTTTCATCCATCTCTGACTGGATGTCCTCCCGCTTTCTGAAACTCAATCTCTCTAAAACTGAGCTCCTTGTCTTTCCTCCTCCTAATACTGATCCTCCTCTTTCGCTCTCCCTTCAAGTTAGTGGTATCCACATAAGTCCATCCTTGCAAGCGTGCTGTCTTGGCGTCATACTTGACTCTGGCCTCACCTTTGAGCCTCACATCCAGCATGTTACTAAATCCTGTAGATTCCATCTTAAAAATATATCCCGCATCTGCCCCTTTCTTACGCAAGATGCTACCAAGGAGATTGTCCATGCTCTAGTAATTTCCCGCATGGATTATTGAAACCCTCTCCTAATTGGTCTTCCCAAAAGCTGTATCTCCCCGCTACAGTCTGTAATGAATGCTGCCGCCAGACTGATTTTCCTCTCTACTCGGTCCTCTCACACTTCACCCCTCTGACGGTCCTTACATTGGCTTCCTGTATCCTATAGGAGTCAATATAAAGTGCTAACCCATACCTTAAAGCACGGAAAAATTCTAGCCCCTCTTATATCTCTTCACAGATCCATAGGTATGCCTCTTCTCGGTCTCTCCGCTCTGCCCGGGACATTCTCCTGTCCGTTGCTCGTGCTTGTAGGACTACTCGCCGGGCTGCTCCCTTCCTATGGAATAGCCTGCCTACCCCCATCAGACTCTCCCCTAGTCTTCAATCGTTTTTGAAGAAGTGCCTCAAAACCCATCTCTTTAGGACAGCTTATCGCCTCCCAAAGTAACCTCTACCTTACATACCTGTCTCTTGCTCTCTCCTAAAGGGCAGCACTCTACTTTCTCCTCCAGCTCTGCTTCACTTCCACCTTATTTGATTGCTATTTCCTATCCTAATGTGTTTTATACCCCACCTCCTATAGACTGTAAGCCCGTTTGAGCAGGGTCCTCTATCGTTCCTGTAAGTTTTCTTGTAATTGTCCTATTTATAGTTAAATCCCCTCACTCATAATATTGTAAAGCGCTACGAAAACTATTTATAATTTAATGATGACAAAACATTTTTATAAAATTATGCAAATAATATAAGCATTATCTATTGACCATTAAGTAAAAAGTAATTATTAGGAAAGTACGCAAACCAGCATTGCCAATGCAGAGCATTGAATCTTTAAACACCGTTAAATGAAAATTGACTCAAAATAAATAATGAAATGTTAACCACACATTAAAAATACATTGACTCCAAAGGCTGGGGGAGAACTCCCATGTCCTACCCTGAGGGCCAGCTATATCTGCATAGTAACAGATTATTTAAGGATGAGGAATTTAAACCTTCCACTCATTCCTGTTTCTGGTCTTCATCTTAAAGATTCCAAATTTTTCTCCAGTTTGCTCCTAAAAGGGAATAAATCTCTCCTAATATGATTCATCTTGGATCAGTCAACTAAAGCAATAATATTAACATGAATTATTATAAATCTGTATAGTTTGTTTTATTATACTGCAGTTAGTTTATTTATAAAGATATCTATTTAATGTTACACCACCACCTCTCCATATCTTTATTGTTATTATGGGAGATACCCCTTTCTGCTGCTGTAGGTAAAATCTTCTTTCTCTTAACTCTTTTTTTTTTAACCAAACAAGTGACCTTGAGGAAGTGCTAGTTAATCACGAAACTTGTAGACTTGGATATTTAGTAAGTTGGGAGTCTGTATATGCTGTAATTTCGATTTTCAATTGAACCGTGGTAAGCTGACCACTCGCGCGGCTATCAGTGTAAGAGGACACTGTTATATTTGCATTGACTTTATTATATGGAGTAATATCACACAATGCAGGATTGGGAATTTTTTGTCTATTTTGCTGAGTTTGTGTAACAACAATATAGTAAACAATCTGATCACACCTATTATAGGATAAAATTTGCAATGTGGCCAAAGGTGTGGCTAGGGACAGGATTATTCTCTGAATATTTTAAGCGAATTCCTACCCTACTGATATTTATTTGATCATTTGAATATGACTAAAAGTGTTCAATTTTTTAAACTGCTGTTTAATCACTTATTACACGGGTTGTATTGCTTTGCAACTTTGCAATACACTTAGACACTATGTGAGTTTTTGTACTGCAAAGCTCTCATATACACTCATATACACTGATCGGGCTACAACATTAAAAATCACGTGCTTAACATTGTGTGGGTCCTGCCTTGTGCAGCTCTGATGTGTTGAGACATGGACATGGACTCCACAAGACCTCTGAATGTGTCCTGTGGTATCTGGCACAAATTAGCAGCAGATCATTTAAGTCCTGCTAGTTACAACGTCAGACTTCCATTGTTGTTCCAGCACACCCCACACAGATGTTTGTATTGTGGCAGGGTGATCATCCTGCTGAAAGAGGCCACTGCCATCAGGGAATACCATTGTCATGAAGGGGTGCATGTGGTCTGCAACAATCTCTAGATAGGTGGTATGTGTCAAAGTTACATCCACATGAATGACAGAATTCAAGTTTCCCCAGCAGAACATTGCTCAGAGCATAAAATATTTTCCCACAGTTCATCCTGGCTGCCATCTCTTACCTAGGTAAACTATGCACATGCACCCGGCCATCCACCTGCTCAAAAAGAAAATGTGATACATGAGATCAGGCAACCTTCTTCCATTGATCCATGGTCCATTTTTGACTCTCACATTTCCATTGTAGGCACTTTCAGAGGTGGACAGATAGTCTGCGGCTACACAGCACTATACACAGCAATGTGTTCTGACACCTTTCTATGATAGCCAGCATTCATTTTTTTCCAGCAATTTGAGCTACAGTAGATCTTCTGTGTGATCGGACCAGATGGGCTAGCCTTCACTCCCCACATGCATCAATGAGCCTTGGGAAAGTTCACCAGCTGTCCTTCCTTGCACCACTTTTGGTAGGTACTAACCACTGCATACTAGGAACTCCTCACAAGACTTGCAGTTTTTGAGATGCTGTAACCCAGTTGTCTAGCTATTACTAAAAAAGAACTGACTTTTCACTTGCTGCCAAATATATCCCACCCCTTGACAGGTGCCATTGTAACAATATACTCCACGTTATCCAACTGTCAGGGGTTTTAATGTTGTGGTTGATGAGTATATATTGGATATATGAAGTGCACAAATCTGTGGAACTGTACACTTTTAGAAGAATCTATAAGATGATTGATACACAGGTAGATTACAACATTTGTAACCCTTAATTTGCACATTGTTACACAGAGCTATTAGACGGCAGTTAAACAAGTCTGAGTGGTATTAATTTGTATTTAGTATACCAGGTAACTTTCCAATGGCAAGTACATGAATCAAAACATACAGAATTCACATTATACAGTTTTATATCAGCCAATGAGATGGAGCAGCTGCATGGAAGCACACCCACAATGCACTGTTCATAATCCCACAATACAAGGCATTGCCTATTCACCAAAATGGAAGTAAAAGTCACACGTTTGAGAATGAGACATGTTCCTATTTGTCTAGCACCATGGAAAGATCAAATGTATTATCATTAAAGTGTATTTTAATAGTTTTGTGTACTTTTGTGTTTGCACATCAAACCATGAAGTATTTTTTTTGTGTGTGATCTATATTCTTTAATAAATAATACGTAAAACATAAATACAATGTGAAAAAAATACAATGTGAAAAATAAAAAAAGGTACACAATACCCTTATTAGCATAATTTTGTAGCAATTTAAGCTACAATAGATCTTCTGTGTGATTGGACCAGACAGGCAAGCCTTCGGTCCCCACGTGCATCAATGAGCTTTCAGAGCCCATAAATCTGACGCCAGTTCACCAGTTGTCCTTCCTTGCACCACTTTTGGTAGGTACTAGCCACTGCATACCAGGAATACCCTGAAAGACTTGCCATTTTGGAGATGCTCTGACCCAGTTATTGAGAAATCACTATTTGGCCCTTGTCAAAGTCACTCAGATATTATCGCTTGCCCATTTTTCCTGCTTCTAAGACATTACATTCAAGAACTGACTGTTCACTTTTTGTCTGATATATCTTAGCCTTTGACAGGTACCATTGTAACAATATAATTAATGTTATTCACTTCACCTGTCAGCAGTGGTGTATTTTGGTTTTGTGCTGCCCTAGGCATGACTAAACTCTGGCATCCCCTAATCTAAATTATTGACATGTAGCATTGTTATATTAAGACTTCTGGTACTGTTCTTCTGGTACTTTTTTCTTGTGACCTGTTTTCATGACTTTCAAAAGGAACACACTGAGTTGGTGACTTCTGTTAGTGGTTTATTCCGATTGGAGGGGCATCACTGTCCTTGGTCTGTTGTATTCTTACACTTCCCCAAATTGCTCTCATTTTTCTTCTCTTCATTCTTTTACAAAAGATGTTCATCTTCAAACCCTTCTTGCTCATTTGTTACCTCTGTTCTGCCTCTCAGTAGCCTTATTTCTCCCCCTTTATTCCCAAGCCAAAAGAATGGTTGGACCTTTAGTCTGTTCCGAGATTCCATTTGAAAGGTATATAACAAGCTCCAGTTGCGAGTGTCATAGAAAGAAACTTGCCTTGGTACTGAAAGCTTCAGGTAGACCCCTACCCTTTCAAGAATGCCTCCTCCTTCCACCTGAATAATTTTTTCGGTGTTGTCTAAAGCTTGTATCGTGTCAATAAAAAAAGCGATACACCATATATTCTCCCGGGGGCTAAATTGATAGGCTGCACCTTTTTTTCGCACCTCTGGGGAGGCTACACCAACTGCCCACTCAACACCAGGCCCAAGTTCGACTTCCCAATAATGGCAGCCAGAGGAGAAGTCAGGCAGGCAAATACAGCAACGTTCAGTCTCAAACCGTAAATCATTCGGAAGAGGTACAAAAGCAGGAGGCTGGTTCAAAAGGGTTAGACGATCTTCAGATACAGAGAGCTCAGGATGGCAGGTCTCTGGGGAAAACGTGATACATTCTGAGAGAGAAAGACAATAATGGTCTTAGCAGTGGTTCCCAAGAAAGACTACAACAAGAGAAACAGTTCATGGTATTCTTACTTTTTTCTCTCTATATTTTTTTGAGTAGCTTAAATGTCACATTTTCTTTAAGCCTTGTTAGAGAGATATCCATATTTCTAGCCAACCTTACTTAGTTTTAACAAATTACGAAATGGATAGCCAATTCTCTTACGGACACTTGTTAAAAAAAAACACAATTCACTTTTCATGTACCAAGATCAGTGAAGATTTTGTTAGTGGTTCCATTTAAATTCAACCCTCATAGATTTGTTGAAAGTGTTGGACTTTCTCCACATGGAGCTAAATAAAGACATCAGAATACTTTCTGTCACCAGTTAGTCCACTTTTCATGAATATAAGACTTAACTGAAGGGAAATTGGCAAAAGTATTAAAAGTAAACATTTGGGTCCTTTACAACGAAGAATAGTAAGATGGGAAATGGTCAATGAAAGGTAGCAGGGAAATCATAGATGAAGGAGAAATTATGTCTAGGTCAAAGTTTATATTGCTTTGATTGTTATATAATCACCTGGGTTCATGACAGCTTTCCTCCAATCTAAAAGCGGAAAAGATAAAATGTAGAAAAATAAACAGATCCCCACACAGTGTAAATGGCTAATTTACTAGACTCCTAGAATTGGCTGCCATGTTTAACTGCTAAATTGGTGGCAGCTTACATTGGAATATTTAACATAACAAAGTTTTTAAAAACTGTTGACATTTGTTGATCGGACAGATGTGAATGATGCCTTGTAGGTGTTCACAGGGATGCCATCAGAAATTTTGGGTCCCCTGACAAAGCTCAAGGTCTGGGCCCTCCGGTGCCTGCACCCGAGTCCGCCCAAAGCTTCCCACCCCCCTGAGTCCGCCAACAGGGATGCAGCGTCTGTACTGATTCTGGTGTGTGTATAGTGGATGCAGAGTTCGTGTGTAAAGTGGATGCGGTGTGTGTTTAACGGATGCAGTGTGTATAGCGGATGCAGTGTGTATAGTGGATGCAGATTGTACATTTGTGTAATGTATGAGGTGTATATTAGATGCAGAGTTTGTGTTTGTGTAGTGGATGTAGTGTGTGTTTATAGTGAATGCAGAGTGTGTGTTTGTGAAGTGGATGTAGTGTGTGTGTGTGTGTAGTGAATGCAGAGTGTGTGTAGTGGATGTAGTGTTTAGTGAATACAGTGTGTGGATGTAGTGTGTGTGTATAGTGAATGCAGAGTGTGTCTTTGTGTAGTCGATGTAGTGTGTGTTTGTGTAAGTATTTAATGTGTGTATAGTGACTGCAGACTGTGTGTTTGTGTAGTGCATGTAGTTTGTGTAGTGACTGCAAAGTGTGTGTGTGTTTGTGTGTGTGTGTGTTTGTGTAGGTACTGCAAGTGTGTGTTTGTGTTAGGAAGTAGTGTGTGTAGTGACTGCAGAGTGTGTATTTGTGTATGGTGCAGCCCCCACTACCTGTATTCAGCACACTTGAAATATACTGCCCAGATGCTCTGCTCTGTCGAAGTCTCGCTAGCCGTGCGGAGCGTTGCCACGGTTACCTGTGGCAACGCTCTGATGATCGCATCGCTTGCAAGACTTTGACAGAATACAGGTAGCGGGGGGCCCGCAGTGCACACATATATAGGGTCAATCGCTATATACGTGTGCACATAGCTAATGTGGGGCCCGGGACAACCTGAGCAATCCGGGCCCCCCAGGACCGCTGGGTCCATGACAACTGTTATGGTTGTCATGCCCTGATGGCGGCCCTGGGTGTTCAAATTAAAGAGGGCCCTAAGAAATGGGGATATGATTACTCACCTCTCTCGTTCCACCAACATCATTGATGTGGAGAATATACAGTGTGTGCTAGGATAAAATGTTCATTTGGGCATGTCCACATCTTCCTATGTCCATGTGTTAAGGGGACTTCAACTAGATTATTAGCTGCAAAATGTGCCCAGCCTTAACTCGTGTTTAAAAACCTGACCATTTACGAAACATTTAATACCAATAAATCAGTAATCTCTCTATATATTTATCTTTAATAGCTACCATCACTATCAACTTGTCACATTGTGGTGACGGCTCTAATTCAGAAAGAGAATTGCCACAGACTGTTCAAACCTTTTGGGATTAGACACAACTATTTATTTTAAAGAAAACGTACCCAGTTCACTGGAGAGATCAGCTGTAACAGAAAGGTGAAAACATTAGTCAATATCTAAACAAAAGACTTTTGTTCTGCTGGTTACTTTTGAATCACTTACCAATTCTTCCAGTAAGGCATTCTAAAAGAGAGGAAAAAGGAAAGTTCAATACGTTATCAGACACTGTGTGAATTTCTTATTTCT